AACCCAAGAAAGTGGCATTTGTTATTGTCTCAGGCTTTATGGGCACATAGAAATACCAGAAATACGGCCACAGGGTTCTCACCTTACCAACTTACGTTTGGCCAAGATGCTGTTTTACCAGCCGAAATTCGAGTATCATCTGGCCGAACAGAATTTACTGATAGTGATCTTACAAAGGAATACCAACAACTTATGTTGCAGCAGTTAGAAGATTTGGATGTTAACCGTCTCCACGCAATAGATCGAAGTGTGAAACAGAGTGAAATCAGAGCATGGAGTTACGGAAAGAAAGTTCTTCACAGGACATTCCAAAAAGGAGACCTAGTCTGGAAGACCATTCTTCCTACATATAAGAAAACTGACCAATTGGGAAAGTGGTCACCGAATTGGGAAGGACCTTACATTGTTCAAAAAGATATTGGGAATGGCGCTTTCATTATTGTAAATCATGAAGGGAGAAGAGTACATGATTGTATTAATGCTAAATATCTGAAGAGGTATTATCCTGCCTTTTCAGATAACAAAACTGCCTGAAACAAAATATTATTCAGAACCCATTTATGGGGTTCGAACCTATTTAAAGGTTCATTTCTGTTAGTCATCGTGTATTTGTGGGAAGTTTTCTGCCTCTGAATCAGACTTTTCATCCCAGTGAGTGGATATTAGCTCTGGTTCTTCTTCAATAAGATCTTCCAAATCTGGTCGGTACCTTTCCCATTGGCTTTGCATTTCATCTAAATCTTGATGGGTACGTGCTTGCATGTCTGTTAGGGCTTGATGTTCACGATCAACGATGGTCTGCAATCTTGAAAAAACTTTTCGTTGATTGGAAAATATGTTATCCCAACCGAGATCTGGAAGTATGGTTGCTGCGTGATTTTCGATCATTTCCATGTGATGATGAAGATCAGGAATGCGGCTAAGGATGTCATGAAGAGGTTCATACCCCTCAATGACTTTTTCCATCAGGCGGATGACTCGATGAATGGTTCTTCTTCCTCGTTGGGAGAATCGGAATTTGAAGTCTAGTTGCTTGAGTATATGTAACAAGTCTTCTGCATGGCCTCCAATAGGGTGATTACCTACAAAGAAGGGTTGAAGAACACCCTCCCAGTTGCTTGATGGAACATGAGGTCGGTCATTCGCCATGTTTGTTAACACTTTCAGTGTTTTAATTTTAAAATATGCCTGGGAATGTGTTTCTTCAAATGTGAGAAACAATGTTCTTTTAAAGAAGGAGTTTGTTTCTATTCCTACAAAGTTGGAAAGTGAAAGGTGATCCTTGTTTTGTGAGAAGAAGAAAAAAATGGATTACTAAGTCAAGTATTGTTACAAAGGGGGAAATATTACAACAGTGCCCCTAGGGCAGTTTTTATCTGTGTCCATTTGTTTTCATCCCTGGATAGCCTTCTGGTATTGGCAGCCGTCTGATATCTTCTGATGAATTGGGATCGGGCTTGGGTTTTCAACTCTTGATCCAATTCAGCCTCATTTTTGGTATACTTCTCAAGCAGATGCTGTTCATTGGTAATTTGCTTATCCAGGGTAGACTGTTCTTTCCTCAGCTCCCGCAATTCTGCCTCCTTTTTCTGAATGGCATCATCAACCAGAGCTTTCGTGCTAAGGAGACCACCCAGTCTTCCAGTAGTCTGCTGAAGGGATTCTCGAGTCTTAGCCAAAGAATTCTCCAGCGTTGTTTGATCGAAGTCGGGCTGGGGGGTTTCGGCTGACAGAAGGCCAATGACTAATACTTCAGTCTTGAGCTCTGTAAGTCTTTCCATCAGCCGATGCAGAATGGGGACGGCTGGTGATTCCGTTGGAGTGTAAAAAAGAAGGCCACCAACCGTCTGAATGAGCTTGTCCAATAAATCGGACCTTAATTCGGACAGGGGACGGTTAATGGCCTCATGAACACAGTCTGGGCCTCCGCTGGAACTGGAACAGTTGATAGGACAGCTAAGTCCGAAGGCCCCTGCAAGTCCTACAATGTCAATAAATATTCCAAGGGAGTTGCAAATTTGTTCGGAGAAAATATGTGGTACCTCTGGGCGGACTGCTGTCAGTGAGGGGGGCAGCAATGAGGTCGGTCGAGTTGGGCAGACAGCTGGTATAACAGCAGCCGACTCGTCGGCTGCTGCTAATGGACGCTGAGGTGCCGACCTGGGTCCCTATGGAAAGTAGTATTTGAAACAGTTAGTGTTTTTCGAAAGAAAAGTTATGGCATGGATTGGTTTAATCTTACCAAATTCACAGAAGTCTCCGAATCGGATGAAGACATTTCTTCCATTTCTGGAGGTTGGGCTGCCACAGGTGGTTCTTCTGCCTGCCATTCGATAGCTAGAGGGAGCGCCGCTGCTGGTAGGGCGGCTGCAGGTTGGACGGCTACATCTAGAGCCACTGCAGCCAGGATCTCTGGGGCACCTTCGATTTCGGGATCAGCAGCATCAGGGATGTCGTTTTGAGGGCCAGCCTCGGCGAGGGCGGCTGGTTCTTCCTTTGACATAGATGAGTCTGATGCCATGTATGGCGGCCGACCCATCTGGGAAGTAGTCCCTTCGCTGTCAGAAGAGACCCCTGCTGCTGATGGGATGGGTGAAGGTGTCTGTGGAAAATCATGAAAATGTTTGTTGTTAACTATATCAAGGTTGATCATTAGAATACTAAGGAGTGCTGGTGAGAGAACTTACTGGTTCTGTAGGCACTGCTGGTAAAGATTGTCTCCTGGTCGGGGGCCTGGCCCGACCACTCCTCGGTGCGGGAGGAAGAGTTTGCCTCCGCGTCGGGTCCTCCGCCCGACTGCTCATTGGCAAATTGGTCTGGACCAAAGGCCCGATTGAATGGTCGGTTGGTGCTGGCGTCGGTTGCATGGTCGGTGTCACCAAGGTCGGTTCTGGGGAATGAAATGAGTAGAATCAAAGTTACGATTTAGTGAATTGGTTCACGGTGTTAAGAAACATTACCAATTCGGGGTCGGGTCCTTGCTGACGTCCTATTTATTCCAAGGTCTGCTAGTGTTTGCTGGTCGGTCTCCGAGGTCGGGGGTGTTTGCAGCTGGGAAGTTTTTCTTTTGCGCGTGGGACCACCAGATCCGATTCCCGGGGCGGCTGTTTGTTGTTGGGTGCTAGTATGTCTCGCCGTCCCTAGAACCAATCCTTGGGGGGGGAGGAGTATGTTCAGCAACCGACCCTCATCAGGGGATATCAGGGACCATACAACCGACCACCATTCATTGAAAGTATCTACAATCTCAGGGTTGGAGCGGAAAGGAATATAAGAATTGGAAATTATATACGTGGTGAGCTGGGAGATATAAGAAGGGATTGAATTAGGAAGGACTCGTCGGTCGGGACTTTGAAAAATTATTTGGGGACACGCGACGGGTCCAGGGATACCTTGGCAACAGCCGAACTGGCGCGCCATGAATTGAGGTTCATAGTTAAAGGTGTAAAAAGTTTTCTGTCCTTTTTTATCAAGTTTCTTGCTACTAAAAAGAGACCTGGGTTTGAGGGCGACGTCCCAGGCGAAAGGATAGGTGGGATGAGGACAAGGCTCAGGAGTCGGAAGCGGGTTTGGTACTGGAAAGGGCCAAAAATGGTCGGGAGCATAACCCGCATACTTTTTATACATAGAAAATCGAGAGTTACTGCGGGTATCTGTTAAAATGGCGGTTATTATTGGATCGGAAGATTGGAGTTTATTGCGTCCTGAGCAGAGTCGGTTGAGGACTAATCCTAAATGTTTTTCAGATGTTGGCATAGTGGGCGGAGATCCTAAGTTAAACGCGTTGGGGAAGTAAAGACGGAACCAAAGTTCTAAAAACCAAAACGGACCCGACGCGGCAGTGTCTAATTTCCTATTATCGTTATCTGTTAAACGAAGGCTAACCCTGGTGAGTCCTTCGAACAGATTGGCTAAAAATAGAGTACCAAGGGAGAAGAACCGACCTGACGCAATATGAATGGCCAGGTCGAGGTGAGAAGGAAGGACACTTTTGGAAGGGGAAACAATGACGTACCTACAAAGCCAGAACAGGATAAAGGCAGTATGCTCCCGGTCGGTTACAGGGGTCCCTGGAGCCCCTTGCTGGTCGGTTGCGAACTTTGTCCAACCCCATTCCTTCACACCTTGTAAAGACCATCCCGGATGGTCTTCTGATGGCTCCTGCCCATCTAGGGCTCCCATTACAGGGTCTTCACCCACGACTGGGAGATGTGCGATCATGGCCACGTCCATAAGAGTTGGGCCAAAGGGGCCTGATGGGAAGAGGAAAGTCCCATTTTCCGCATTCCAGAAGGCAGACATGGCCAACAACACCTTCTCATGCAGGTTGATAGGCATGGTGGACAGCAATATTGCTTGGTCGATTTTTTGCAAACGCCATTGGGTCTGGAAGTGTTCTGCTACCCGTCGATACCAAGCGCGATACAGATCTTTTGGGTCTGTGAGATGGGTCTTGATGCTGTCCCGGATGCGAACTGCTTGGTAGTTGGGATTGTTGATAGTCAGGGCGTTGCGAGATTCCAAAACTTCCCTCATCCGATTTGAATCTTCAGGAGTAGTGCAATATGGACGGATCGTCGGAGTTAGTACTTTCGAGGCTGAAAATGGACCTTCTGGAAGGGTTCCGTCGAAAGGAAGGGCAGGCATGTATTGATTCGCCATAGTTAGAATGTTTTGGGATTGTGATTCACACAGGCTTGTATTACGAAGAAGGAAGTTTATCAGGAGTGTTGCAGTAACTGGTGCAGTTGCTAAGGGAGTTTTTCAAGAGGGTAGTGATTTATGAACTTCCAAACATTGATTGTTAAATGGCGTTTGAAAGTCCCTTGGCGGCGGGCAAGTTGTTACGTACGAAATTTAGAATTAGGTTAAAAGCCCAAGGTAAAAAGAAGAATGGGCCTGGCAATAGGGTTGATTGAACTGGCTGAAGGACACCGTGAGGAAATCAAGGAAAATAAATTTATTTATTTATTTCTAAGGAAAATATAGGTCGGAAGGTTCTTAGGTCGGTAGGTCCTCAGGACGGAAAGACCTCAGGACGGAAGGTTCTTAGGTCGGTAGGTCCTCAGGACGGAAAGACCTCAGGTCGGAAGGTCTTCAGGTCGGGAGGCCCTCAAGATGGAAAGACCTCAAGTCGGAAGGTCTTCAGGTCGGGAGGTCCGCAAGACGGAAAGACCTCAAGTCGGAAGGTCTTCAGGTCGGGAGGTCCGCAAGACGGAAAGACCTCAAGTCGGAAGGTCTTCAGGTCGGGAGGTCCGCAAGATGGAAAGACCTCAAGTCGGAAGGTTTTCAGGTCGGGAGGTCCGCAAGACGGAAAGACCTCAAGTCGGAAGGTTTTCAGGTCGGGAGGTCCGCAAGACGGAAAGACGATGAGTCGGAAGGTTTTCAAGTCGGGAGGTCCTCGAGACGGAAAGTCGTCGAGATGGGATATCCGCAGGTCGGGTAAATTGTAGGTCGGATAGAAGGCGGAGTCGGACAAACGCGGAAGCCTTTGATCAAAGACAGGGGGCGGTTGATATGGAGGTCGGCCCAAGTGGGGTCGGGCGAAGAAGTAGGTCGGACGAAGGACGAAGTCGGGCCAAAAGAGCGGAAGGTTTGTGGTCGGCTCAAGGAGTGAAATATAGGGAATTTTGGTCTGCTGGGGACACGTGTCAGCATGAGAAAGGTTGGAAGACGGTTGAGAAGGAGACGTTGTAACCGTTCGGGTGACGGTTTTCAGTATGGTTTCCCAGGGAATATTTAAAGTTTGGATCATCATTTGGCAAGGCATCTTCAATCAACTTCAAAAAAGCAAAGTCAGATTTGGGGATCACCACTTTAAATTTCAGTCTTTTATTTTCCAGTTTATTTTCTGTACCGTACAGTGTTTAGAGATTCCTAATCTCAGGCACTAATTAATCAAGTTTAAGGATATTTTCTATATCTTTGAATTTTACTTTATTTTTGTTGAAAAATTACATCAACAAATAATAATAATAATAATAATAATAATTTATTTATTTTTGGTATGTAAATTTTAAAATTTTATTATTTTATGTGTATGTAGTAATAGAGTGATGAATGAACAATTTTATTTTATAATATAATTAAATTATATTGATATTATTGTTATAAGAATATGTAAGGTGTAATTATATATATATATATATTATACGAATACAAAATAATTGTTAAAGTTTGAAACATTTCAAATTAAAAATAATAGCATAAGTTTGAAAAGTATAGTATTATTTCACTTTTAAGAATGTGTTACAATAAATTATTAGAGTGTCATTATTGATCACTAAAAAAGATACATTTATTTAAACATATTGTTAGATGATTCTACATGGATTTAAATTAGTAAAAAAGCGCATTTGCATTATTGTTTCTGTTTTTACAATATATAGAGCATGTAATTAAATAATCTTTTGTTAGAAGTCTTATGTAATTTATTTTTGCAATATATATATATATACATACATATTATATTTTAAAATATTGAAAAATGCCTTGATACAAGCTCAACATTTTCCTGTGCACTTACCATTTTGTGATTTTGTTTTTTTTATTTTAATATCAATTTTTAGATAAAATCAATATTAGATAGGAGTTTGTTTAGTTAGTATTTTAATTTGAAGTATTTTGTACGTAAAATATGCAGAATTGTGTCGATAATATAAATAATAATATTTTATATTAAATACTAATTTTTGTGAGAAAAATAAAATATATATTAAAAAGCATATCAATAAAAGTATTATTGGGCAAAAAAATCCGATATTTTATATGAAAAATTTATTTATGTTTATATATATATAAAATATAATAAAAGTACATACTACAAAATTAGTACAAAATATTACATCTAACACCTATACTTCATATAAAATACTACATGCAATAACTATTTTATCTAAAATTATCAATATATATGCATATATATATATATATATCCACACAAGTTTACCGAGCATACTTTTAAAATCAAAGAATACCAACAAATTAAAGATCAATATAGATATTGCCATCAACGACAATGACTATATATATACATATATAAAGAAATCTGTAAATAAAATTATGTGAAAATTATTTTATTTTATAATATATGATTTGAGAAAAATAATTTTAATTGTGTGTGTAACCAATACAAATGAACACACTTGTACCTATTTAATTTTTTTGCTCTTTGTAATTATATGTTTATAAAATAAAAATAAAAAATGCGTGGAACTATAAAGATCACAATCGATGCAAAGAAATTCAAGTTCATTTCACATAAAATTTGTCCTTTTGAAGCCCATTCAATATTTGTCTACACGCACGCATATATATGTATATACATATATTATTGACAATTGACTATTTTTAAAATTCATTTACTTGCAAAAATAATCAATAATATATATATATATATATACATGTATATGTATACATAATGAGTGGTGCAAAATGGTATTATCCTGAGGGCATCATTTTCATGTGTATATACATACAAATGTGGGTTATCTAACCCTAGAAATTTCACAAACTATATAATAAAATTGGTCTAACATTAGTAGCCTAATTTTTTATGCTTTCACTTCACTAAATGCCAAAAGTAAACACTAATTGTCCCATAAGGGATGACCTGAAGGTGTTAGGGTTGGACTTGTGATTCGTGAGGTCATGGATTCAAACTCTCGACACCTCTGGTCACCTGCTATACATGGTTCGCCTAGTGTGACTTTTCCGTGGGGCCTGGTTTACAGGGTATTAGGTTTCGGCTGGGGGTTTACGCAGTGTGCACTTGCGGGTTATCACGTCATGAAAAAAAAAATACTAATTGATTTAAATTTTTTTTTTATATTTTAAATTTTACAAAGGAGGAAAATAATACTCGTCCATGAGTTTTATTGAAAATAATAATAATAATAATAATGATAATAACCATAATTTATTAATATTATTTTTTTAAAAATAAAATGTTTCTAAAGGAAAATATTGCGTGGAAGGAAAAATTTCTATGTATTTGCATTTGAGAAGCAAATAAGCTTAAGTAAAGAATAATGAAATTTTTTTCTTATAATTTAAAAATGAATATATTATTTACATTAAAATTAAATAAAAAATGAAGTTAATTACAATTTATGAAAAATTGTATGGATGGCAAGTAAGCGAATGTTGGAATATTTTACTAATATGAATGACAAGATAGTGAAATATTGAGGTGATTAATTATGCCTAATAAAAAGAGGCAAGAGATATATATTATGTAGAAGAGAACAATAAAAAAATAAAAAAAGCTTGTTAAATTAAATTTACACTAAAACAAAAAAATAAAATTATTTTAATATATAATTTTATTATAGGAAACATCAAACACAACTCTCAAACCTATAAAACAGACACGCCGACTTGACTTTAGGTCACTAATGATCCAAGTTCATTTGAGTGAAATATAAATTTTTATTATTTTTTAAATACTTTATTAAAAAAATATTTTATAAAAAATTTAAACACATTTTACAGTAAAAATGCATTATTCCTCTTATAAATTATTTAAAACATAATAAAATCTACTTCATCTTAACAACTTCACATTTCCTCATAATACTTTCATAACTTTAGATAATTAACAATAAAAATCCCACAAATTATAAAAACACAATATGAGAGAAATGTGGCAAATATTTATTTAAACATTATATAGAATAGCAATAGTTTAAATAAAATGTAAATTGTAAAATGACAACCAAAATTGGTAGATCATTTCAATTTTCAATATGTATGGTAGATGTCATGCGCTTAAGAAAAATTATTGTTGCAATTCAAATTTATAAATAAAAACGGTATGTTATCAATCCGGGTATGATGCTAAATTCTATATTCAATATTGTGTTCATTGTATTTAGACTATTGAATCCAAATATGGATCAACAATCAAAATTTAATTAATGGCCAAAAATATTGTTTTGTTTAAAATGTTAATTAAGACAACGATTTTATGCTATTTGTGTGTCTAATTTAATCTTTCTAAATATGAAATATATTTAGTTATAAAAATTATTTTTTTCTATGAGAAGAGAATCATTTTACGTACACACAAAAAGAATTCTATCGTTTTTCTCTCAATACTACTCAATTGAAGAAAAAAATATTCAAAATTAGAATTTTACAATGATTTGGATCATATTGAAGAACGATCCGATGAAATTCAATCCGTTATGAATGAAAACTACCGTTGAAAAACTTTAGAACATAGTAAATTATTATATATATATATATAATTATTCAGTTCTATATCGTATTATATATCAATTATTGTAAAAACATTTTCAAATATATAATATAACATTTTTATGTTCGTAGTTCAACATATTATATATATTTTTGTCTTTCATAGAAGAGTTGAAAATGTTTTTGGAATTGTCTATTTATGAAATCCATAATGCAGTACAAAATTTTATCTCCAATTTTGTTTCTCATGCTAAAAAAATTGCACAACTACCAGAAACTATACAATAATTGGATTGTTGTCATTTAAAAAAAAAAAAGGAAGTTTTTAGTATATGTTTTATTTTAAAATTTTGTAAATTTTGTCTATTAAACTAAAATTACATAAATAATACTCCCTTCTTCCCGTATAATTATATAATTTTTTAAATTGTCCGTTAAAGGTATGTAGGTCTATTTATCATAAACAACTTTATTCACTCGTAACTTTATTATCCATATTTTTATAAATAATAACCTTTTTTTTTTTTCTACTTTTTCTACTTATCCAATCATTTTCTCAATTATTTAATAATTTTTTTATATATAATAATCAATTTACTTACCTACCTCATTTTTCTGACTAGTGTTATTAAATAAGCATCACGCGGAATTATTATCAAATCAATACGATACTAGCCACTTTTTTTTTTTTTTAGTTGAAAATTTAATAATTAATAATTAATAAGAATAACACTACATAGTTTGTTTTTATTTTTATTAAAAACAATAAAATTGGTAACTAGCTAGGCTAGGGTGGTCCCAGTGTTTGGATCTGCCATCCATCTGCCAGCCGCTCATCCGAAGCTCCATGCATACATATTACATACACATACCTATGAATTTATACTAATATAATAAAATATTTAGATATTTATTTTATGGGTTTATTTATTAATCTTTTAGTCTTTTATACATATATATATTTATATATTTATTTTATGGGTTTATTTATTAATCTTTTAGTCTTTTATATGTATATATATATTTATGTGAAATATATAGAATTATGTCGATAATATAAAAAATAATATTTTTAGCTTAAATTATTGATTTTTAAGAAAATAAAATATAAATATTATATATATTAAAAATTATATTAAAGAAAAAATTGGTTGGATGAACAAACTCAGTATTCTTTTTGTCGAAAATAATTATATCACAATTTATATTTTTTGTCCACTTAATTTATGTATAATTATTTATAATGAATAATTTTATATACCTATGATTTTATTATATATACTTTAATAAATAAAAATTTATTTAATTATTAATTTATCTATTTACCTTATTATTTTTTCAATTAGCAACAAATATTTTTTCTAAAAGGGTGTGTTTGTTTGGGGATTTGGATTTTGAGTTGAGATTTGAATAGTAAAAATTTTGAATTTGAATAGTTGTATAATGTGATATAAATAGGTGTTGATGTGATGTTTTGAATGTAAAATTAATTTTTAGTATAATATAAAAAATAAAAAATAAGTGTTTGATTTGATATTTTTGGGTGATTATTAGTAATATTTTGTAAAAAAATTCCGTAGAAAAATATTGCTACTGAACCGCACAGAAAATCTTAATTGTCATTTCAAAATTACTACACAATATTTACTATAACTTTCATTTGGCCGTATATTCCCTTGTAATTGAAAATTGCGATGAAAAATTTGTCAGTTGTGATTAATTTTTTGTAGTGATTCAAAAAATTTTATTTTTTATTTTGTAGTGTCTTTAATATTAAAAAAAAAAAATTAAATTTGAAGAATGAAAAAAGTAATATCTATGTAAATTGAGCCAAATTTTATTGATATATTTGATAAAAAAAAAAGAAAAAGAAACTAAATATGTATATTATAGATTTTTAAATTTATATCTTAGTAAATTGTTATTAATATGTATGTTATTTTATAAAAAATAATATATTTTTAAATAATACAAAAAATAAAAAATAACTCGTGCATAATTAAAAAAATTACGGTATATTAATATATGTGTAATTATATTTTAAGTTTGTATAATAATTTGATGTGATATATTATAAAATAAAATAATATTTTATTATTATTATTATTATTGATAAATATACTTTTATTTTTTATCAATGAAAACTTAAAGCAAATGTAGCCCATATACTATTTACTTTATCCATCACACCTACATTGTCTTATAAAATTTCTATTGTAAATTAAGAAAAATAATTCTATACTGTAAGTCAATATGTGTAAAACGAAAAAAAGTCTAAAATATCATAGATTTAGTGGAGTAAAATGTGAAATGTATTATGATATTTTGATAAATAAAAATAAATATAAAATAGATGAGTAATAAGTGGAGCTCACATAAACTATGAACTATAAACTATTTTAGTCCCTAAAGAGATGACTTGGTGGTATAGAAGTTGGATTTGTGACCGTAAGATTGCCTAGTGTGACTTTCCTGTCGATTCACTTTCGGATAGCGACTACAGATTCTACATAATAATAATAAAAAAAAGTGTAATATGAGATAATGAAAATACAACCAAAGGCACTCTAAAATAATTATATTATTAAAACTACTTAATATTTCTATATACCTTTTTTTTAATCAATATTTTATATGATTGGGTTAAATATATTTTTATTTTTTTTTATCTCAATTCACTAATTCATTTATATACTTAGCAAAATATTTTTATTTTAAATCATAATTAGCTAATATAATACGATATTTATTAAAATTTATATTCCACCTATTGATGGATAGAAAAAGTATAATATACAAAGATATATATTATTTTTATAAAATATTATATTTAAATTATTATTATTAAAATAAAATATAACAAACAATATGAAATACCTAGTAAAGAATTTGGGCAAAATTCAGCGTGAAAAAGAAAATGATAAAAATGATGATAATCACTGCAGCAGTTTGCCGCTGGGCAGAAGCTGCCATTGTTCAATTCTGGCCATTAAATCTCAGCCCTTCCTTCCTTATCACACCCCACCACCACCATCACCACCCACCCCACCCCACCCAACCCCACCCCCACCCCCACCCCCCCCTCTCTATATCTCTTTCTCTTTTGCTTCTCCCATTCTCCTTCTCCCAATCGATAAGTCTCGACTCCTCCTTCCTTATATGGCGCACTCTTATCCGCTCTGAACAAAAACCTCACATAAACCTTCATTCCGTTTTCTAGATATCTGAGAGGAGATTCGCAGTACTGCTTCTGCTGCGCAGGGTACAACCAGCTGGAGCTGCTTGGTTATCTGCTTAATTGCTTAATTGTTGGTGAGTATTGGTTTCACTCAGTTCCTGCTTTGTTAGAAGTATTTAATGCGACATTAAATAAGATTCGTCAATCTGTCAATTCTGTCGCTCTGAGGCTGCTTCTGCGTCAGAATATTCTCGTAGTTCGTTATCTGGAAAACATTCAATTCAACTTCATTAATTCCAGTTTTTCGAATGCTATGGCACATGGATTGATACACGATATCTGATTATTCACAATTTTTTCATCACGAATTGATTATCTGATGCTTCGAAAGCAGAATAGATATCGATATCTTATTTGAGAAAAATCAATATTCGAAGCTCTTCCTGTTCGAAAATGGCACCGAAGACTGGCCGTGGTAAGGCGAAGGGTGACCGGAAGAAGAAGGAAGATAAGGGTACATTTGCCTTTTCCTATCTGTAATACATCTATATTTATTAATTTATTTTCAATGAACCTAATTAAATCGTATATTATTTATTTACATTTGCAGTCCTTCCAGTAGTGATGGATGTTAAAATTAACCTCCCCGACGACACTTACGTTATACTCAAGGTTTGTTTAACACTGTAATTTTATATGCACATATATATGTCTGTCTCTCGTAATATTAAATTCTATTTAGATAGAAAATTTAAAATTTTAAAATAATAAAACATTATTTCTAATATTGTAATATTTTATAAAAAAATATTTAATACTAGGATATTATTTAATAAAAAAAGTGAAAAAATATATGTATATAAATAGAGCCGTATACTTCATTGATTGAATGATATGAGAAGAAACAACATGAAACAAATGCGGAGGACTTTTTTTTCTAATATTGAGGTCGACAATTATTTGTACGAATTTTTAAGTACTATATAAATAGAATTTTATTTTATTTTTTGCTCTTCAACGGTCATGAAAAATCAGGAGAACGAGCGTAGTATTAATTAGAAATATATATAAAAATATATTTGTTGCATTTTATTGAAATTCAGGTAATTAATGGTAATTACGTTGAATGGTTGTATTTTCTATCAAACAATTCTGACAAATGTATAAAACACGTTAAGACATTGAATTGTGTGTTTTATAAGAATTGTGGCGGCAATTGTAAGACATTGTGCGGCCTTGATACGGACTTAAAATTATTATTTTTATTTTTTATTTTTTTAAAAAAACTATATCTATATAAATTTTGAATGCAGGGAATATCTACGGACCGAATTATTGATATTCGTCGTTTACTATTGGTGAATGTTGCTACATGTCATATTACCAATTTCTCCTTATCTCACGAGGTAAGATATTATTATTATTATTATTAATTGGAACACTAATTAATATTTGAGATTTTTTTTTTTGAATGAAATGCTAATAAATAATTTGCATTACCCATTTTACCCTGGACAGGTTAGGGGCCCACGTTTAAAAGATACGGTGGACGTCTCCGCACTGAAGCCTTGCACCCTAACGCTCGTGGAAGGTAGAAGAACGCTATATATATTTGTTTTGTGTTTTTAATATTTTTAATATACAATACGATAAAGATAAATTGTAGAAATAATATAAAAAAAATAAATATATGTAATATATTAATCTTTTATTTAAAAAATTATAAATTTTTAAAAAAATATATATATGTATATAGAAAAAAGAGAATTTATAAAAAAAATTGACAATAAGAAATAAGGGAGTACTATATACAGTATATTTTAGTTTTACCATTAGACAATAGTCTGATTAATCATCGTGCGCGCGTGTGTACAGAGGACTACGATGACGAGAGCTCTGCGGCGCACGTGAGACGCCTGCTCGATATCGTGGCCTGCACGACGTCGTTTGGCCCTCCGGCGAGCAAGGATTCTTCTTCTGCTTCTTCCGCCCCCGCCACCACGAAGGTCGGTGACGTCAGCAAGGATGGGCGAGGGGCGCAGGATATCAAGAATTCCAAGAAATCGAGCAAGTCTCCTCGCGCGAAGAGTAGCAAAGAGCATTCGTCTCCACCGCCATCACATGGGGCGGCGGATAGAGAGACGAAAGAGCCATCTCCCGTGGCGATTGACGGAGGAGGAGAGTTGAACAATACTTCTCCCAAGTTGGGGAGTTTTTACGAGTTCTTTTCTCTCACGCATCTCGCTCCTCCTCTGCAATGTAAGTCTCTTGCGCTTCACTCACTGTTTGGTATTTTTTGTGCCAGAATGTTTAAAAATGCATTCACGAAGATCATCATCATGATTTGGTTAAATTTTCGTTGCTTTCCTAAGTCTTGATTCATGATGAAAAGGTATGATATGTTTACGTGAAATTGATCATGCGGTCACCTAGTTGAAATCATAGCATGTTGTTAAGACGATCTTTGTCTTATTAGATATGCATGCACTCATTTAGGTCATCAAGTTTGTGGATAATTCCTATAATAACGTATAGTGGAATTTTGAATTTCAATAGGAGCTGTGATGTAGTCTAAATTATAATTTGTTTTATAAGTGTAGTAGTGCTTGTGGAGGATCTTTGGAACAAAAATTTCAGATTAACGACCAAGATGAGTATTAAAAAAATGAGATAGGCCAATTGTGCAGTTCTCATGCGTTAAAGTATTGCTATTGCATTTTATTTAGTTTGGTTAAGTGCACATGGTTATGTTTGCTTCATGCTATCTCAGATTCCCATTCCAGGTCACGCCTCCCATCTTTGATGCATTTTATGGGATGGGTGTGAAATTATTTCATATATATATATATATCTATATACACTTTTAGGCACAGTTTGTTTGGTAATATGTTGGAATTGATTTATTGATTGTGTTTAAGCTAATGCTTGTCAGATGTTGAGGAAATGGCTTATAATGTTGCTGTTTGCAGTTGATGTTATCTTCTTTATGTTTATGGAAATGGAGAATCATAATTTCTACTATAGGTTCACTCCTTAAGCATTGGAGTAACTTATATGTATTGCAAAAAGGCTTTTCATATTAATATTCACTAACAGAAACAGTTTCTTTCTGTTATAGAATTTCTCCATTATAAGTGATTTATGATACGTGCATATACTCCTAAACTATTTGGTGGTCTTGGATTAGTTATAAGGAGAGCAACGAAGAAAAGTGACTATGAAGTTTTGGGAGCCGATCATCTTTTCACTCTTGAAGTAAGAACATTTTAGCTATTATTTGGATGAAAGCAAAATGGCAAAATCTAATGTGTTACACTGGTTCCTTGCAGGTAAAATTGTTCAGTGGTAAATTGGTGCCCATCGAAGCTACCAAAAATGGTTTCTACAGCACTGGAAAGCAGCAAATCCTTTGTCACAATCTTGTTGATCTTTTGAGACAACTTAGTAGAGCCTTTGATAATGTTAGTTCCAAGAACCCAACTGCTTGGAATTTAACTAAATGTTCGGTATTATACAATTTCAGTTTTGGCCTACTACGTATTCTCTGTGTAGAGGAACAAGGACATGAATTGTTTTATTCTCAGTTTTAATTAACTTCCTATTAACCAAGGATTTTTATACCCATGCCTTCCTTGTACTGTGGAGGAAACTTGTGTAAGATATCTGCTTCAAAGAGTGTTAATATCCTAAAATCTAACAAATCTAAATAATTAATCTCAGGCTTATGATGAACTCATGAAAGCATTCACAGAGAGAAATAAGGTATGGTTAAACATCCTTGAATTCATCTCTGAGCATCCAGATGTTATCTGTAAAATATTTGACTACTTAAGCCATTTCTTTCTGCAGTTTGGGAATCTTCCTTTCGGCTTCAGAGCCAACACATGGCTTATACCGCCTATAGCTGCACAATCACCTTCAACATTTCCTCCTCTGCCTACAGAAGATGAAAATTGGGGAGGGAATGGAGGTGGTTTAGGGAGAGATGGTAAAAGTGATTTGATTCCTTATGCAAATGAATTTCTGTTCCTTGCATCAATGCCGTGCAAAACTACTGAGGAGAGGCAAGCTCGAGACAGAAAAGCTTTTCTTCTTCACAGTTTGTTTGTAGATGTTGCTATTTTTAGAGCAATTGCAGCTGTGCGGCATGTGCAAGGAACACCCAAGCTGTCTCATTCCGCCTTGAACAATCAGATTATCTATTCAGAGAAAGTTGGGGACTTGAACATAGCTGTCATCAAGGATGCCTCTAATGCTAGCAGCAAAATTGATACTAAAATTGATGGACCAGATGCAATAGGGGTAGATGCCAACAAACTGGGTGAAAGAAACCTGCTTAAGGGGATTACAGCTGATGAAAACACTGCTGCTCATGTAAGAAGTCCCGGGGATATGGAATTAAATTGATACTACATTTCTGACAGATACTTTATTGATGATATTTGCACATGGTGATGCAGGATATTGCCACCCTAGGTGTTGTGAACATAAGGTATTGTGGTTATATTGCAAGTGTGAAGGTTCAAGGGCTCCAAAATGTGAATGTGAATCATTCATTGCAATTTCAAGAGCTTCTAGATCAGTCGGATGGTGGGGCAAATGCTCTTAATATTAACAGGTATACCAGATTGTCTGCTACCATTTTAACAAGTCAATCATTATTCTAAGTTTCCTTCCAACTTCGTGGTTTTAAATTGTACTTCCTGGATCACTTTTATCCTTAATAAAGCATATGTTATTGCACTTATTATAGACTTTTTCTATGGTATATTTTATATTGTTTATATATTGGCATTCCTTGCAATTTAGGCCCTGTTTATACATGTTTTCAAATAACTTTTAATACTATTAATCAACAGTACATTTTTTAAATATATCACATAAAATACCTATCTTTCATTCAACATATTACATAAAAAATTTCTATACAAAATATCACATCCAACATCTATTTACATCATATGAAATACTCCTCTGGCAAATTTAGCCCCATTTCTTTGTATTCTTCCAAATATCTAAGCACAACCTTATTTTTAACTGATATCTGACACTTAGTTTGACCTTGTATTTGCAGTTTAAGGATGCTTCTTCATGAAAATGCAACTCCTGAACAGAATAAGCTAATCTTGCAATCTCATACATCAGACTGTGAAGAACTTGATTCTTCCTGTTTGTTTGTTGAGAGATTGTTAGAAGACAGTCTCACAAAACTTCAGGAAGAAGAATCTCGCAATGATGCTTTTGTCAGATGGGAACTTGGAGCTTGCTGGATACAACATTTGCAAGATCAGAAAAAAACAGAAAAAGAGAAGAAGCCATCTAATGAGAAAACCAAAAATCAAATGAAGGTTGAGGGACTAGGAACACCTCTTAAATCCCTTAAAAATAGAAAGAAGAACTCAAATGGAGGCACTACCGACCTACAACCTGAAAATTTTAAGTCTGTTGCAGATGAAGTGAAGGATGAGGCCAAAATAGCAATGGCTGATATGGTTGGATCTCAACCTGATACTAGTGCAGGTGAAAATGAGCAAACACTGAAAACTCTTTTGTCTGATGATGCTTTTGCTCGGCTAAAAGAGTCAGACACTGGACTCCATGCAAAGGTAGCGGAGTATATTTTAATCATGAATATGTATATTAATAATGTAAACTGTGCTTACTGTCTTTCATTATGTCACAGTCGGTGCGTGAACTAATTGAGTTGTCCCAAAAGTATTATACTGAAGTTGCCCTGCCAAAACTGGTAATATGATAAATTTTCCCTCTACATATATGTATGGCTGAATATAATCTCAAATTCATGCTACATTCATGTTTTAAACAGGTTGCAGATTTTGGTTCTTTGGAACTTTCTCCAGTGGATGGTCGTACGCTAACAGATTTCATGCACACTAGAGGCCTTCGGATGCGTTCTCTTGGACAAGTTGTACGTTCCTTATGGTGATATTGACTCTTCTGTCTGCTTATCATGTGTTTTTTGTTGTCGTTGTTATTATTATTATTCTTTTTGTTGTTGTTGTTGTTGTTTTCTTGCTATGAATTTTAGAGAAAAACTTTATCCTCACATGAAGGCCATGAAATGTTGGTTGACGGTGCGTTTATTGGCTTAGGTGACACCCAAACCTGCATGCTCTAAGAACACACTGAAAAATTCTGTCAACATTGGCGTCTTTGTCACAGCCAATTCGATTCACTAATGGTTTCTTTTTAAGATGATATATGCTACTTCCTTAGCAAATAACCATGATTCTGATGTATGTGCAAGCCTCATGATTTCAGTGTTATTGAAGGAAATGAAACCTCTTTTATTTTCTTACTTGAATGCACCTGCTGAGCACCACCTAATTCTCAATTTTAACAGGTTAAGCTTTCGGAGAAGTTATCTCACGTGCAATCTCTTTGCATCCATGAGATGATAGTGCGAGCTTTTAAGCATATTCTTCAGGCAGTAATATCTGCAGTCGACAATACTAAGAAAATGGCAGCAACAATTGCTGCAGCGCTGAATTTGATGCTTGGAGTTCCTGGAAAAGAAGAATCAAATCAAACTTATGGTGTGAATTCTATTGTATGGAGATGGCTTGAAATGTTTCTGAAGAAGAGATATGATTGGCATCTAAATAGTTCTAATTATGAAGATGTGAGAAAGTATGCAATTCTTCGTGGCTTATGTCATAAGGTACATTGATTTTATGTTTCGGCAGGTTAAATATATGTGCTTCTTAATCTTGATAGTAAATTAGTATCTCGACCATGTGATCTAGATAAGAAGAATAGATATGACATAGGGTGAGAGGTATCACATACATTCAGAAAATTACAAGGCTCAGCTGATAATGCTACACATATGCTAGTTACTATGCCTATTAATAATTAAGATATTTATAGAGGTAGTAAGGTCTTTTGCAATGTCAGTAGGTTTTTTGAGTGTATGTAGGCTTCAACAAATCATTAAAATTTAATTTCTTAAACTCTAGTCGAAGAAAATGAGATTTAGTAATTTTACTCACGTCGTAATAGCGCTGGTATTATTCTAATGGAGAAAGAGGTTATGCATCTAGCATTAATATTGGAGGTATTGAATTCTCTTAGCGACATATATTAGCTGGGAGTAAAATTATTACATGCTTCATTTTCCACATGTTGGCTAGAATTTGAAACATAAGAATGGTATAAAGGATTGTTTTCCTATGTTCGTAGGTGGGTATTGAGCTTGTACCTAGAGATTTCGATATGAAATCAGAACGCCCTTTCAGGAAAGAAGACATAGTCAGTCTTGTACCAGTGCACAAGGTGATTTTAACTCCACTATAAGTGCAACGCATACTCTGCCTTTCCTTTTCCATTTATTAGATGAACACATGTAATAAACTTGTTATTTCTTATAGCAAGCGGCCTGTTCTTCAGCGGATGGAAGGCAACTCTTGGAATCTTCTAAAACAGCTCTGGATAAGGGAAAACTTGAAGAAGCTGTTAGCTATGGAACAAAGGTAATTCATAGGGCTGACAGTAAATCCTTGCAAGATTTTTGTTATGAATGTAATTCTGATTGTAATTTCATAAGAGCATTTTCTTTCCTTCTTTTTCGGAAGGTTGTTCCTCAACAATGTTGATAAAAGATAAAATAAAATCCAAATTACCCTTTTCTTATCAATGAGTTGGATACTATCTTCCTCATAATGTCAGGCCTTGGCAAAGTTGGTGGCAGTGTGTGGACCCTATCATCGAATGACTGCCGGTGCTTATAGCCTTCTTGCGGTTGTTTTATATCACACAGGAGACTTCAATCAGGTTGCTCAACCTTTTTGTTTCTTTGGAAGATTGAATCTGCAAAATTTTGTTATATTCTCAAACATCTAATGCAGTATCGGTGCATCCTGTCTACTTCATTCATTACGTACAGGCGACAATATATCAGCAAAAAGCTTTGGATATCAATGAAAGAGAGCTTGGTCTTGATCATCCAGATACCATGAAAAGTTATGGGGATCTTGCTGTTTTCTACTACAGACTACAACACACAGAATTGGCTCTCAAGTATGTATACAATCTTTGGTTCTTAGGAATTTCCCCCAAAATAAATATATTATCTGAAAATGATCAGGGTTGCATCTTAAATGATGAAGTCATTATTTGCAATTTGCCCTTTATTGTTCTTTTGGAGGGAGGTAATTTTTCCTTTTCTTTTTTTTTTTGTTCAGATATGTTAAGCGAGCGTTGTATCTGTTACATTTGACATGCGGCCCATCACATCCAAACACTGCTGCAACATACATAAATGTAGCAATGATGGAGGAAGGGTTGGGTAATGTGCATGTTGCTCTAAGATATCTTCATAAAGCTCTGAAGTGCAATCAACGGCTTCTTGGGCCGGACCACATTCAGGTTCAGACTACAACTTTACATTAATCGTTATATATTTGTGAAATCAATTTTTACATTAGCAATTTAGCATGCATGAACTTGCCTTGTTCAGTGGACTGTGCACTTGTGTCTTTCCGTGTTTAAATGCCATTTTGTTTCCTCTAAGCTTTACTCTCAACTATGAGCAGCGTTTTGCACTTAATGACAATAAACAATGTGCTTCTTCCGTTCATCTTTTTCATTTTTCGTATGAATTTTTTGCAAGTTACAAAACGGCTTGCATAATTCTTCTTCCTCTTTTTCTTCTAAAATGATATTGAATTATTTTCTGTTTTTCAGACAGCTGCTAGTTATCATGCCATTGCAATTGCCCTATCATTGATGGAGGCATATCCTTTGAGTGTTCAGCATGAACAGACAACCTTACAAATACTCCGGGCAAAGCTGGGACCTGATGATCTTCGAACACAGGTATATGATTAAAAGGTTTTCCCTCTTGCTCCTCAAAATGTAAAACAGAAATGATAGTAGTATTTTTATTTTTTTTTTAAATTATAAATAAATTTTAATTTTCTAATACTGCATGTCTTGTATAATTGGGACTATGCTAATCGATCAAACTTCCATGTATTTTTGGCATCCATAGTATTACTTGGTTTCCTTGTTCTTACATATGAATTCCACAGGATGCCGCTGCATGGCTAGAATACTTTGAATCGAAAGCTTTTGAGCAGCAAGAAGCTGCTCGAAATGGAACTCGGAAGCCAGATGCATCTATAGCCAGCAAGGGCCACCTCAGGTAAATCATCAGTTTTCCTGGTAAAACTAGAATTTGATGCATTCTGTGATGTTGCAATTTGAAAGGCTAATTGCTGCAGCCTCCATTTTTATCCTTAGCCGGCATAATTAGAGACTGAGGTTCCTGGTGGTCCTTTTCACGGAAAATGATTAGTTTACAGTTTTAATTTATCACTTTGATGGCATAATTTGTGGGTGTTTGGCAATACAGAGGGATATGTCATCCATCCCACTGTTACCATGTAGTTTCTTCAGCCTCTAACTATTCTGAATCTATAGATGGTTGTTTTTGGCAGTGTATCAGATTTGCTTGACTACATCAATCCAAGTCATGATGCTAAAGGCAAAGATGCTGCAGGATCAAAGAGAAGAAATTACATTGCAAAGGTTCTCCTTGTTTCTTTTATTTACTTATGCAAGACACTGGTCACATTGTCTTACTAGAAGGCTATGAGGATTTATTTCCACTTATGATTTTCAAGGCTTTGATGTTGCTAACACATAATGGAATGGGATTTTCATTAGAAAGAAACGAGTTGTTTGTTCGTGTAGCACTAGCCCCTGAAGATGCCTAGAAGCTTCAACTTATTTACAAAATAATCATATTTTCTGACGCCTTTATAATGTTTTACATAATTCAGGCAAAGGTGAAATCTCCTCAAAGCCATCTAGCCACCTCCGATACTGAAGTGCTCCCAAAAGATGCCTTCAAGGAGGAGTCTGAGGATGACAAAGTAGTCTCTGACTCTGCTGCTGAGTCATCAAATGATGCATCTTATTCTCTTCCAGTTCAGTCGAAAGAAAATCTACAAGAATCTATCAAGGAGACACCTGTCCAGCCCGAGAAACCATTGCCCGAAGAATCAGTAGTTAAAACCCCTGCCATTTCCATTGATGCCTCAGTTGAAGCACATCCAGAAGGAGAAGATGGATGGCAGCCAGTCCAAAGACCAAGATCAGCTGGTTTGTTTGGAAGGCGTCTAAGACAGCGCCGTCAACATGGATACAAGATGCTTAATCATCAAAAAAGAGATTTTGTCACTGAAGTGGATCAGTCCAGACAGAAAACTAACCATCAAAGTGGTAAATACTATGTGTTGAAGAGGCGTGCAATGTCTCCCGGAAGATTTACAGAATATTATGTAGCAAAAAATCCATCATTGGTAACCAAAGTTGGACGGAAAGTAGTGAAAACAGTGGCATACAGAGTGAAGTCTGTGAACTCAATCAATGTGGATGCGGCGGTTGACAGCGCTAACAATGAAGGTGAGGCATTACACCCTCCATCTGAATCATCAGTTTCACCAAAAGAAGTTGGAACAGTCGCAAAAAGAGGTTCAATTGTAAATTTGGGCAAATCTCCCTCGTACAAGGAAGTAGCTCTGGCACCACCTGGTACCATATCTATGTTGCAGGCGAGGCAGCCTCAGAATGATGAACCCGAAGAACATATAAAGATGCAAGACAATGAGAAAGAAAAATCAGTGTCAGTTGTATTGAATGCTGAAGACAAGCAGGAAGTTATTACTGAGGATGTATCAATGGATTCCACAGCCGATCTACATGATGCAGAAAATGACAACCTTGAGCAGAAAGAGGAAATACAGTCTAATCAGGGAGAGAACAATAATAACTCAGAGGTCATCACTGAGAACATTGCACCTATGGAATCCAGCTATGATGTGTCCAATCCAATGGATGAGCTAAGTCTCGACACTGATGATGTGTCGAATTATGTTCATCCCTCAGAGATTGATGCTTCCGGAGAAAATTCAGTGGATGAGACTACAGAAACCAACAAAGGCGGCGAAGAACTGAAAGCAAAACCTGTGAATGACTACAGAGAGGTTTCCAACAAAAAGTTATCTGCATCAGCCGCGCCGTACAATCCATCACTAGTTTCTCCGCGTGTTGGACCACTGCCTTTGAACATTACTCTCCCGTCTGGTCCGGGAGCTGTTCCACCAATTGGGCCTTGGCAAATGAATATGGCTATCCATCCAGGTCATGCTACCATGTTACCGAGTCCTATGGGTACCTCTCCCCACCATCCATATCCGTCGCCCCCTCAAACACCAAACTTGATTCACCCATTGCCGCCATTTATATACCCTCCATATACGCAGCCCCAGTCGATGCCAGCTAGCACATTTCAAATGACTGGCAACCAATTCCATCCCAGTCAGTTCCCCTGGAAATGCAACATGCGCACCAACACTTTACCAGAGTTCATCCCGGCCACAATGTGGCCAGGCTGCCAATCTATAGAGTTACCCTCTCCAACTGTGGTTGAGTCATTTGGTAAACCTGTTTTGGAGACTGGGGAACATCCTATAAACTCGGAGAATTTAAATTTGGCGCCGAATTTACCTGCAGATCTTGACAGCAGCAATGAATCTAAGAAGGAAATAGATCTTCCAGCATCAGAGGCCATTGAGAACTTAACTGAGACCAATGTAAGTAAACCGGGAAATCAGGAAGAACTCAGCGATTCTGGTTATCACAGCATATCCCTTCCAGTTAACCTGTTGAGCCGCAGTAGTGGACAAACTGAAGAAGGTCATGAGTTTAACGATTACCACGCGCAAAGACAGCAGTGGAAAGCAGAGAATGAGAAAACCTTTAGCATTTTAGTTAGAGGTAGAAGGAACCGGAAGCAGATGCTGCGCATGCCTGTAAGTATGCTGAAGAAACCATACAGTTCGCAGCCGTTCAAGGTTGTGTATACCAGAGTTATGAGGGAAACCGAACATCCTAGATCAACAAGTTTTGATTCCAGAGAAAGTAGCACTGCAAATGCGTAAGAGGACCCTGCAGCTTATATAAGAAAAGTGTTGTATTTTGAAAGTATGATCAGTGCCAGCTCTGATGTGATGAGTAAAATGTATTTGTGGGCAGCACACAAACATGCCGGTTCGTACCTTTCCTTCTTTCTTTTTGAATGCTCCATGATTCTGTCGGGGTTGCCCGTTGCCTTTGCTCGATAGATAGATAGATAGATAGATCATCAATCACTAATCCGATCGAGTTCATTGTCGTTGTATGTATGCAGGTTGCCATGTGATCTCAAGGATGGATGGAAATTGGAGATGTAGCAGTAGGAGTAGGGCTTCCTTCCTTTGAGCAAAATTTCTGCATTTTCAGATGAGTCTTGATCCTTTCCTTTCCTTTCCTTGCTTACTTTTTCTTATTTTTGAGGATGAGGAATTCCTTTGGCCATGCACAATAAACCATTTACAATTTGTTGCTCCTTCCGACACTACACTACACTACACTACACAAAGCTATTCTTTCTTTCTTGACATTATTATCATTTTTATACAAGAGACCTGAACACTGTCTGTCACTCTTGTTCCGATTCTTTACATTTTCTGACTTAATTCATTTTGGTGAAATTGCCAAGCCTATTGTGGAATTTTATATTTGATTAGGTGAAATTGTTACATGTAATAGTTTCCATGAGCTTGCGGAAACCAGCCCTGTTTTCATAAGAAACGACGAACACTCCGTGTACAGGGATATAGCTGCAATATCTTCGATCACTTATTCTTCAACTATGTAAGGATTGTGCATACGCACGAGACGGTTTCATGGCTACCATGCATGTTTTAATTAAAAGTCATAGAGTGTGCAAACCAAAAATAATAAAATAAGGACAAGTATTATCATAACCAAAATCACGTAGTAGTAGTAGATGATGATTCAATGAGATTTCACGCTAGTGTACAAAGAATATAACTAGATCAATCGACCAAACAAATAAACATTAAAGGTAAAAGGGCGGGCGAGCGATCGAGGTGGTTCAAATGCGTAATGCAGAAATAAAACAGTAGAGTAGAGTAGAGTAGAGTACAAACCTATTCATTCGTTCATCTTACTTGGACCAAGCCACAGAATCAATCTCAGCCTGCGCCGCTCTGTACAGCTCCAGCCTTTTTGCGAGCGATGTCCGGCGCTGCATGATTGCCGGATCCTCGTCCAACAGTTTGCCCAGATGCCTAGCTTCCTTCGTCCCTAGTTCTGTAAAAAAATGATCCAGCAGGCTGCGCTTCGCCTCTCGGACTTGGCAATAAACTACTGATTTCGGAATCGAGTTTCTCAAACTTGCACACACCATATTCACATAAGACAGCACATTTGTTGCTGCGCACAAAACGTAATATTTCAATAATACTGAAATAGAACAAAGATTAAAAAAATAATAAAAAATGCAACTATTACTCACCTATTCTGCGTAGATACGAGTCATTGTATCTATCGAAAATTGAATGGGTGGGATTCCCGCCTTTCTCCACGTCTTGAGGAAGTTTCCGGAAGAAATCTACAGTCAGGTAACAGCACTCCATTTCTACTAGCTGTAGAGCGGCTTTTCTGCTTTCTTCCTTCATTCTGTTCAAGGAATCGATCGCAGCATTCCCAACCTCGACCCTGAGAGAGGGGTACTGCTTCAGCTCCTGCCCAATCAACAGAGAGATACATTTATTAATTCTATAACTCACACAGCCATACGGTTTTACTAGTAGAGATTTATTTCCAATTCCAACCTGCCGAAGAACCTCTAGCAATGTTAACAAATGAAATCTGAAGATCAAACTAACAAAAAAGCACTGTAATTCTAAACCAAATGGGCTCAAGACTCACAGATGTTTCATTCATCGACTTGTGAACAAGGTCCTTCAGGATTGCATGGACCTGTAAAGACAACATCAACAGGTTTGTAAAGCAGCTTGTCATAATCGACTCAGCTGATTGATAATAGATAGTGCTGTCAGAATCAACTTCAAAAAGCCCTCTCGATGAACCAGGAAATATAATAAAGTACACATCTTTATTTCAATGATTTGTGAAAACCCAAGAACTATGGTAGAAGCATCAAGTTGCACACTAAAATTAAGCAGAACCATCACCCAACATTAGTCTTTTCATCAATGTCAGAAGACTAATTTTCTACATTCATCTTATGTAATGGCAAAAGTAAATCTGCTTCATTATATATTTAATAAATAAATAAAGAGACCTAAACCAGTTATAAAGGATGAGGCCAAAAAAATATAGAGAAAATCGCTGTGTTAAAAATCAGTTGGCAGAAACAGTAGCACCAGCCATCATCATAGTGACTTTTGACATAATGCTGGAAATAAATTAATCCTGGTATAAACGTATAAATTGTGCAAACAAATGCCATGTTTATATTAACATTACAATGCTGAAATTTCATACCGCATCGACAGCAGCTTCGGCAGGACCTTTAATTGTGAGCAGGGCGGTCTCAATGAGACGACGGTAACCTTGTTCTGGGGCTATAAGATGAGGCTGATAACCATCAGCTTCAGTAATCAATTTTCGTACATTTTCCATAGCAAGATGCTTATCAAACTGCAAACGCTTCAACGCAGCAGGCAATTGGTTATCAAAGACATTATTTATATTATCACCGCCTGGACGTCTGCAAAATCAGATAACAAAAGGAAGGATCAAAATACATTATGCAAAGTATTTTGCACTACGAAGGTATGTATCAAAAAATCACAGATGCATACACTCCATCAAGGTGCTCCTTGAATATTCCATCAAATGTACGGCAAATTTCCATGATCATGTACAATTTTCCCTGCATTATTACCCATATTTGTCAAGGTATTGATTATTAAATCATGCAGCATGTTTGATATTGAAGATAGCATCCTTAGTGGATATAAGAATTCCTAGAAAGAACAGAAACAGCCAGGTCCAATCAAGAGAATACAAAGGAGTCATTGCTATATAACTGAGATTAAATAGCCAAAGAATGAGCAAGGAAAAAACTTACTCCAGCATCGTTTGCAATGGGCTTTCCCAGACGACTCAACTCAGATTCCAGCTCAATAATAGTTTTGTTGATTAGGGACTGAAGGCCTGGAATTCGGGATTTGATAACGGTTTCCAAATGCTAGATTAGCAAGAAATACAAGCATCAGTAATCGGACTTAAAATTTTGACCCAAGGAGCAACAGTCAATAAAACCAAACTTGTTCCCAATTTAATTTACCAAATGCATAGCAACATATAGGACTCAATAGAGTCAATGCTATAGCATGTGTCTAGGTCAAAAGAGAGAAAACTTCTGGTGTGTTCTTTTTTTCAAAACAAACCAACACATTTCTCCAAAAAAATTAATATATTACACTTATTTTTATATTAACTGCACAATTTTCTATACCTCACATAAAAAAATATTTTTTCAAACTATTTTACAAAACAAACAAACCCTTCACTTGTCTAACATTTGAGCATACCAGTCAAATAAGCACAAATTGTAGCGAGAATGATCATTTTAGAAATTTCTTCAAGACAAGTATTTCAAGTTTCAACCAAGTTCAATCTTCTTATCACAAATTTAAGAACAAACCTGATTTGCAATAGTTTACATAGCTATACCTAAACCAAAATGTTATAAATGGCAACATGAAACTTACTTTGGACAAGACTTTCCCCAGATACTCTGAACCCATCCTGTTAGCAAGATGTTTGTACTCTGGGGATTGAGCAAAATAATCCCGCTCTCTACGTCTTGCAGCAATCATGTCGACATTCTTGTTAATGTCTTGTTGAGAGCGATTAACAACACCTATCCATGGGAACTGCAACCTATATGCTTTTCCTTCCAAAATCTAAGAATTCAAATAAAAAGTAGTCATATGGAAAGTATATAAACCTTTTACAACACCAGGAGAATACAATCTATAATTTTGAACTTACATCTACAGCATCAGTACCCTTGTCCATAAGGTCAATCTTGGTTAGAACTCCAAATGTCCTCTCTCCTGAGAAAGAATAGTAAAAACAGTTTACAATAAAACACATGTAATAAAGATTATTTCAAGTAAAACTTTTGAAGAGTAGCATAAGGCTGGTGTATTGTGCAAGTTGTGGAAACATGATCACAAACCAGTATATCAGTTTGTACTCATTTTACCTTTTGGGTCTACTTCACGGGAAATTTTAATGGCATCCGAAGTTGCAAGATCTTGGTTGGCTGGAGAAATTGCCAGAATAATACAGTTGGGCTGAAAATACATTTATGGGCATAAATATCAACACCATTCAACTAATAAAAAAATTCAAAAATCAAATAATGTGTCCTATGAGGTCTACTTCATTTTACAATTAAGGCAAACAAAAGAATCTTCTAGACTCCATTGTCTTTTATGCTTAACCTTGTGTACACTTCTCTAAGTTGAAAGTAATATAAAAAAGTAAATATGTATGATCCAAGTATATTACATTCACAAATTTGAAAGACTTCCAATCTCAAAAGTGTACCGCACGAACCCATAAATCTAAAATGAGTTTCTCATGATTAGAAAAAGGACAAAAAAAGGACATAGTTGACAACTAGACAAACTGGAAATATGAGTAATATGAATCATAGATTCGTACAACATTTTGAAGTATGAACATAGAATACTATCTTTCATGAAAATTACATTAACAATAGTAATGGAGTACCTTTTCAATATAAGATCGGACCATGTTCTCAATATCCATCACAATGCTGTCTGGCTGGCCCTCTATGATAAACCAGTATATCAATTGCTAAGTTTATTTTTTGAAGGTACTATGATAGAACTGACAGTGTGTGGTAGTGATGATGATAATAATAATAATAATAATAATGCTAAAATAACTCACCAACGGCCACCTTAGTAAGTCCAGGAAGATCAATCAATGTTAAATTCACAACTGCAATAACAAGAACATGAAATTACTCACTATTCGCTACATCTATTATTGGCCACTTCCAATTAAAAGTAGATCTACAATTGGAGCTGGATAAGGAACTAGAAATAAACTAGGACCTCAATGGAAAGATAATTGAACTGAATAACTATCTTTATAAGAAGAAAAATTAAGGGGCATGGGTGCTTGTGTATGCCTGAAAGACACAATAACAAGAGCAATGTCTTGCAATCACCAGAAAGGTAAAAAAACTACAGATTTTATACTGTTAAAGTAGAAATAAAACACTAATAAGAGAATTCATCAAATGAAGAATGAGTTGAACAAACAAGGCCTTGAAATTATAAGTTAAATAAATTATCATGTCTTGATTTCATGTGTAGCTTTTTGTGTCTTCGGAACATAATCCACATTTCTTATTAAATTTTCAACTTTTACATCATTTATTTTACATGGGATTTTTAATTAGTGGTTTTTTTTTTTTGTTTGTGTTTTTTTTTACTTTATAGCTACATTTCTGTATAACCATCATTGCCATCATATGATTCTTAATAAAATCCAACCAGAACAAGTATCTATACACATCTCCTAGAACATCAACAAAATTATACATTGATAAATAAATAAACTAACATAAATGGGTGAGATCCAATCTACACCTACCATTTGGAGAATAAATACTAAGATAAATTGGAACAGAAGAAATCTGTTTAGTGCGTCCTGTTTCTCTATCAGTTTCATCAGCGATCTCCTTCCTCACAGCAGCTGTACATAATTAATTAATTAAATAATAATCAGATTCTCAAATCAGTATAATATGCGATATATTCATTCACTCTGGGGAAAAACTCACTCTAGAAACAAGAAGTAGGAGAAAATAATATGTATGGCTAATCCACATATATACTATCCGATCAGAACTCAATGAAGTATCTGTGGAATCTTCTCAGTGCTTCTAAATGAAATTTGATCCACAGACAGATGAATTGATGATGGAACTTACCAAAATCGGTGAATCTTTTCCTAGGAAGATGGCCAAATTCTGCATATTCTCTACCTTCCTCTAGCTTATGAAGCTGCAAGACAAGTGGACGTCGAGTAACAATACCTGTATATCATGTATAAAATCAGCAGTGACAATATTGTGAGCCAATGTGCCAAAAGGTGTTTTCACATATCAGAAATGGCATGCTTTGACATGTAAGAACACTAGTTTACCAGATCCACGAGGTAAGAAGTCCTTCCCAACAATACTTTCGAGTACAGAGGACTTTCCAGAACTCTGCACAAAATAAATAGTAGATGTATTTAAACCAAAAACATATTTAACATCAAGTGGAAAGAGTGTCAAAACAAAGTGCAATTTACAATTTACAGGATAGCTGTAGCGATACTGCAGAAATCTTTAGAAAACTAATACAGAGTATCTGCAGAATTCAAAAATATAAGGCACTCAAAAAACTAGTTGCATCACAAGGAAACAGATCGTATCTACACCATCTATTTGGTATTGAAAATCAAACCCCCAATACTTTCAGAGAAAATATTCAGCAAGCGTTCAGTTACACCAAGGGATGCTCTGTAAACGTAGATCAGTATAACTATCGGGAGAAATGCATGTTCGATTAAGTTTAAAGAACTGTGAAACTATAGAAAAGTAAACCCTAATGAAAGCTATTTCCAGAACAAACCACTTCAAATGGTCATACTACAACTTTGAGCCTGCCTCAACAGTTTTGAGAACAAAAAATGACAGGATAACCCTACAATAGAGATAAACAAACTAAAAAATTGAACACGCTTAAGACGTAGATCTAAGCTCCAAGGCGCTAGAAATAGCATCAACCATCATCGGTTTAAACAAAGATTGATGCGAATCTATCTATACAGTATACACAACCGATGAAGACAAGAGAAACTAAACCAAATCAAATTCGGTAGATCCGCATAAAAAAAAAATGAAAGAAAATCAATCGAACCTGTCCGCCGACAACAGCTATAGAAGGCAGAGCATCCCAGAGAGTAGGCAAGGCACTCTCATCGCCGTAATCCCCGAGCGCGGTGCACGCCCTCTGCAATCGGTTCACCAACGAAATCAAGCTCTCCATATCCCCTCCAAGTCAGTTCCCAGTCAATGATATACGATATGATACGATACGATGGGGCAGCAGTCCAGTCGCAAACTAGCGTTGGATCTGGACCTCGACCTCGACCTCGAACTCGATTGCGTAGAGAAGAAGAGATATCAAACTCAAAGTGGGGATGCAAGGAGAGATGGATCGGAGTCTGAGGAGAGTCGAAATTCAAAATTCAAACACGGTGATAATAACGGTGGCCTTTTCTGCTCTGTTCGGCTCGGAGGTTGTCTTGAAGTTGTAATAATAAGTGGGGGGGCTTGACTCGCTCTTCGCCTTTTACTCGTTACTCGTAAGGATCGGACGCTCTTCGCCTTACAAATAAAAGCTTAAATTACATTTATATTTTATTTTTAATAAAAATATATTATTATTTTTTTTAAAATAAAATATTATTTAAATAAAAATTAAATCAATACATCTGGTAATAAAAAATTTTTAATATGTTACACATGAATGAATAACGGATTTGTTTAGATAGGAATTTATGAGGTTTTTAGGAATTTAAAAGTTTGAAAAAAAAATAAAAAATTACTATTTAATTTGATATTTTGTGAAAAAATATATATTTAATATAATATTTTTTAAAAAATAAATAAAGTATTAAATGAATGAAATTGTGTTGTGTAAATAGAGCAATTTGGCTCATGTTTATCCACTTTCAATCCAGTTTAAATATACAATACATATAACATATAGTTTAATAATACGTAATATAATTTCATGTAGTATAATATATATATATTAATTTTAGTACAATAGTTAAATACATTAAGGGTGTGTTTGTTTGGGGGTTTGGATTTTGAGTTAGAGATTTGAATAGTAAAAATTTTGAATTTGAATAGTTGTACAATATGATATAAATAGGTATTAATGTGATATTTTGAATATAAAATTAAATTGATTTTTAATAAAAAATATAAGAATAATAAATAGATTTTTGATTTAATTTTTTTTTAAAAAAAAATGAGATGAATAATGATTGGACCGTCGATCTATATGATGCTTTATAGGTCTTACTTCTTAGCTAATAGTAATATTCACTAAAATTATGTAAAATAATTACTTTTATACTTTATTCATTTTGAATATAACGTTACGTTTAAGGTTACTGTAAATATAAGTATTAGTAAAATTAATTTTAATATAATATAAATAATTATAAATTAAAATTAATTTTAGTTAAAGTTTTAAAAATTAAAAATTATAAAATTTAAAATCTAATTAAAATATAGTATAATTTATTTCAGAAAAATGATAGTACTATTCAATATGTGACGGACCTTAATGAAAGTACTGTAGGAAATTAGACTAATCTTGCTAAAAGGACAAGTAAAATTTCCTAATCTTGCTCAAAAAGACAACTAAGGGTGTGTTTGTTTAAGATTTTCTTTTAAAAATTTATTTTAATTCAAAACTTTTTACTATTTAAATATCAATTTAAAATTCAAAACTACTGAACAAACGCACCCTAAGGGTGTGTTCGTTTGATGGATTTGGATTAAATTCCACTATTCATCCAAAATTTTCCCCCCAAAAACATCAAATCAAACACCTATTTTTTATTTTTTATATTATACTAAAAATCAATTTTACATTCAAAACATCACATCATCACCTATTTATATCACATCATACAACTATTCAAATTCAAAATTTTTACTATTCAAATCCCAACTCAAAATTCAAACCCCCAAACAAACACACCCTAAGTTTACATCGAGTCGAGGTATGTATGCTAGGACTAAATTGTATTCTTCGATTAGAATAATAAGGTATATTTTGGAAAGTTGTAAAAATCGATTAATTAATTAATAATTATTGTTTCATTTGAAATTCATAGGCTCCTCCTCCTCTTCTCCCCGTCAAAGTCGTCATTCAACGCCTACTGCAGCCCGACGGTTCAACCACGTTTGCGCTTACCCTTTCTTCTTCTCCAATCTTCAGTTTTCCATTAACGTATACAAACCCAAAGCCATAAGAAGACACAGATCCATCCCAGTTTCCCCTTTCTCAATTCGATTGCCCCTGCGATTCCCTACTCCTTCGCCTTCGCCAACTCTGCCGAGGGGAGGGGTTTCCTCGGTGGTCACAAATCCTCTTTGTTTTCAGCTCATCTGGTTCCCAATTCGTGGAATCATTCAGTCTCAAGACGCCGTTTCCATCAAATTCTTGATGCTCCGTTCCTGAAAGCTACGCGCATTGTTTCATTTTTTTAAAAATTAAAAAAAAATAAAATTGATTTTTAGGTATTTGGCCGATTGCTGACGATATGGCCAATCACGAATCCTATTAGGGTTTGTGGGCTTTTCCATTCGAATCGGTTTAGTTTTAGGCTCGTTTTAATTAATTTAGGTTATTGTATATGCGTGATGAATATAATGGGCGTGCCGATTTGGTGAGATTTCGTATTTCAGGAGTTTAACATTTTAGGTTTTGGGATTTGAGCTGAAGGGGAATTTGTAGAAATGTCTTCTGCTGGTGTAGTTTCGATCGTCCCCTTTCGAGAGGATAGTTTGACGTTCATGCCGCCTCCATCGCCTGAATTTGATCAAGAATCCATTTCGATCTTTGTGTCAATGCCGGGTTCTTTTGTCCCAATGCAGGTTCTGGGGTCTGAATCAATTCAATCTGTGAAACTCAGGATTCAAACCTTTAAAGGCATATTCACTAGGAACCAAAAATTGGTTTGTGGAGGTAGGGCATTGTCGCGGAGCGATTCCCTTGTTCGAGACTATGATGTGAGCGATGGGAATGTTCTGCATTTGGTCCTTCGTCTGTCAGATCTTCAGGTTATTAATGTTAGCACTTGCTGTGGTAAAGAGTTCTCTTTCCATGTCGAGAGGAGCCGAAATGTTGGATATGTTAAAAGGCAGATAGCACATAAGAGAAGCTTAGAGCTTGTTGAGGAAGATCAAGAGGTTTTGCTGAATGGCAAGCCAATTGAGGATCACAGGTTGATTAATGATCTCTCCAAGGATTATACTGATGCCGTGATTCATTTCTTTGTCCGCAAGACTGCAAAAATCAGGGCTTCACCAGTTGGAAAGCACTTTGAGCTGTCTATCGAAGCACCACGGCAGAATGGCATAAGAGAGGGTGATTTAGGGAGAGAAAAGGGGTATGAACGTGATTTTGATAGTGAAAGTATTTATGCAGCGCCGAGGAAACCTCCAGACAGGCAGATAGTACTGGAGCCTGTAATTGTTAACCAGAAGATTGAGTTACCTTCAGAGATTAGGGATTTGATTGAGTCTACTCTGAATGGATTGGACAGTGGGAGTTATCCAATAAGGTCTTCCGAGGGCACTGGCGGTGCATATTTTATGCTGGATGCCTCTGGGACAAAATATGTATCTGTTTTCAAGCCAGTGGATGAGGAGCCCATGGCTGTGAATAACCCCCGAGGGCTGCCCTTGTCAGAGGATGGAGAAGGATTGAAGAAGGGCACCAGAGTTGGAGAGGGTGCAATCAGAGAGTGTGCTGTCTATTTACTGGATCATCCAAAGGGTGGTCGGCGCACTCTCTATGCTGACACATGGGGCTTTGCGGGGGTCCCTCCAACTGTCTATGTCAGATGCCTCCACGAAGGTTTTAATCATCAAGGAGGTGTATCTATCAAGTGTGGCTCCTTGCAAATGTTCATGGAGAATAATGGGAGCTGTGAGGATATAGGCCCTAGTGCCTTCCCTGTCCAGGAGGTGCACAAGATTGCTGTTCTGGATATGAGGATGGCCAATGCAGATAGGCATGCTGGGAATATATTAGTCAGCAAAGATGAGTATGGTCAAATTAAGCTTATCCCCATTGACCATGGCTATTGCTTACCATATACTGTAAGTTTTCTTTCTCTGTTCGACTTATTGCTGGGCTCTTTAATACACACACACACACACGCATATATATATATATGTATTGATCTCTGCTAGTTTTCATGGAAACTTCTGGTTTTTATGGCCCAACATCAGGTTAGGTCGAGACAATTAAAATCAATTTGTGCTTCCCACTGTGAATCAGTGCAAAGAAACAGTGTATTTTCCTTTGATAGAGTAGCTAAATTCTATAATAATATTTTGCTGTTTTGGCGGAAGCTATTAGAGTTTTGAAAGTTTGAAATGATATACTCCATGGCTGGTAATGATGAAATAATACATCAAGTGCACCTGCCTATTGGCCGTACATCTTTGTGGCCCTTGTTATTTTATTCTCAAATGACTAATTGTCGTGGAGCTTCTTGCATAGAATACTTAATTAGTGAAATTGTGGAGTTCCTCACATATAAGTCTGTAATTAGTTATACTTTATGAGTACCATTTGTAGGTTGTGCAGAATTCACTACTGATGATCATCCTTATCCTTGACAGTTTGAAGATTGTACATTTGACTGGCTCTACTGGCCTCAAGCTCGTCAGCCTTTCAGCTCAGACACAATTGAATACATAAGGTCAATGGATGCAGAAGAAGACATTGCCTTGCTCAAATTCTATGGGTGGGAGTTATCCCCTGAGTGTGCTCGTGTGCTACGCATCTCCACCATGCTTCTGAAGAAAGGCGCAGAGAAGGGACTCACGGCATTTACCATAGGCAATATGATGTGCAGAGAAACAATAAGGAAGGAATCTGTGATTGAGGAGATAGTTAGGGAAGCTCAGGACTGTGTGCTCCCAGGCTCGAGCGAAGCAGCATTCCTTGAGTCTGTCTCCATCATCATGGATCGCCGCCTTGAGCGCAGCGTACTCAACTCTAATTAGTAAACCTTACATAAGTGTGTGTCTATGTTTATAGTATGTTATCTCCTCAGCGTTGCCTCACCCGCACATACCTCCTATTGTGAATGTCTGTTCTTTAAGTTAAGTTACTCGAGTCGGTGTCTCAGGGATGATCATCTCACCTGATTTATGTGTGATTTTAGTTCAGCACTCTTGACCTCATAATAATGATATCCGGACTTGGGTTAGTTCTGATATGTAGTCCCTTCGGGTAATCCATCCGGACTCCCTCCATTATTATGTCAATGTTGCTTTCGAGCTCTGTGATTGTTGAAAGAATGATCTGTTGAATTTTCATTTTTCAGTTGTTCCCTTTCCATTTTGAAAATACTCTTCTGTTACATATGTATGTAAAGAGGAAACAAATTAAATCAAACACATTACCTGACTTCAAACTCCCAACTCTTCAAATTGTAAGAGAACTTAAGGCAGCTTGCTTAACCTTTCTTGAAATTCAGAAAGTTCGGAAAACACACGTTCTTACAGCATCAACAGTGTCATAATTAGACAGGAAACCCCTTTTCAAGAAACAACAGTACACTCCCAAGAAATGTAAGAATACACATTGTTACTGGCAACATCCAAAGAAGATAAAAGGAAGGTTTAAAGCACAGGAGACTGGCTGAGAGATAGAGATTGCTGAAGCCCAGACATAAATGAAGCATAGGCAGCAATTCTTCTTGTTATAATTATTGTTATTAACTAAGTGCACAAATTGGGCACACATGCTCCACCATCCAAGCTATGTTGTTCCTTCCATATTCGCCCTGTCACTCGTAGCTTAAGTTCTTTCCTGTCACCCCCGGAGAAAAACAGTGCCATGTTGCGCTGTATAATGAGGCCATCATGGCTGTCCCGCACCTTTCTGTGGCTATCTCTGATGCTCCGAGGGGTGCCTTCCCATATCAGCTTTCGACCATTCCCACCTACCTCCAAACTGTAGCTATAGTTCCGAGCATCCACTTCATCACCCATGAACCGAAGGAAAGCCATGTAGACAGGAGCCATTCCAAGTTGAAACGCTTCGAAGTGTAGACAGAAGTACTGGCCGAAACAATGGAAAACCTGCACAAGGAAAAAGACACTCACTACAGGCCAGTTTGCTCGGGCTTAAAGTATTCCTGAGGCTTGATTTGCAGAAGGTATATACAGAAACTCGACAAGAGATGGTAATAACATCATTTTTTTTTGTTTTTATGCAGCAGAGTCGAGCATACATCTAAAAAAAAGTACTTACTGTCAGCATCCAAGTTGCATTTTCTACATCACGAGGATTTGATTTGACATAACGATGATTGAAGGTGCACCCAGAATGCATATCCACCTTGTGATCATCTCTCAAGTGAGCAACTAGGTATGGGATATCGCCAACAACAGAGCACTCCGAGCCAGCATAGGGACAGTTGTATGGCCTAAAGCTGCAGATAGCCTCATGCTTCAACTTGCTATAGTAAGGGAAGACCTCTGGGCACCCAAGGGAAGAATACTTGCATGAAAGTTCAAGCGATTCAGCCACCTTTTCGAGAGCCAGGCACCTTATATCACCTAGCTCCTGTCTACAAGTCGGGCATCGGTTGTGAACCCTTGCCTTACACGTGGAACATAGAGTGTGGCCATTGTGGCACTGCAGCAATCAACTTGATGTTAGGGTAGCTTCAATAAAATGTAATCAGGACAGTGCCAAACTCACACAAATTACAATAACAGGATCGGTTCACTTGAAGGCAATGATTAGGCACCCAGTCAACAAGATTGCAATAAACTTTGCATGGTTACATTTCATCAATCAGGTGAATTGGGAAAATGGTTTAACAAATAAGTGACAAATTTGAAGAAAGCTTCACATCAGATCACCTACTAGGCGAGATATCAAATAAGAAACAAGACCCAAACTATAGTAAGATTGATGTAATCAAATATTAGTGCGACTTCCTACTAGTTTAGACCAGATGTAATGTTTGGGAGTCTCGTTCAAATTCCCACAATCACCCATACATACGGAAGTGTTCTACATGCAAGTCTTCATGAAACAAATCGATGTCTGTATGTGAGAGGACAGTACAGGTAGAAGAAACTCATAGTCTTTGCTCTAAGCATTCGCACCCAAAGATTCATTTGATGCATACTAGTTTATCTCAGCATTTGCAATTGCACCCACAGTTTATATTGGCTTCTCCTATCTTGGTAGTGCACTATTACTTAAAACTTCAGACATGGCCACAAATTTTTGGTTGGCTCCCACTAACCTCATCCTCGGGGAACACTCTCTAATGCACTAAGTATTCCATCAATGGTGTGTAATTCCTATGCCTCACAACCCCATCGGTTAAAATCTCCTTGACAACCTTGTCATATGGCACTTACATCCCTATCAATGCTCTCCCAGTCCGGCTTGGATCCTGCCTTTATGGTATGGCTTTAGCATCAAATGTATAATGGCTCCAATATTCTTTGCTATGATAAATAATCCCCCATAACATTGAGTCAAACCTTAGTGACACCTTGAATCTCCCGTGTTGGTAAAATGTCACTAATACTTGGTCACCTTTGAACTCTTGGTCCGTTCTCTTCTAGTCCTCATTTTTTCACCCTCTTTTGGACCTTCTCACAGGCAGGTATGATCTTACCAACCCTTGACAAAGTGGAATGGTAGTAGGCTATATCCTTTGTAACCACCAAGTTCTTTTGTGTTGCTTGTTGGAAACCAAGTATGTTTTGAGTAGGCTTTTCCTCATATTTTCATTTTTTGTAAGTTAAAGCAAAATTGTGCAACCCGCTGATAGTTGGTTTTCCACCTTGTCTTACTAGCACACTAAAAAAGTCTAAACATAATTGTCTAGATCTTCTTTCATGTTCAGCCATTAGAACCTCTTCTACAATAGTACTAAGGTCGGTGATTGCCAGCATGTACCACATATTTGCTATCATTACGATATCTCATATTGACTGCCCTTATGCCAACATATACATCCAGAACTTGTTATGGAAAAAAACAAGCCATTCTTCAATGAGAATCACTTCATCTTATCCTTCTCATTTAGGTCATATAAGCCTTGCACTTGTTTGTCATACACTAAGCCTTCCCTAATCTAGCCTATGATGTTTTCTTACATCATACACTATGGATTTGCCACTATGTGTCTCTTTCTTTGGTGGTACTCAATTTCATACTTGAATTATGAAATCCAACAAACACACTTGTTTATTAGTTAGTGTTTTTGTTCTTTTTTTTAGATTGGAAATACCTTAGTGTTCGGTTTTCAGCGACAATCTTGGTAGGAATCCCCACTTTCATGTATTGCTCCCACACTTTTAGGCAATGCAGTGAATGCACTACCATAAGCATCTTCTTCTCATGTGTCATTGTCTCTCTATATCCACCAATTTGTGGCTCTAGTATGCCATTGGATGATCATATTGCATTAGAACTCCTCCATGGCAGCACCTGATGCACCCACCATTACTTAAAACAACTTTGAGAAGCCCAGAAGCACGGGAACCAGCTCCTTGTTGATCGACACTTTTATCTCTGTAAATGCCTTAGGGATTTTTCACATGTTATTCAAGTGCACCATGATCAATAAGTGTTCCTTGATGAACTAAAGGTAATCGTTCCAAAAGAAAAGACCTTAGTTCTAATAGGACTTTAATGTTACCCCCTCCATTATCGTCTTTCCATTGTCATGTCCATCTTTGTGTTTTCATTGCCCACAATATGCCTTAAAAATCTAACCTCCTATAGGTCGAACTTGCACTTGGTTTTGAAAACTTTTCACGGACCAAATTATTCCTACTTTAATACACCCTATGAAACCTAACAACTTCTCAACTATAGCAAAAACAATGTTAATTCAACCTTACGAATACAATCAAATTTAGAAGTTTGGGAAAATATATAGACCGTTATCTCATATTTTGCATCAAATAGAATTTCTAACACATCCCAAACAGGTTCGTTTGGTTTTGATTTGGGTTTGGGTTTTTCTATTAAAGTTTTGATTTAGGGTGTGTTTGTTTGAGAGATTTTGCCAAAAATCCACTATTCATCCAAAATTTTCCCCCAAAAAAGATCACATCAAACACCAATTTTCATTTTTTATATTATTCTAAAAATCAATTTTACATTCAAAACATCACATCAATACTTATTTATATCACATCATACAACTATTTCAATTCAAAATCTTTACTATTCAAATCTCAACTCAAAATCCAAACCTCCAAACAAACACACCCTTAGTATTTCAATATGATATTTTATGAGAACTAGTGTATCTTTATTAGAAACCTTTATTAGAAACCGTGCAAGCGATTTTGGTTTCAAATAATAACCAAACATACCCATAGGTATGGTTGGTTATTGTTTCGGGTTGTGGTTGGAAGTTTCATTTTCCTGTTTGGAGTGAGATGTTCGAGTAATGTTGGAGTTATGATGTAACATATGCATGACTAAAAATAAATTTAAAATGTATATCTAAGTGTTTTTAAAGCTATAACTCTACAAAGTATATTCAATATGGATGTAGTTTTGTAACAAATAAAATTATATAATACATATTTATATATGATTAATCATTTGCATAAAAGAAAATAGAAAGTTTTGAATGTATACATTTTTTTATATAGGAAAGGGATAGAAATAGAATATTACAAGTGATCCTATTTTGACATATTTTTAAATGGTTTGAGATGATAAATGTTGGAAGCATAGTAGCAATGTTGTTTGCGTTTGCGATAACAATCATTCCCAAATAGAATACTTCTACCCTATTTTAAATAGAATTCTACAATATTCTTCTCAAGACTGCCAAATGATTTGGTTAATCTCTATGACTCAGTTCTCGGCCAAAGATGTGGCACTGGGATTCCTAACCATACCTGACATTGATGTCACAATTATAGAAAGTACAAACATAGATTTTTAAAAAAAAAGACCTATATGCTTGTCATTTCTTAAGCTTCCCAGAGTAAAATCCAGGGTAGTAAAAACTGTTCATTCTACTAAACAAATCAGCACAGAAGTATAAGTTATTAAACATCACATCTACCGTGTGTTTGCAGCCAAACCAAATAAGAAAGCAGAAGAAGAAAGGGGAGCTATTTGGGTCAATCCCAGAAACCACTTCACAAAGAATCCAATATCCCATCAAATTTAACCATAGAAGCAAGAATTACCATTTACCATTTAAGTATCTCCCTAACTAAAAATGCAGAAATTTCTAGAGAAACGGCATCTTCCACACGACAAAAACCAAGATAGTTCTGAACAGCAAACATTAAAAACAGATTCAACCTTCAAATAACGAACCCATAAAAATGGAATCTTGGCAACGCATTTTGTCCGTAATACCAGTATAATATCGAATCTTGGAAACAATCACAAGTACCCAATTAACAGAAAGTTCAAAATGGAAAAAGAATAAAAATAAAAAAAATAAAAACGAGAGCAGATTAAATTAAACCTGATGGATGGGAGGATACATAAAATTGGTGCAAACAGGGCATTCTAGAAGCTCGTGTACACTTGTGGCTGGATTAATCACCACGCCATTGCTGCCAATATTATTGCCGGGTGACTTGGAGGATGAAAACTGAGAATACGGATTTGCGGGAGAGATCTCATCTTCATCCATTCCGTCTGTGGAAGATATGCATTCTATGCTGGATTCCATTCTTGCTTTTTAAATTTCTCTGGGTTTAAATCAAAAGGGCAAAAATCCTTTCTAGAACATGAGGGTTGTGAAATATTGGGGAAATTCTCCCTATGGCTTGGCTCCCCTTCCTCTTGATGACCCTGAATCAATTCTCATCAGATTTCGAGATTTTTGGAGGGTGAACAAGAAAAAGAAAATGGAGGAGGAGGAGAGAGCCAAGGTGCTTTTCTTGATTGAGTTTCCCTTTTCTCGTCTGAATTAATATTTTTGGTGTTTCTTTTGAGAGAGAGAGAGAGAGAGACATTGAGAGAAGGGGGGAGAGAGAGAGAGTATGGGCATTGGAGGCCTTTTCCCCTTTTCTTTTTCGGCCATTAAAAACAATAATTATTATTATATGCTAATTAATCAAATGTACGATACAGCCCAAACACCTTCAAAGGGTGCATTGATTTCCATAAATATAAGCATGCTCCCATTTCTTTGCTGCTGGCCAAAGAAAAAAGATTAAAAAAAAGGAACCCCCTTTAGAAGATGTGGCCATAAATGCAGGCTGCAGGTTTTGCCAACCCCTTATTCAATATGAGTTTTGAATTCTTAAAGATTTAGGTATAACACTTCTCAACCACACCCACAATGTAAGAAAAGAACAACACTCTTCTTATTAAAAGGCTTGTCAGAAATGGGCAGCTTGGGTGCTTAAATTGGATGAGGATTCTAGTCAGACAACTGGTATGTATGCATGTAGTGTTATATCATGGAGAAACTGGCATCTTTAATTTTGGATATTTCAAAAATGTAAAACGTCTGAAATGCTAAATGGGCTTTTGTTAAACAAGTTCACTAACAAGTCGTCAGTCAAAAGCAACCTATGATGGATGCATGTCTTTGTTATTGCAAAGAAATTGGGTTGGAATTGTGCAAACATATTGGGGCTGTCATAATCATGTGTAATGATTGTGGAGAGAATTATCCACACAAAGATTTGGAATTTATGTATAATTGACATAAAATTAAAGCAAAGCTTAGATTAACAGCTAATGCTAGTCATTATTATAAAGTAAAAAGGGGCAATAGAGTAGAACAAGTTTTTGAAGCATCTTTTGCCTTAGCATGTATGTATGTAAGTTGGAATTGCAAGAAATCCATCCCTTTTTCTCTTTGGGCTTCTCTTTATCAAAGTGCACAAGATTCTTCTCCTGCAACAAACTGAGTACAGGACAGTGCAACAATATTCCCATGCTTAATGGTCAGATTCATCTTCACAATTATGACAAGATTAATATACAGAAATGTCTGAAAAGAAAGTTGAATCTTTTCAATATATTCTGTGGCAATCCCAGACTTATGGGACACTGGCATTGACTTCTTCACGCCTCATTTCCTGCCAAACAGATGGAAATATATATATTTATGTATGATTTTTTCAAGAAAGTAGAAGAAATGTGTGGATCAGTTCACATCAATCAAAGATTAAAGGCTGCATCTGTGATAGATCCATATGAAAATATTCCTAATTGCTGATGAAGAAGAAGTAAGATTCTACAAGGAAGAAAACATCATGAAACGTGTTTATTTCCTTAAATTTTGCAAGTCATATTTTACAAACACACAAATGTAATGAAAAGTCTCAAGGAATTTGAACAGAATTCTAGGGGTGGGGAGAAGTAGCAACTGAACTACTTTCAAGTAATCCGACTTATTTAAAAATCTCTATATTAAAGTAAAACTGGACAAGACAAGAACAACAATTTTGGTCTCTTACATCCCCAGCCAGCATTTAGAAAACAAGTATGGAAGGGATGTAAGAGTTTAAGCTACCATTGATTTGGAAATGCTTCCCTGTAGGTTGCATCCTCAGATGCTGTCAGTTGTCTGACTGTGGCGTCCCTTACTCGAGCGTTCAACAGCCTTTGAGTTAATCTGTCTTTAGAAGTTTCTTTCTTTTTCAGCATTGATGCAAGTGTTTGTTTCTTGGTTTTAGCTGAAGATCCTGAGCCATTGCTCGTTTCAGCATCTTCCCCAACGTGAAAAGATTTTGAAGTTGAAGCGATTGCAGCATCACGCAACACAGATTCATTATGCTCCCTCACTTTTGCAAGCTTCGCTCTCTTTATGGTCTGCTTGTCAAGATCTCTCTTCTTCACTGCTTCTTGGTCTTTTTCCCGAACATTCTTTACAGCTTGTCTAAACAGCTGATCAACTACATTATTATCATCATCTGGGGTCAACACTTCCGGCTGCTTCTGGGTAACTGTATCATCTGTTAAGGAGTTCTCTTCCATAGGCTTTCCTTCATCATCCCTAGGGATGATGGGTCCATGAAATGGGCAAACTCTCAAATCCATTCTCTGACAAAGTCCACCCTTCCTTAAAGGAGCTCGACATGGTTTGATATCAACAGGTTTTTCTTCATAAACAAATGCCCGGACATTGAGTTCTGCAATCTTTTCTGCTGGTATGACCGCATCATGGTCAACCCTACCCCAGTGACCTTCAAGTTCCAACCCCCTCTGATTAGCTAATACATCTCTGTCTGATCCCCAGCTGTCAAGGAATGATCCCCAATTAAGAACTGGAGCTTCAGTCAAAAGCTTACTTCGTAAGGGGTTTGATTCATTTCCAGTCTTCGCATTACTCTCTTTGGCATCTACCCGTGACAAATTATTACTGCATTCAGCTTCTCTTGAACTACCACCAATATATGGATCTTGCTCATTGCTACTTCTGGAAAGGCTTGGACCAAGTTTACCATGATCAAATGTTTCTATGATACCTTCTTCCCAAACAACATCCTCTTCAGCAGGTGTAATTTTAGGAAGAGTACAACCTGATTCTTCACATTTTCTTATTGTTGACTGGATAATATTTCTTATATCTATGAGATCTTTCAAAGCAGCATCTATAAACCTGTTGTCAGTAGTCTCCACCCTTATTAGAACTGAAATTGATTCCTGGATAAAAGCCAGATGCTTAGTCATTAGAACCTTGTAAGACTCCCTGAGTGCATCAAAAACAACTTTATTTTCACTGTTCTCTTGAACTTTTTCCCCTTCTTTCAAAGAATCAATCCGTATTTGCCGTAGCTCTGGATTACGATACTCTTCCATTTCTTCTTCATCCATAGGGGCCAGCGACATATCTTCATCCTTAGCTCTAAGAATTTCTAAACACCCATCAATTTCGTCAATCTTTGATTTTATTTCCTCTTTCACTGAAGGAAAGTTGGCCTTCAGAGATTCGAATTTTTTTAGTAAGATCTCTTTTGTTTTTATTTCTCTTTCCCTTCTCTCTTGCTGTATTCGGGCAGCATTGGCTTGTAGGTTAGGAAATTGGAAACGAAGAGTGTTCTTGAGATAGTCATAGCCTAATCTGACCTGCCGGTAATGAATTCCAAATTGCTCATTCCACTTCTCCAAAAACTCAATAGCCTTTGACCGCAGAACAGATGCAACAGAAACAGGAGCAGGGAGTGGATGATTTCTTCTAAACCCAATGCTTAGGCTAAGTAACTGATCCAGGTTCTCAACAAGAAGACTTCTGAAAAGCTTTGAGCGCATGAAAAGTTCATCTATTATGAAAAGAGCAAGATAGCGAACCTACCAAAAGAAATCGAAGAGATTCAATTTATGTCATACTCAGCCATATATGCAATTGCATGGAACAAAAAAGAGTCGCAACAATTCAACAATGAAAACAAGGCTGTCATGTATGTATGTATATATATAAATTTCTTTTACAAGGAAATCCTTTCTTCCTAGAGTGAAGCTGGGATTTACAATGATTTTCTGACCTAGCAGGATCACTCGCAAACTAGCCCTAACCCCCAATTCCAACGAGAAAATTACAACAATTCAACCACTCTCCAGGTACAAATTAGACTTTTATTTATAAGCAAGAGATAATTGAGTCTTTGTAACCTCTACGCACCTGAGAATGATCGCGTCTCATGAGTGACATTAGGGCTTTGGCGGCAGCTCGTAGCTCCGAATCCGAATAACGAACGGTCACTTTAATCGCCTTGAGAAGGCGGGGATCTACCTCCCCCGCCGTAGAGTTGGTCGCCTTGTCAATCAAATCCACAACCACTAGTTTCTGGGTTTCTTCCTCCGCCATGGCTTCCCACCGGTATTTGAGAGGTGGAGTTATTCTTATTTAGATCGTGGATTTCCCGGCGGTGGCATTTGTCTGATTTTGTAGTCGTATATGGTATTGTAGATTGTTATTGAGAAAGTCAATGGCGGTTAAGGTTTTCCTTCTTATGTTATATTTTCAATTTTTCATTAGTGTTTTTCTTTCATAATATATATATATATCATTATGTTTAAAAAATCAAATTATCATTTTTAAATATTCGTTTGTTCCCAAATTATATCTTAATTTGACTTGGAATTTAAGTCTCACATCAATTTAGTAATATAATATTATATTAATTGATTGATATAAAATATAAAATAAAAATATATATATATATAAATTAATAAAGTAAGAAATTATTTTAAATAAATTGAGAATTTAAATGTCGCAATGCATTTATAAATAAATATAATATTGAATGATATAATTTAATAAGTAAGTAAAATTATTTATAATTAAAAATATATATATTTTTTTATGAACAAATAAAAGGAACCTTTAAATTTGATAAACGGATGAAGTACAAATTTCGTTCCAATATGAAGGAGACAATGTAAAATTAGTTTTATGGAAGTTTTTCATGTAAAATTAGTTTAATTTCACACAAATTTATATAAATTTAATTATTCTGTTGCATTAATGAGTTTTTGTTGATATGACCGTGAAAATTCAAGGATTAGACGAGAAATTCAGTGAAGTCTTTCAATCTATAATCTTAGCATCCCGTAGATAACTATTCTCTACTTACTTTTGGATCTCCAAGACTCAAAAAAATTGAATTTATATGACCGTAAAAAATGCATAATTGTATATTAAAAAATATATTCCTCGGTCCCATGTAATATGGGTGTATTACCGTAGACACGATAATTTAGGTAAAGTATAATTAGTAAGTAATTAAGAAGTGTATTAGTAAAAATAATTATTATTTAGTAAAAATAATTATAGATTAAGATTAAGATAAGTAAATAGTTTAATTAAAATTAAGAAAATTATAAAATTTAAAATTTAAAATGCAATTAAAGTACATAATTATATTTCCAAAAATAGAAAGGACAAGTTATGTGGGACGATGGGAGTATTATATTTATGAGATATACAAACAAATATACAAGTTATTTTATTGATATACTCCTAGCATATACGATTATGCATCAAATAGCGTAATCATATTCATAATATATGTAAACAAGTATATCCGTGTGTTTTAAAATTATATTTTTTAATTCAAAAATCGTATAACATGTCTATGTGCTTAGAACACAACAAGTTTCTAACAAACAAGATCGTATATTGAGAAGTATGGCCATATTTTTCATATAATACCCATTTACAATGGTAAAATCAGTTTCTAAATTTCGAGAGGTTGACTATCGAAATATTTTTGTAAATTTGACGTATATATTTTTATTTTTTTATTCTATTTGTCGTAGTAATGGATGAAAAGAAAAAGACATAACAAAGTAACGGTCTTAATATTTTGAGTGAAAAATTTAGGACTAGGAAAGACTAGTATTTCCTCAAACTCCTTCTAGATCCGCTACCGCCAATTTGTACAATGAGAAGTATGATTACGTTCCTCGTATATACAAATTTGTACACTTATTCCTCATTTATATCAATTTGTACATGATTCTTTTTGATGTTATGTATACTGTTGAAAATTTTGATTGTTCAATGTCTAATCCAATTAGTCCTTCGAAAATATAATGTGTTGGTCAACCCTTCGAAAATATAATGTGTTGGTCAACTCCGAAGCTACCCTCTAGACATGGCCTAAACTCTTAACCCAAATCCAAATTCAAATCCTAAAGCAATCCCTCGCCCTTTTAATTAGTTTGTTATCAATTTGTTAATAACCTTGCCAATTCAGAGGTAATTTAGGGAAATTAAAGATATTTGTGTGAGTGGTTCTTTGTCATGTGTGAAAAACTAAAATAGAGAGAGGAAAAATGAGAGATAAAAAACAAAGAAATCGCTAGTAAAATTCAGTGAGCTACGACAAAGTTTTCCACGAAAATATAAGTCTTTTCCAATAGCCGATTCTAGGGGGTAGCTTAGAGCACGCGCCAAGTACCATATTAAGGCGTGGTTACTTCGAACCATAGCACTTGGTCTGAGCTGAAAATCAAAGTCTCTTAGTCAAAGAAGATTAAATGAGAAGAGACCGGAGCCATTCGAAACAACCAAAGGGAAATTTGTTCAGAGCCGGATGGATGAGGTGAACGTTGTTAGCTGGAAACGCGGTTCTCGGAGCTGTGCTTCGGTACCATCTCCGAGTTGTTGTAGTTGATGTCGCTATCTGTTATAAAAAAAGGCCGAAGTCCGTTGCCTGATCTGTTTGATTAGAGGCGACGTCCGAAAGTATATGAAATGGACAGACAAAAAAAAGCCTCAATGCAACGTACAAAACTGACATGTCAACGCTTATATATGGTAAAAAAAAATATAAAAATTATACCATGTTAATTATGAATTCAAGATATATTTTCAAAGAATAAAACCAAAAAAAAAAAAAAAAACACAAGTCAATGCTACTTCTATTTTTCAACGTGAAAAAAAATGAAAAAACTTCCATATAGAGATCGAAGCCATCTAAAAGACTCCATTGTGTATGTCTAAACACGAACAAAGACATATCGGTTGATAGGCTTGAAATGTGATACTCATCCGTCTCTTATAAATTATTATTTTTTTTTAGTTTAGTTCGTCTTGTAATAAAACATTAATTTTTTTTTAAGTAAGTATGCTGTGTACCTAACATTACATGTACTTTTACAATTCAAAATATATTACACAAATAATATTATTTTTATATCAAATTTAATCATTTCTATTTTATTCATATCATGTATTAATACTAATATACCTAATTAAAGAATGTAAGGAGTATGTTTTTGTGTTTGAAAAAAAAAATATATATATAAAGTCCAATTTCTTAAAATTTTAAAATAATTCAATATATGGTTATTTGTTTTCTAAATTTTTATATTTTAAAAATTGAATTTGTTAGCATCTTTAAATTTGGTAGTCTTTTAAAATAAGGTATGTTTTTTTTTTTTTTGATAGAGTTTGAAAAATTTTAGTTTAAATTTCATATTAAAATAATATATGATCAAATATTTTGTGAAAGAAAAGAAATATATTTTTTTGAGAAGTATTTACTTTTTTAGGATGTAGGGTGAAGAAACAAACCCATATTGCTAGAAAAAAATTATTTTTAAAAAATTATTTATTTTTACAAAAAGTTTATTTGATTTTATTTTAAAATTAATTTATTTTAAATAATATTTTAATATTGATATAGGATTTGGTAAAAAAAGTATATATAATTAAATATAAAAAAAAAAGAAAAAAAAAAAAGAACCAAATACTCTAAAACTGTTTACAGAGCCTTCTTCCACTGCGGCACCCAAGGATCGTCGCCGTAATAGTTTGCCCCATTGTCGTTCACCCACAATCCTCATTGCCAACACCCAAGAAAGGGCGAGAGAGCCATGGATGAGCAACAGCGCCGCAGAATCAAGGAGGCGGTCCTGGATATTCTCAAAGCGTCTAACTTGGAGAAAGCCACCGTAGGTAGCGTTCGAGCTGCCGCGACCGAAAAGCTGGGATTCGAACTCTCCAGCCTCGCCCAACGCCAGTTCGTACAACAGCTCGTCGACCGTTTTCTGTTGTCGACTGCTGCCTCTACTCTTGAAACACCTTCCTCGGCGAAAGGTTCTGGTGGCGGTGATAATCCTGTGTTAAAAGAAGAACGTAACCCGCAACAGCAACCAAGAAGTAGTGGAGTCGGATCGCAAGGGAATAGCCGCAGCAAAGTTGTTGTCACGGTTAGTTTCGTTGTTTCTTTTGCTTTGATTATCGGGGTTAGTTCTAATCAACGCTTGCCAGAAAAGGGGGCCAAGATTATATTTACATAATCGAAGGATAGAACGATCGTTCTATGAGTTGAAATGTGGTTTGTAATTTGTTTATGCCACTCGTCTTTGGCTTCTGTAAGAGGAAATGTGTGCAGTGTGACATGTTAGAAGTCCTATGGTTAGTGTTGTTTGACGAATGGATTTTGAGGAAGTGCTTATATTATTTAAGATTAAGCTGCATATACAAATTAGAAGGATCTAGTAGTCCATTGATTGCATTTAGGGATAGCTTCCCTCATCAAGAAATGCACATGTAACTTCTTTATAAGAAGGAATGATTTCTTGGTTTGTTGGCATTCTTGAAATCCTGGCAGTAGGTTTTTTATGGATTTATCAAGATTTCTCTTTCTGCTTTGCCTTAGTGTTGAGAAACAAGGAAGTATTCTTCTTCCCTAGGAAGCATTTATATGTAAAGTCTAGTCTAGAGAAAAGTAACAAGGAGATATAAACCAAGGGTTTATTCCATATGGAACTAAAAAGGACAACATATGATGGAATGAAAGAGCTGTGATAGTGTTCTTTAATTATTACTGTCGGAATTTTATCCCCATCATAACGGTCAATTTTATCGCTTAAAATAGATGAAGTTCTAGGTAGATTTTGCTACTAAAGAAGTCCTAAGTCCAACTGGATGATATTACTGTTTCTGTTGGAAAGCCCTTTGTTGCTTTTGTTTAACATTGCTTGTCGTTTTCTGGTTTATTAGTTATCGGAGAAGAGGTGGGTGACAATTCATGATTTATATGGCAGAACCGTGGTTGGGATCCGGGATTTCGTACTAAAAGATGGAAATATGCTTCCTTCTAGAGGTGATGTTCTTTCTGGTAGCTGTCGTTTGCTTTATATTAGCCCCTTAGGCCCTTTATTATGGATATAATTGGGTATTTTACTATTTTATCACCAAGTGATCAAGTCGTCACATATTAAGTTTTGTTTACCTTAATTTGCCTCAGGATCCTATTATGTTTCTGTGGTCTAATATAAGAAGTTATGGGGGTTCAAATAATAAGCACATCTGTGTAGAACCTAGATGTGCGACAGTTATGCTAACTTTGTCAATGACCACTCTCAAGTTTTGACATAATCAAAATTTTAGTTTCTATGAAAAGTGATTGTGTCATCACTGGTTCTTTTTTTCTGATTACATGTTTTTGTTGGTTATATATCTTAATACCATTTACTGGAAGATGCTCTGCTGGAGATTTAAGTATGAGTTCCTAAGCTTTTTGACTTTTATCACTCATAGCATTGCTTCTTGTTTGGGCCTTTTTCTTCTATATCATCGTTGTTTTGAATTTGTATTTACATGACTTTCTTACATATTATGAATTCAGCACAGGATGGGGGGGTCAATTTGACAAGGCAGCAATGGTCATTGTTCAGGAATAGGTTTTCTTCTGTAGACGAAGCCATTGTAAAATTAGAATCACGGCTGGGGTGAGAATATCTCTACGTCTTTGAACTTTAAAAGAATGATGTTTTCTTTTTTTCAATAGTGCATCCTGCAAATCAAAATTTAAGATTAATTGAAGTTCTGTGTGATGTTTTGCGAGAAGGAAGCATGCTGTCCATCAACAGAAAAATCGGAGCCGTTGCTCTGAAGCTGTTCGTGAAGCAGGTTTTAGAAAATCAGTGGCAGATTCTGCTGCGGATAGAAGTCGCTCTAGTGTAGGAGCTTCTCACTTGACAAGTACTGGTACGAGGAAGCGCACTGAAAGTGAAGTGACAGGTTCTGCTGCTGAGAATAAACTTTTAAAGACCAGTATTCTAAGTCCAACAAGAATTGTTCAGGCTCCCTTTGAGGCAAGCCGGCAAGGACAAGTAGCTAATGAAGTTCGTACTGAGTTGATTCCTATACAGCCTACTCGATTTGATGGAAGAAATTTCCATTGTTGGAGACATCGAATGGAGTTATCCCTTAATCAGTTGAACATTGCATATGTGCTGACGGAGCCAACCCCTAGCATACATTTGAATGCAGAAGCTAGCTCCGATGAAAAGGTTAGAATTCGACGGTGGAATGATGATGACTACCTGTGCCGCCACCACATTTTGAATTCTCTATGTGACAGTATCTTTCAGACATATTCACTAAAGGTTCAGTCTGCTCGACAGCTCTGGGAAGAACTCAGGGCAGCATACAACGAAGATTTTGGAACAAAAATTTCACAAGTTTACAAGTATATTCATTTTCAGATGGTTGATGGGTTTCCGATTCTTGAGCAAATTAATGAACTTCAAAATATTGCTAATTCTATCAAGACATCTGGAATCATGATAGATGACACCTTCCATGTCAGTGCTATAATCTCAAAGCTCCCGCCTTCTTGGAAGGACTTCCGGGCTAGGTTGATGAAGGATGATGAATTTCTACCGATCAAAATGCTGATGGATCTTATTAAGGTTGAGGAAGAGTATCGTAGCTGTCACAAGAAAGAATATAAGAATTCTCATGACTATGTGGAAAAGAGGGACATTTGATTAAAAATTGTCCTAACCGGGACAGGAAGTCCGATGCCAGTGATAGGAGCAACGAGAAAGAGCATAACCGAGTATTATCTCCAGTAACAGGAGACAAAAATGTTGAACCAGCTGCAGACACAGAGTGAATCGAATCTTCAGCTGCCCTCCTTATCAAGCACATTACCAATCAATTCTCTCTCTGCAGTGGCTACAATGGATCGCTTTTCCTTACTCTTTTGTTGTATCATCATCATCGTCGCAATCTTATTGTTGGGCCGGGAAACTGTAGTTACCCACTGCTGCACAAGGTCAGTTCTGAGTCTGACTTGTGTTACTTCTACAAAGATATTTCACTTTTTTTTTTTTTGGTTTTTGCCTTAGGACTCAGTTTTGAGCAGCTGTAGATTTGTGCCCTTGTACCTTAGCCAGATGTCCGAATATTCTAATCACACAGCGTAAAAAATACAAGGATTTACTAGGTGTGATTCCCAGAACTCACTCAGCTTTAGTGCTGCTAGCAACCATAATCATAATCATTATGGTAATTAAACTAAGTGTAGTAATTCTTGGGATAGAGATCCCCTTTCTCATGGAGGATGGATTGCTCTCATCAAGAACAATCTTTCTTCCATGCCCGCTCTTATCCTTTGAATCGATTCTGGACCAATGGAGAGCGGAACATTGATTTCAGTTAATCCTAGAGATATCATCGACTTCATTGATTGATCATCCAGGTTCCCCTTGGGTCGGTTAGAGTTGACACCCCTATTTGGAAACTCTCCCCAACTGGTCATTTTTCAATAATATAAGCATGGACAGACAATCTCATGGTTCATTTGAACCAAAATAAATGATCAGAAATACTACCTTTTTATGGAACTGAGTGGTTTGGAGAATTCTTACACATTTATAGATTATTTTAGAAACCGGGTTGCTCATTAGAAGTAAAGATATAAAGTGAAATGATTTGCAATATCCGACCAAGAAGGCAATGCTTGCGGACTTGTTAACACATTGTAGAGTCTTAAAAACCAACATTAAGACACTTGAACTTAAAAATTGACAAAATTGTTTTGTCAAATGATTTTAACTACAATGATTGCAATTGCATATACTACAAAAGCAATTATTTCAATTTTGTGTTGAACATTGAACATGGTGGTGAATTCTACTTTCATCACCAAAACGGATCGAGCTGTATGTATATTATATATATATATATATATATATACACATACATACAATAGCAACAATATTAATGCAATGAAGTTTGATAATTGTAAGTCATTCATTCTTCATGTGGGCAACAAAAAAAGAATGCTGGCAGGGACAGGGGATTTGAAATCTACAATGTACAAAAATGATCATGCCCTTTAATTTAATAAATATATATAGATGTTTTTGTAAGAATTTTATTATATATATATATATATATTTTTTTTTCTCAGTTAGGTCTTAATTTGTCATACAAAAGAAGTAGAGTTGCATGTATATTATAGATGTTATGCAACCCAAAGTGGTAGAAAGTGATTAGATTGATGCACACAATAGAGATGTGTTGTTTGTTTGGGTGCACCTCTTGGAATTTCCTTTGTTTCAGCTGCTGCTTCCTGTGATTTCTTTATATGCATCCTTGATTTTTCGAATCAATGCTTCCCTGAAATTCAATTAGGACACCCATGCCATCAATCAATACATTATACTAGTAGATATCTTATTAAACTGTTTGTTTATTTGATTATAACATCCATGTATCATCATAAAATATTATTTTTAATTACCTGTCGGGTTGAAAGACCAGGTTCTTGTATGCAAACCACTGCAGTAGTAGGATAGAAGAAACAAATTAAAATTAATGTGTATATATACATACATACAGTTGAAATAGGATTGAATTGAAATGGAACTTACGCCAGTGTACCCAATTCCCACGAGCTCGAGAACTCCAGGTATGAGTGGGAGCTTCTCAATAGCCTACATACATATACATACATACATACATACACATATTATATAATCAATTGATTAGGTGATAGTGGTGATGATGAGGATGAGGATGGTGAGGTACCGATATCATTCCGACAGATCCCCAAAGCGCAACTCCTCCGGCCACCGCAAGAGAAGTAACAGCATATTTGTCTTCGACTTTGTCCCACTGCACGCACATGTTTGTTTCAAATTCTATATTATTTTTGTTGTTGTTGATATTAATTAATTGATTGATTAATTTGATCTTACAGCGTCTTGAAGTGTCTTGACAATCTCGGGAGTTGTTGTTGCGGTGACCGCTTGAGGTGCGGCGACCTCTCCGGCAGAAGCCTTGGCAATAACATTCCGAGCCATCTTCGCATCTGCACAAATTACAAAAAAACAGAGCTAGATATCTATATATAGCAACAATTTCAAGTCAAGTCAATCACCGAATAGGTAGGGTATGTAGTAGTACTGACAGTAGGCAGTAGTGGCCCGGAGATGAAGGAAGCTGCCAGAAGGTGGAGGAGGAGAATTGATTAATGCAGCAGCAGCAGCAGATGATTCAGGACGACGAGGATTGGCATTGATGATGAGAGGTGCAGGTGAGGACGAGGAGGACGACGATGAAGAAAGACGAGTAGGGGTTGTTGCCGCAGCAGTTGTGGAAGCCATGCCTTCTCTTCTCTTCTGTTGTCTATCTCAGCTCAGCTTAGCTTAGCTACTTATTATTATTATTATGCCCTTTTCTGTTGCTGGATTTAATTGATTGATTCACATACGTACGTACACCGTCGATCTCCCACTTCAATTTTATTTATTTGATATAATAATAATAATACATATAGCCTCCAATCCAATTATTAATTTTTCTTGGGCCATAATAAAAAGTTGAGGTGAGAGGAGAATGGATATATGGTGATATTGGGGCACGTGCGTGTCCCATGAGCAGCATAGCATTAGCGGTATAAGGAAAGCCACTCATTTCGAACTCAATCTGGATAATGTACGTAGCTACTATACGTTCCTAATATCCATTTTACAAATTCACTATTAACTACTACTAACTTGTCATTCCATTTTATTTAGATGAGAATATGTAATAATTGATATTTTTTTAGTTAAAAAAAAATGATACGGTTTTTATTGAGAATAAAATGAAATTTCTTTTCATTTATTTATTTATTACTATTATTTTTTAATTAATTTAGAGGATTAGCCAAGTAACAAGCACATATATCCTCTTCGCAACGTATCTCCACCACAATTCTTAGTTATCTTCTATTCTATGCTTTATTTTCCTTTCTTTTCTTTTTCTTGGAGAAAAAAAAAAAAAAAAAAATGAATGGTAGATTTTTTTGTAAAACATACAATTTCAATTACACGAGACTTATATATTGTAATTTTTATACAACATATGTTACCATTGATTTTAACAATAAAAATATATTCATGCAGCAAACCCGATTAGCATGAACAGTTAGCACATCATTTTTATGTTACCATAGCACCTATTTTTATGTGCTAACCGGGGCACAGCCTAATCAACACATCAACCCCTCTCCCAAAATGATATTCTTCTACATCCAAAAACAAATGTTTTTTTTTTCAGGATTCAATCTTCCTTCCCAAACAAACTGAATGCAAAAATCATGCTTATACCATCCCAGCACAATTCAGCACCATGAATGAACAATGATATATGGCTCTGAGAAAGATGATACAGGTGAAAGAAAGAAAAACCACTGCAGCAGAATAGCTCATGCATCCCCAAATATAATAAAAGCAAGCTGGCATTCCCATTTTAATCTTTGCACTTCTATCCCCAAGAAACAAAACCACCAAACAAATGTTAAAAGTAAAGTGAAAATTCAGCAACTGCTGCGGACTCTAATGCTCGAATATACCATTTGCACTCTCTTTATGCCCAATGTTGTGTTGTACTGATTGATTAAACATCAAATATCTCTCAGGTTATGCTGATCCGCTACAGCTGCTATCCACATATAGAAGAAACTCACTTTCCTACCACTACTAGTAAGGGCGGTATCGTCTGTTACGGTTAGTATCATCATTACTACTGCTTGTCCCTCCGCGGGCTTGTGGTCCACCGGCAACATTATTCCTCCTTGGTCTTACAGGTGATGGCATCTGTACACCAGGCTGCTGGCTGCAAAAAAAGAATGGTAATTAGGTGGTCAACCACATCAACTGTTCCTTGTTAGTCGTGCAGCAAATCGGAACTTACAGCACATAGCCAATTCGACCATCTGGTAGAACCATTGGCACCATCTGCATTCCTGCTGGCATTGGTCCCCTTCCGTAAATCATAGGCTGCTGAAATGGTCAGACAGACGACTCTCAGTGGAACGTATCCAAAAGAAACCATAAAAGAAACATGTTACAGCAAGTACCTGCTGAAACCCCGCAGCGGCGCTATAACCAGCAGCTATTGGTGGATAAGGATTCATGGGTATGCCAGCATAACCTGGATGAGGAATATAATTTGGAATTGGTGACGCGGCATGAGAATTTGCTGCATCAAATTTCTTCTCTGTCTGAGGTTTTGCCAGCACAACTTCTATCGCCTGACCTGCATTTTACATGAGATAATATGATTCATAAACCAAACAATTCACGCCACTGCAAGCAGAGCTACGATAACATAGAAAGTTTATAGTTCATTAGTTTCTTTTGATAATATCCAAGAACCCCAATTTACTGGTATATTATTACAGCATGGCACAAAGTTAACCTGTGTTGCAATACTTATAAATATTTATTAACAATAAAAACTGGAAAACTGGAACAAGTTAACGCTGGACAAGAAGTATGTGGAATTTACCATTTAACTCATATTTCTCTGACTCTTTGACAGCTTTTAATGCACTTGACCGTTCTGCGTAGTGAACAAACCCAAAATCTCTTTTCCCACCACTTTTAGCTGGAGGCATAACAACCTTTGTCACTTCCCCGTGACGCTGAAAGAGTTCCTTTAATTGTTCGGTAGATGTATTTTCAGGTATATTCTTGACATAAAGTGCCTTGACCTGAATAACATAAAATGGACATCCAGTAACATAAGCACCAAACAACCAAAAACCTTATTTTCTACCACTAACAACTTCACAAACATTACAAAATGGATAAGCCATATAAGTACACCAAAGCGGAATTATCACAGGATATCAACCAATACTAATCCAGCAAAAAGACTTGTCCTAAATGTCTTTAAGTGTAATTGTGCCAAATGATGAATAACTTAGATGTGTATAAGTGCAAATCATACTAACAGAGTATTAATTTCATTACTAATTGTAATAGCTGTAAGCCTATTAACAAATTAATTTTATGATTCTGATTTATTACCGCGGTATACTACAGTTATATTTACAATGCATATAACCACAGATGATGAATGACAAGTGCATAAATTGATAGATAGCAATGCAAATAAAAACAGTTACTGAAAAAAAGGGTTACAGAAATTGAGAGGAAAAAATGGATTTCAAATTTTGCATGGAGGATTGCATAAAGGATAATAGAATTCACAAAAAGTTCCAATAAGGATCTCCACAAAAAGTTAATAAGCTGTCCATCAAGAGAAGAAGAAAAAAGGAATAATTCTATGTGGAAAAAAACATAGTGCAAAAACCACCCCAAGTTACTGGAATGTTAAATGCTGCAGGGAAATTTGTCTTAGAATTTAGAAGCATTAGCAATGTGCATACACATAAGAATATTCATTTTACACGTAACCAACTTTTGCCACTTAACCCACTAAATACACACCATCTGATCCCAAATTTAACACCACCTTAAATTTGATGCGTACACTGAGCAACATCAAGCATCAATAAGAAGATAAAAATGCAAATTTAATATAGTTCGGATGATTCAAATCACTAATGAGGAACCATAAAGTTAATGTAGAATGAAAACCAAGTAAAAATATTGCTATTTCTAGCATGTTTCTACTTACACATGACAGTCAAAACAAATTATCAACGGTTCATAATTATTGCCACACATTCTACATTAATGAAAATCAGATTCCTTGATATATTCCTGATATAAATCAGTCCACCCAACGGCTGATCCTACAATTAGATCTCAAAAAAATCCCCAAGAATCATAGCACCTCAATACATATTAATATTATACAGAGCATTTCAATGATATTATTACACCTGAGAAGCAGCAGCAGAATGATCAGATGTTATCTTGGGATCAGCCCATGTTACAGTTGGAGAGTTGCCATCAAGCTTGAAGCTTGCTGAGGACATTTGTTGCCTAGAATAATCTGCACATGCATGGTTGTAATATTCCACAAATGCAAAACCACGATTACGGGATGGGTTCTGTGGATCCTGTAGTTGAAGGGCAATAAAGTAGATTAAATATACAATTTAACTCGTCATATTTACACATATTTAGAAATTAATAAAGAAAGCAAGACACCTTGATCAGTTCAATTAGTTCAGCACCAGGACCAGTAGCTTCAATGATTTTATTGAACTCATCATCAGTCCAACTCTTAGGTACATTTCCAATGAACAATCTGTATTTCGACTCTGATAGTGAGCACCGCAGTGTCCTTCCCTGCAGCCAAAAACAACCAACATATCAACAAATTTCAGCCAATCAGCAGGACAACAGAAATAAAATATCTCCAGAACACTGGCATTATGGAAAATTTCTGACAAGAGTAGCCAATCACCTTAAATTCTTTGTTATGCAACTCTTCAATTGCCTTTTGAGCCATATCTTTTTCTTGGAAGGCTACAAAAGCAAAGCCCTTACCTTCACCAGTATCCCTGTTTTTCATTATCCGCACCTGCATTATATGACTTATCTATGAGTAGAAAGTCAAAAAGTGCCTGTATTTAAGCTTATTTCTATTTAATTATGGCCAACCTCAAAAACTTCACCAAATGGTTCGCAGAGTTCCCTTAAATCTTCCTCTGAAACATCCCGAGGTAGTCCACCTATGAAAACTTCCGAACCATGTGGAGGAAGGCCAAGAAGCTCATCACGTTTTTTTCTCTCAACTTCATCAATAGGCGAAGGGTTTTCTTCATCCTCGATGTCCCCAATGCGGTTATCATTTATCTCAGTCCCTGGAGATTGATCTTTTCCACTATCTTCGCTTCTTACATCATCATAGCGCTCTTCAACATTTCCTTCAACCCCTTCTCCAGATCCTTCATCTTCCATGGGTTCTTCAACATCATCCTCGTCTTCAATATAATTGTCATCATCCAGCTCCACATGGTCCTCAATTTCATTGTTCTCTGCCATGATTGTCTTATGTTTCCAGTCTTGTGATACAAGAAATCACCGTTTCAGCCTTGCTTCCAACAACAGAATCTGCATGCTTACATTGTTATAACAACTGCAGGCAAAACAGAAAACCATCCACGGACTGAATGGGTGCAGGCTATATAGGTATTTACCTAGGAAGAATTTAAACAAAAAGGGTTATTGGTTCTCAAATACAATATATAGTAGGATTATAGGATATGGGCACTTTGCTTCCGGTTTCTTGGGTGTTATGTGGTAATCTTCAAGTATTTGGGAATGTTGTATATTGTCATGAACCAAGGAATACATAGAAGAGAATTTAATACTCAATTCCAAGACAAAACCACCCAAACTTGTGCATTGGAAGAGGACAAGCTACTTAAAGCCAAAGCCGAATGAGTATTGTGGGTAACTGTTGATTCACCAGAAGAGCTAAGTGTCATGGGATTTCATATACACTTGAAACCGGAAAGCAGCTGACACTTGCCCATGGACAAACTTCAAGATCAAGTAGTTGTGTGGCCAAAAACAACAAGAAAGTCGTCCATAACCCAAATATAAGAAAGGCAAACAAATTATCGGAAAATTGTTTGTAAGGAAGTAAAGCACAAAAGTTGTTCCTGGTATAGGGAAGGGATATAGAGACACATAACATTTTTGGAGTAAGTGGCAGCCATTCCCGGTAGCATGCTAAATTAATAGGAATCAACATACGTTTCAGCAAATTTAGGTAAAAGATAAAAAGATCGCCCATCCTAATTCAGCTCCAACCAACAAGATGTTATCCCGTAAAAAACTACAATCCCATCCTCAAAGACCAACAAAGAATTAATAGTAGTAATAATAATATAAGGAGAAGAAAATTAAATAAATAGAACCGTCGTCTACCTTGAAGTATTAATCCTTAAATCAGACAGACCCCACCCCCTAAAAACCTTGAAAAGGAATCCAAATAAAGGCCCTCGATCCGGAAATCGTAGTGGAGTTGATAGCAAAGGCGCGCAAGCCCCCAACCCCCCAAACCCGAAACAAGAGGAAAAACAAAAAAACCAATCAATCGCATCATGGAGCTAACAAGGAAGGGCCTTTGGGGCTCTATTTCAAAACTGATTCACGGGCAAAATCAGAAAAAATAGAGGCGAGACTGCGAGTGAGTTGTGTATGTATATATGTATGTATGTATGTATATGTATGAATTGTGTGCGTGTGATTGATTGATTGATTGATGTAGTTAACAGAAGTAGAGGGAAGGAGGAGATTTTCAGTAGTAAGACTTTTTGCATACCAAGAATTTCTTTTTATCGATTCTCCTTTATCAGACTGTCTGGGTGGAGGAGGAGGAGGAGGAGCATGAGATGTGATGAGAAGATCTAATCCGTAAGAAATGAGAAAGGCGTTGCTTTTAACCCCAACCCCAACCCCATCGCTGTATGTATGTATGTATGTATGTATTCATTACACGGTTCCAGACTTGTAACCCTAACCCGCCCTCGGTAATTCTACTATTCCTATAATAATTTTATTTAGGATATTTCTGTCAATTTATCTCTGCCAACCATTCCTTCTAATGACTTTCCAAATTATACATTCAATTTTACAGAATATGTAGAGGATGATTCTATTTTTCGATAATTTAATAATAACTCCTTTTTTGTTGACGGGCACTTATTAGTTATTCATTATATTATATGTTAAGATTCGCTGAATAAAGAGCAAAGAAAAGTTGAACAATAAAATAATGAATAGTACAAGCTTCAAATCTTTCATTTTTCTTTACCATTTCATGCTTTCAATTGATATGCCGAATACCATTCAGAATTGAATCATTAATTATTGAACAAGCATTCCATTCCATGAAAGGGTCCTCCTATCCTAGATGTAGTAGGAGAATGTACCACCTTAATAGGTTCTTAGAGTTCTTCCATTGGAACAACTAGTAAAGGATCAATAGGTCCTATCCATTTTGGAGGAAAGGGGATCAGAAGCACTCCCAATAGGTCCTATCTGTCTTCGTTTGCCAACCAAAAGGGCATCAGAAGCACTCCCAATGAAAACCTCAAAGAAGATGGAATAATTCCTCCAAGAAGCGCCATTCATTCGAGAGCAACATTTGCATTCAAAAGAATCAAGATTTCAAGTGGCAGCGGCTGTTGTGACTCAATATTAATATATATTGTTGGAGGCTCCCGTTTGCGAATATATAAATTGATGACGGTGGGTGGGACAGTCGTTCTGCATCCGACGTATATTATCGAAAACACCTATTTGTTTAAATATTATGGGATTGTTTCTGTGCCTTAAATAATTCAACGTGTTAGGAGGAAAGAATGAACGTGTAAATTGCAAACCAATAGGAGCAAGTTTGAATACTACAATGCATAATTTAATTTATTATTATTATTATTTTGGTTCCTCCTAATATATTGTATTTTGCAACAAGTAATTTAAAATAAAATACAATTACAATTGTTCGATTAATAATTTGTTTTCTCTGTATATATTAAATGAATAGTGTTACTACAGAATTTAAAACACCACATACATAAAGTCATAAACACAACAAATATGAAGCAAAACTGATAAGTGAACCAATCATCATTGCAATTGGCACAGTATATTTTCATGTAAGGTCCTGTCGGTATGTTTGTGTCTCTATACTCACTATTGTCCCATGTTGACATTTCTGCCCCCGTGACACTATAATACAGATACACATACCACACAGTTACTTTCAGCCTGATCCAATTCCTTCCTTACCATTGGAGAGAAAGAAAGAAAAGAAAGGCACAGTAGCTGGGGCATATATATATATATATATACATACATACCACTGGCAATCGAAATCGACCTTAATGGGAAGGAAGGGAAGGAGACGGCATCATTTATCTGTCGGTTTGTCTGTCCATGATCGATGGCATCATTTATCTGTCGGTCTGTCTGTCTGTCTGTCCATGATCGATCTCCTCTTCCTTTGCTACCTCCCTATTCCATCTAAATTCATCATTGGTTTCTCGTCAGCGAGGCACAGGAGCAAAATCTTGAAACCTCACAAACTTGACCAGACCATCTCCACCGCATGTTAGGAAACCATGAGACACTGCTTGAATGTCCGTAACTGCAGACTGCAATGCAAAACAACACCATTAATTCTTGAGATTACTTCCATTTGAATGCAAATGGATGGGCAGTACATAAAATTTCATTACCCTGACAACCCCTCCAAATCCACGAGAACTAGGCTGAAAGAAGGTGTGCCTTTCGTGCAATTTTGGCCAGTGGAATACTAGCTTGGCCCTCTTTGCATCCCAAAGTTTAACATCGCCATCCTTGCTCCCGGTCAAGAAAAAACTTGTATTTGGGATTGTACAGATCTTGGTCACACAACCTTCATGCAGATGTTAGTATGCAAGTCAGTTCAAATTCTTGATAGTATTTGAACTATACAGTGTCCATCACCATACCTGAGTGAGCCTTTGGAATGTACCAAAGCATTCCATTTCTATTTTGGTCCCCAGTTTTGCTTCGCATATCTACAGAAGATGGAGCATGCATATGTTGCTCTCCAGTATCCAAGTGCTTGTGTTTCTTTGTTCTTCCAGTTGCTATGTACCGAAAATCGTGCAATCCAACATCTCCCCCTTTCCCACCAGTTAGAATAAGTGGAGAAATGGAACCACTTCCTATGTCATTGTCAAAAACAGCAAGGGATCGAGCACCGCCTGGAAGATTACAAATGACATTATAAGTTAATAAGTTGCCCAATTGATTCAGATTAAAACTATGCAATTTTACTTGCCTCAGACAGGCAAAAAATGTCACCGCCAGATAAGAATCAATTTACACAATCTCCTGTCGAGGGTTTAGACTTCCTTTGGGATCACATGCATCTAGAGATCACAGGAACATGGTAAATAAAACAAACCTTCATGACACATTATAGAGGCTTTAGACGTGGCTGGAGGAGCAAGTGTGTCCCACACAACAACATTTACTCCACTGGAACTGTACCCAGCAGCAGCAACAATTGATCCACTTGCTGTAACGTAAGTCACATCCCTATGACAATACAATTTCAAAAAGTTATAATTGAATTCAAGGGATCAAACCCTGAAACGATGATTAAAAATAATACCGTTAATGATTAGTTCTCAGATAAAGTGCAACAACGCCCCAACAATAAAAACACAGTAAAATCGAACTGTGTAGCTAACACATTAACATGTAAGAATTTCAACAATGTTGCAGATCTTTAGAAATCTCAAGGATTCTCAATTTTAGATAATTATAGTTCAAATTACTGTAGTTTAATTAAATGGGATGAGACATACGCTGTATGATTATTGAAGCAGGCAGAAGATTCCGAAGGACAAACATTACTCCTTCCACCAACTTCAAGCTGCCATGTGCATACAGTGCCATCCAATGCACCAGTCACAAACCGATGTCCAAAGTGGTCAAATCGCAAAGCAGAAACAGAAGCAAGGGCATAAGGAGGGGGGACATTGGCAGCTGGAAGTACTCCATATGTTGCAGTAGCTCTGTCCTTGCCAAACTGTCAAAATTTAAACTTATTAGGCACTGATTTATGTAAGAAAAACTAACTGCATATCTTGAATTAAAGTAAATGGAATGTGTGCCCATTCAGTCCATAGCCGCAATGGTTTCTCAATTAACAAGTTGACATCATCAAATATTTCCTCTTTAAACCGTCTTAGCTCAACAAGATGCGGGGACAAGGACCAAAGTCCACCAACCAGTCGATGCTACTAACAAGTAATTTTAAAAATAACGGTGCATTCAAAGTTATGAGAGGATAACACTAATATAGCTTTGTATGTATATCATAATCTCAAATTGACAGGTTCTACCATAACCAAACTTTGTATGGAATATAGAAGCAATGAGGGATATATACACAGCAGCATAAAGCTAAAATCACCAATTACTTAGATGTATCCTCGAGAAACAATGGGAAATTAAAAAGTTCATATAGTGTTAAAGCATGTGGAAAATAATTGACAAATAATTGAACTATATTTTGTGAAACACATGGTAGCAAAAAGATTGATCTGACAATCTTTTCGATCAGCTATCATGATGAGGAAAACAAAAATGAGAATGTTAAAGGAATGTGTAGACATAGGGTTGTTAAGTAATGAAAACAAGATAATAAGTGTAAAATGGTTGTTAAGTGGATAGATATCAATATGTCCAATACATGTAGAAATAAGATTCTTTGATTCATAATAAAAGAGGAAAGACAATACCTAGAAATTACTCAGAAAAAATAGTATCTGAAGTAGTATATGTCTTGGCAAAACACAAAGTTGTATTCATTGCCAACTCCCAGAGTAGGTAAAGGTTAAAATAAGCATGATTAGACCAGAGAAAAGAAAAGGTAGGCCGACGAATGCATAAGTTAACTTTGGGAAAATATAAGTTTAAGAAAACAAATTGATTCAATAACAACTAATGTAAGATCTTAGCAGGGTTAGGAGTTAGGACACCAACTGTACAGCAGTGGCTTGGTGTCATTCAATGCATGCAAACATACTGGAGTTTAATAGTCAAAAGATTCAAAAGAGTCATGGTTCTATTGTTTAAACATGACAATTCAGCAAGGACATACCTGAGCCCTGAATGCTAGAATAATCATAAGCAGTCTAAAACAGGATTGCAGATAAATACATGATGATTACGGTACATTAGATATATATACCTCCCATAGGTATACATGAGTGTTGCTAGAACCAACCAAGAAGAAAGACCTCGATGGATGAGATGCAAATGCCATTGTCTTGATGTTGTCCACCGTTGCTGGTGGATCAACGTACTCATCGAATCCTTCCTGGATCCCCCATCCAAGGTTGGATGCTCCCACACCAGCATAACCAGATATCCCAAAGGCTCCACCTTTCAAATCCCTGCCTTGTCTAACCAAAGCACTGGCACCAATCGTAGCTCCACCTAATCCAAGGTGTGCACCCTCCTTACTCCCCAAGCCAACACCAGGAGAAACATAAGTAGGTACTGGAATGGACTCGGACCCTGCCCACCCATTATGGGGCCAGTCAGCTTCTTCCCAGATATATTCTGACTTATCTCCATGAAGAGCCCCATCTTCCCAGTTAAAAAATATTATCCCCTGAATTGAAACAGTAGCATATTCATGAATAAACAACAGTCAAGGAACCAAATTCCAACCTAAGGTGAAAACATGTATAATGTAGTTGAAATGATCTATTAAATAATATTACAAGGCACAAGCACAGGTGTAGACAATATCAGGATGATACTTTCAACATCATTTTTCAATCTAAACTAGTTTGCTCCCTTTTGCGTCAAGCAACATCCTTACTGTTCCAATAAGCAACGAAATGTCAAAATAGCACAATTATAGAAGATTAAGAAATAAAGTAAGGAACTAGGAAACCCTACACAAAGTCGTGAGGTTTGACTATGCAGATTCCAAAGTAAAATGCAACACAACTATATCATGGAGAAGGTTCTGACCTTTCTATTGCTAGCCAGGGCACCTTGGCATTGATCAATGGAGTTTATGCACAAAGCCTACTCCAAAATAATGAGGGTGAGAAAACACAGACTCATGTATAATCATAGTATCTTAATACCAGAGTAATAGTAAAAATGATACCTCAATAAGTTCCCCATTTCTCTTATAAATATCTTTAGGATTTTGAAAAGGCATAATCCTCCTTGAATCATGTGAATCTTTGTCACCAGAACCTTTGAAGGGATGATCATCAGGGGATAGGCATGCTAATGGCGAACCACTTGAATGGTTAGGACTGCCAACTCTATCTTCTTTATCACAAATCTCCTCAGATTCAAACTCTCTTGTGATATTTATATATGCATCACCCCAACCACTAGATAATTTTTCTTTATAATAAGGTAACCAATTATGGTATTCTTGCAGAAGAGCTTCATGGATTACTTTTGGATCATTACAAAAATGCCATAATTCTTCAAAATCAACAAACCTTCTTCCATTTGAAATTTCACTTAACTGATACTCATTTGCAGCTCCAAGCCTAGACAGACCATCTTCAGAATCAAATAAGTTGAGTTGGCTTGATTCCTTTGTAACATGAAGTAGGAATGCTGCAAATTGCTTTGAACAGTAAGAGGATACACCAATGCATGCAAACTTTAAATTATCAGTTAAAATGCCTGAAACTGAGACACATTGCATCCTTAAATTATTGCTGTTACAATCTGATGGAGAAAGGGAAGGTGAAGGGAGACTTTCACCAAGTTCTTCAGACAGTGCACTGAGCTGATGATGTAGGAATTCAGACATATGCATCCATAAAGAAGCAGTCATAATATGCCAGATCTTGTCAACTGGAACCTCCTCACTGTGTTGTTCATTTTTTCCATTGTTTCCAACATACACTCCTAAATCATAACCAGACAAATCATGTGTGAGCAATTTCACAATCTCAGTAGAAAGTGTTTTTAGCTCTGTCATCTTGATCTCATGCTGAGATCTCCCTTTAATGAATGTGACAAGGATAGGTCTAACAGTTTCGAGAACAGCCTTGAAATTCTTTTGAAGCCACGCTGAAGCAAAAAGTATCTTGAATTCAAACAAATCCAGGAAAGAGGAGAGTAACATATAAAATTCTTCTGAATTGAATCTGAGAAACAGCGGCAGCATGGCTCTTAAGTGCCAAAACGACCATACTATGCCTTGATTGGAAAATCCCCAGGCAGAAAGCCAGAAAAACTTGCCATCAGCAGAAAGCCTATTACTAGCAAACAATGTGGAGGAATAGCAATTTTTACAAGCTTCAGCAACATATTTCACAAATAAGCTGGAAACTTCTTCTGTAGCTTTCAAGAGGAGATTGGATGAAGAGAAAATCAAATTCTGAGTTCCATTACACATTCCTTGTGGAAGAAACTCTCTGAGACAGTCTTGCAATATAGAATGTCCAACAATCGTAAGACCGTTACAATGCAAATATAGCAGGATCTGCATGTAGAAGAACAAGTGAGATCATATGGTCTTGCACAGAAAAGTGAGATTGCAGAAAAATGAAATCATCTATAATAATTACCATACTAAGTAGATGGTAAGGAACCAGTGAAAATTTCTGCTGAAAATAGGCAATAGTTGCAGTCAATTCATCTTGAAATTCCTTTAGCAAGTTTTGATATCCCTGACAGTCAATTACACTGTTAACAAACTCTTCAGAAAAGGGTTTGTCGATGTTTGCACAACTTGGATGCTCTCTTAACACATTTGACATGTATTGCATAGCCAAATGTAACTTAAAATGAGATATAAAATGGCTATCATCATCCTTTATCCAGTTTGAGGAACTTTTATCTGGAGATGGCTTCACAATATCAAAAATACTGCATGTTGGGCTGTGCATCTGAATCCCATGGGTAGAGCCACCAAAGAGATTAGATGATGAGGAAAGGCACTCCAGAGCTTCAAGCTTACAGAAGAACAAAACATACATTAATCTCTGTCAAAGTGGATAATATAAAACAATGGAGGATCTTGATAAATCCCCTCAACAAGCATAGTTTACATTAGACAAGTCGATGGATGGTCAGAGCTCTAGTGTTAAAAAATATGTCAAGCCTATCATGGCAGACACCACAAGGAATCAGTTAACTGAGGCCAAGGTTTTAATTATCAATTTTGGAAGGTGTGTTGATTCACAAAAATAAATATTAAAATATGATGCAAGTTTCAGTTTTTTAAGAAATTATGAAATATATAGGTGGTCAATGATAACAGCAGCAGCCAGCCCCTAAGACCCTACCCTATACTGATATGACCAATATTTAAGTCATTGTATAGAAGAAGGTATACATAAATAATGAAAGGAGTTTTATGTATGGCAACCATAATGATTTCAAGTTTTAAATCTAAAATATGGAAGTGGTCTTTTTACCCTAAAAAATCATAAAGTTGGAAGCCAAAGAGTCCATCTGATCTAGAAAAAAAAAAAAAAAAAGTTAACCACTGATGGCAGACATTTCGGTGTGTAAAACACAGCCTGCCCCTGCTGCAAGACCACTGCCACACAGTGGGGGGAACAGACGACAGCCACACTGCTGGCACGATAGTGCTACTATAGGATAATATTAGCAACTATGATGAATATATATATATATATATATTAGCTTTAAAATATTCACTTGGAATTTAAGATATCGCATAGGCACAATTTGAACTAAAAAAAAACCTAAAAAGACTATGTGAAGATAGAAGGCTCAAATAGTAATAATCCGTAGTTTAAATGAACAGCTTCCATATAAGTATAAATTACTTAAACTATTATTATAAATTTTGTTAGATGAAACTATTTATATGCATTAAGCATCTCATAGAATAGGCAATGCTACAAGCATACAAATATGACAGACAAACAGCATTTTATGCCACCAAACAACTTCAAGTCTAAAATGCAAACAATGACCAACTAGAATGTGAAAAGACAGAGTGACTTACATGCAAGCCACATTTGCTAAGGGAAGTGAAACTCATCAAAGCTGCCAACCGACATAAAATGGTAGCATTAAATTCCCCAATAGCATTTTTCATGCTATTCTTCAAAGCCAACATAAAGCAATGTTGACCAACACTCGGATCTAGAAAAGAAACATGAGAGGATGAAAGAAGTGAAATATTATCCTCAGATCCCATTTCACCACCAAGCATTCTCATGAATGATACAGAATAGTTCCCTAATTCCCACTGTACAAAAACAAAAGTGAATGAGCTATTAACATGAAAAAATGCAACCTTTATTGGACGTATAAATGGATTCATGAGATAAATATGTTGCATCTCCATACCTCCAGAAAACTTGCCATCCAAATGTCACCTTTTGATACTGCAGATGGGAGGAGAGACTTTGAAATAAGATGGCGCTCAAGGGGGGCTCTATGCCCCTCCAAGAGACGACAAATTACAAGAGCAAGTTGCTCATCTCCAAGGTTTTTAGCACAAACTGTGACAGCAGAAGATGCATCTCCTCCAAGCAAAAAGAAAGCTATTGCAAGCTCTAGTTGATGTTTCCCCAGAAGTACATAAGCATTTTTAAGAGCAGCTTCCTTATTTCTATCATCCTGGGAAGATAGAATTGAGAATGTTGATTCACTATAAAATAGTAACTAGGAGGATGCAATATTACATCCCCAAAATCACTTTTTGGCACCATCAATGATAAAAATTGACGCTCACAAAACTAAGCTAATGGTTTGCAATGAGTACAAGATTACATGGTAAAAAAACAAGATTCAGCTAGATAATTACAAAAACAATCATTTCAAGCCCCGTTCAAGATTAAACATTTTATACATTTGAAAAATCAGAAGAAAATTAAACTAATAATGAGATATAAAACATAAATGAACCAGAAGAGCGGGTGGTGGGAGGTAGAACAGACAGAAGAATAAAAGTATACATATGCATGAACAAAGAGAGGACACAAATAGAATTATCTAGATAACACTGGCCTATGCATGTCAAAAAGTTTGTTTATGGGATTTTGATAGTGATAAGAATTAAGAACAATACAACGTCATGTCATATACAGTTGTGGCAATTTCATGAAAACAAGGAAAGCAACTATATAGAGATCAGATTCTGTTAATAAAATGGTAGAGGGGGAAATGGAGTTTCATAAAAGAATTGTGTTCCTTTCTACAGCTCTATGTAGCAATCATCTTTCTCCTCTGTCATTACATTTTTAGACCAAAAACTCGGGGCTTTCTAGTCCTTTTTTATTTTTTGTCACTCTATCATTTCTCCATGCTCATCGAATTACTTGCACGCACAAAGTATAGAGCAAGCTTAATTCACAAACAAAAGAACAATACTAGAAGCAGATCAAACATAAAGGTATACAGCATACTCTACAATTTTCTGTTACAATCAAACAAGAAGCATGGATTCAAGCAATCAATATTAGTTTCCAATAAAATATTGAACCTCAAAAATAAGTACCTGGAAGTTTCTAGACAGAAATCCCGCCAATGGTTTATCTTTATCATCTTTGCTCATTTTAAACAAGCCAGACAAAACTTGAACCCTATTCAATGCTATGTAAAGCAGTGCACAGGCCTTTGGATCTTTATTTTTCATGTACCTTTGTCTAGCTAATCGTTCCATCTGATCCAAAAGAACAAATAATTCATACAAAAGATTAGGACTTATTTACAACTATCATCAAGGACATAAAACTTATATAATAGTAAGAAGTTTCTGAAAAAACCCACATATATGGAATGACATAGTTACATAAGCTCAATCCACAAAGGTGGCAACAAATCGTATCATGTCGCTAACTGCAGCCACATCCATAAATGTATGACTTGAGCAGGCCACAAGGCCCGTGCATCTCAGGTCACTGTACCTCGTTCCCGCAGTAGGGAACACTACCATGAGCATGCAACCATATATCTTTCTCATTAATTCTATAGTTAAGTTTGAATGTAAATTCCTCACGCAACTCATATTAACATCTAAAATGAGTATGTTACCATAGCAATTGACAAAAATAAATAAATAATAAAACTAAAAATAAAAATTAAAAACAGTTAAAACAAAACCAAATTCAATTATTCTTGTGCATCATTTGTTCAAGTTAACAAGCATAGCAACCACAATAGCTAAAAGCGGCTCTAAGTTTTAGTATAGCTTCCAAAGTACCTTAGCCCGTAGCTGAGATACATTTGAATACCAAAATCCCACACCTATGCTACGCATTTCGTCCCAAGTTGGCTCCGTAGGTAGTAAGGAATCAAACAAATTATCATGACAATCTGAATGAAAAGCCCACCCAATCAGCTCTGAAGAAACAACAATCTCTTCCACTTGTGGCAACCTATTAAATCTTCGGGCATAATATAGTTGCTGAAACCTAACTGCAACCCAAAATCTTAGAACAAAAATGTTGCCAAGTTAATATAAGCATGTACATAGTGGAAACAAAAACCAAAGAGCAAGAACATCAATATATTGTAGATAGGTGGGAGAAAATAAAAGAAAATAAATCCATATGCCTAAATGCTGGGTCTTGTATTTCTTTAATATCTGTACAATTTTGACTCCCATGTATCATGAATAATGGTTTGGAGAGTTAGAATGTAACTATATCAGATGACTAAAAACTAGGATGCAAATAAATAAGTTCAAATGTACCTTCTACCAGGTTCATCAAGGCTTCCGTATGCACATTTCGAATGATGACTACTAACTTCTCGTAGAAGATCAATTAGGGCAATAGCCTGTAACTTTTCAACTTCAGTTATATATGTATATTTATACAATCTCTCAAGTGCTTCAATGAAATTGTCAAATTCAGATTGTGGTGAAGAAGATAGAGAAGTACTCAGAGCACCATAACCACCAAATGAAGTATATTCTGCCTTCCCTGTTTGAAATGGTGAAATGCTCCACTGAAATGATTTTTCACCGGAACTGGATGGAAGCATCCCTTCAAAATAATTTGACAGTGGAACAGGGAAAATTATATTCCTTGGCATTTTAGCACCATATCCTAGTTTCGAAAAATTTTTGGACCCAATGTGCTTAACAAGATGGTGCAGTACTATAAGTGAACGTTTCCAGTTACCTACATAAACACAATTTGGTAGAGGATAAAAATGGATGAAGGACTGAAAATCAATAATTTAATGAAAAGATATATAAAGGTTCCATAACAAGAATGCACATTGGAGAAAGCTAAACCATTCCGTATTTTCATTCTAATAATTAAACTGAGTCTTAAAGAGTTGTGATGCTTCTGTGGTAACAAATACAATATAGAAAATAAAGAATCGATATTAGGGCAAACCAACATCAAGAGGATCAGTTATGCAGCACTTCAAGCTACACGTTTCAGAGGGTACTAAAGGCACACAGAGTAGCACATCTTAAGCAACAGATGTAAAAGGTTCCCCCCCCAAAAAAAAACAGGAATAAGAGAGCTGTTAATTCCCTCAAACTATCATATTAAAGCTTGGATCTGTGCCATTAGCCATTTAAACAAAATGATCAAGTTGACCAAGCATTAATTGTAAAAGTATAAATATCTACCTAGGTACCAGTAAGTATGGGCCTCACGAAAATATTTACAAGGACCACAATCATATATCCAGCTTTATAACATTGATACACCTTATATCAGTTACAATTACATCTTTTAATTAGCAAACTTCCTTCTATTGTAGAATGCAAAAAAAGGTAGAGTTGAAACCAGTATCCCAAATATTGAGTGTTGGCATCTATTATTGTCAGAATTACATCTTTTAATTAGCAAACTTCCTTCTATTGTTCAAAGTTGTTAAAGTGCAATGTACAATTTTCTCATAGTTGAACAGCAATTGTACAATTTTTGCATAGTTGAACAGCAATTGTACAATTTTTGCATAGTTGAACATAAGCGCAAGGCAATAAAGTGGAAAAAGAAATGTCTACTCTGTAAACATAGAAATATCATTACCCCTTCTACACCCAAATTACCTGTATACAAATTAATCAAGAGGACCTCAGGGTGAAATAGAGGCAGAGATCCACCTATGACTTCTGCTATTACTGACATGCTCCAGAAACATAACCCGGTACCTCTCTTGTAGTTTGATGGAGAACTTTCAACATTTATAATCGATTCCAAACCGCATGTACCTTTCATCTTTGCAGTCGACTGTGAATGATATAGTCCTCCAACCATTTGTATTTGTGATTGTTTAGGATCAGCAAATATTGTAGAGTGTGCATGTTTATTTGAGCCAGTATATTCAGATAATGATAAAAAGTGACTAAAATGGCGAAAATACTCATCATGAACCACCACAGCAGTGCCCTTAGGTCCCCAAAGGAAGTCATAAATGGCAGGCAAAGCACCACTGACTGCAATACAAACCCAAGAATTTCCTTCCAAAGGTTTCTCACATTTCAGAATGTATTGGCCACCATGCCGTCTCCGGACATATATATGCAACTCATTTCGTAGAGATACCCCAAGTAATAGCTGACCATTTCCCAACCTAAGCCATTTTACTGCAACAATCTCTCCATCAAAATATAGTTTATCATCTAGCATGAAACTGCCAGCACTCTGGATGTACATGCATTCCCATATGGAAAGGATACTAGTATGATTTGGTCTACTTGTTTTGGAAACAGTAGCAATATTTAGGCAACAAGCACTAGGAGATATTTCCAAGATAGGGGTATCTGCAGAAGTAAGCACACCAACAAGACACCAATTCGTATCCAATGTCTGGGACTGATATGGCATGCTTCTCCACAGTTTTAAAGTGCCATTACTGCAACCAGTTACAATATGATATACATAGCCACAGGGGCCCATTTCATCATAACTCAGCTTTTGCTCTACAGTCCAAGTCCATTCACTGGGGCAAACAACAGCAAAACTTGTAACTTTGTCATCATTGTGTGGTGCAGGAAAATCCGATGAAGAAGGATCAATTGTGACAAAGTATTTCTTATCAGAAACTTCAAACTCAAAGTTTTGCAAATGCTCAGAACAAAAGCTTCCTTGTAACTCACTACAATGAATTGTGATTTCCCATGATAAGGCCCTAAAATCATCCATCCAGATAGAAAAAAGAAGAAATTTACTATGAACAAGTTTCCCGTTGCAGATAGATGGCAGTGGAATTGAGCAGATAGTACTTGGACTTTGTTCATGATGTCCACTATTGAAAGGAATAGAAAATAACTTTTGAATGTGGATTTTTTCATCATCGCTGTCCAAAGCGTAGACTACAAAGCAATCAACTCCACCTGCATATCCCATTAGAAGAACTTGATCCCTGCCTAGCAGTGTTGGAGCCCAGCACATGCATGTGTACTTTGCAGAATTATCGAAAAAAGATTTTCCTCGAAATTTCCAGGATGGACTTGATACCGGTAGGCCTATATGGCTATTGAAGAACGTTGAAAGTGACCAGAAAAGAAGCATGCCATTTCCATCTAAAGAGGCAGCAAGTTCAACTTCAAAAGAAAAAGGATGAATTGCCAATTGAATAACTTTTCCAGTGTGACCCTCAACTTCTAATAACCTTCTGGCACACTTTGTTGAAGGATTTTCAGAATTAGTGTCATTTGTGGAATTCCTTTCAAAGTTAGTTGATGCTTGAGAATACAAATGAATCCAGGCAAAAGAATTATTAGGCAACAAGTGAACCAAAGAGCAATCAACAGGTGGTCCAGAATCTTGAGTCCTCATCATCAAAATTTTATGAATAAGCAATTGAGTAGACTCCATTTCAAAACTGGCTAACTGGTGTTCCTTCCATAAGGTAACCCTTGGAAACCGCACAGGAGCAAAATCATCAAGACAGTGAACAGCCCAAAATATTGCTACATTTTTAGGACCAAAGCCAATTAACCACTCACATCGACCAGCAGTATCATTTCGAAGATCATCAGAACATGAAAGGTAGCAATTTTTTCCACCAAGAAAGGCCACACCTTCAACTTCTGTTGACCAATGAACAAAAAAATCAAAGCCTAACAAGCCATCTACAATTTGATTTACCTCAATGACAGCAATAACACAAAAAGATAACTCCGCAGCTTTGTGGTCATTACCATCCTTTCCAGCTCTTCTAATCCTCCCATCATCAATTTCACCCCACAATCTAACAGCTCCATCAAGGCAGCAAGTTAACAAGACGGGCCTGAATGCATGCCTGATATGTCTACTGGATAGTTTTCCTGTTGATGGTCTCCATTGAATCATACTAACAGGCATTGGATGGTGCAGTTCAGCAAGTGGGTATGGGGATTGTCCATCACCTTGACAGACAAGAACACATTTTATTGCCTCATTTGACGGAGATGATGAACCCCCAAGTTTCAGTTTACTCTGTGCTGCTGTAGCCGAAAACCCATTTACAGACCATGTGGTAGAGACAAGCACTTGAGTAACTTTTGGCTTGAATGACCAAGCTAGTTCCCATGATTTATCCCTTCTCCTCCACATCACCACCTCATTGCCTCCAGAAACTATCCCATCTCCAGAACCTGTCCATTTCATAGCCTCCACCTTCATGGATTGTACAAGCACCGCAGTCTGGCTCCAACAAAAAGAACCTGAATCTCAGTAAATAAGTTCATATTTGATTTCAAGAACAAGGAGACACAGAAACAGAGAGGAGAGAGACATTAAGTTTGAAGGTTTGCAAATATGAAGAGTTTTAATTATTGACAACTAAGCTTGTAGTGGATGGATATTTTTCTCAAAATGCAGAGGAAAAGGCACATTATGGATGAAGAAATTACATAGAAAGATTGATTCACCAGCCTCCAACCATATCGAACTTATCAAGCTTCAGCATCATGTCATGTAAGTAGTGTGTGTGAAATTTTCACATGCTCGAGCATATTTGTTTACAGTTGTATCGGACATTCAAGAAAGTCTGAAAGTTCCAAAGTATAATCAACGACAAACTTACCGCTCCACTTCTCTTCTTCAGTGTAGCTTAATAACACAATACGATCACCCAATGCCACAGCGAGTTCTCCGACGGAAGGCGTGAGGGGAGACCAAGAAACCGCCGAGACGCATTCGGCAGCGGCCTCTGTCGACAGCTCTATCACTTGTCGATAAATAGGGCCAATTTTTGTTTCGGCCTCCAATAGAGGATTTGGAAAGTGAGAGATTACAAGGAGAGAGGAGGCGCCGTAAGCGATCCATGAGTGGCCGACAAAGTCCAGTAGAAAATCAGCCGGCGGCTCGGATCCAGAAATGGGTCGGGACGGAGCGGGCGGAATGGTCTCGTAATTGAGTAAGCTTAACGGGAAGCGGGACGCAATATCCGGTGTTGGCGGCGGCGAATCGGACAGGGCCTCTCTCATCGTCGGAGGAGGAAAAGGCCTCTCGTAAGATTTGTTCGAGAGAGAGACAGCCTGCCTGCTTGCGTAGTCTATTTGGAGCTCTCAAGCAGCAGGGTCTTTCTTGAAATCGCAAACACGATTGATTACACGACAGCGAGCACGCTTTCACATCTGGGGAAGAAAGAATAAAGACACAACAGAGAACATTGGTGGATGGATCCATTGAGGAAAAAGAAAACGAAAATAAAATTTATGAGATGATCTCATTAGACCGTACGTATAGTATAATAAAGTGTAAAGGTAACATAATAATCGAGATTAATTTCATAAATTGAACCATGCACAAGCACATCTAAACATGACTTGTGTGATTCAATGCCAACTTAACTTATACTACAATACTATACTCTTCTTGTCAATAAAATAAAAGGTGTATGGGATAAGACTTCAGCTATTAATGACTTTTATCCCCTTTGTTTGTTTGTTTATTGGAAGAGCACAACAAAAGATTGCCCATGCAAATATAAAAGGTCAATCCAACAAAACATGAATGAATGAATGTAGGATAATAGTTAAAAGATTGCCCAGCTATACATACATAATCAATTTTACTTCTCGAAAGACACAAACCTGTATGATAATAGTATACTGTTACTGCGTATATCCAATATTTTTATTTACAATGGTTAAAATATCCAATATTTTTTATTTATTATATAAAATTTAATTGTGTTAGTAGTATATATGAAGTCCGCCTATCTAATAATTATTTGTCTATCATACACATGACCTTAAAGATGAATATGAGCCAATAACTTCATAATGTTTGTTTCTATAAAATATAATACCATATATCTACATAATATAAACACCTCATTATTAGAAATTAAAGTTCACCTAACTTTTAAAACAAAGTGAAAGAAGATCTTGAATTATATCTATTTTATTATAGTATTTCTTGATAATAGAAAGTTATATTAATTAAAATCTGCGCAACAATGTTCAGTTCAATATTCAATACAAAGGTCATTCATGTACTTATAAGTAAATGATAGTTTTTAGTTGTTGGTAAATTTGGACAAAAGATATATATATATATATATATATGTATATTTAATTTTCTGCATATATGGATTAAATATATATATATATATGTATGTTAATTTCAATGATCATGGCGAATTTGGTTAAAATATATTTGGGGTTCTTGATCCATTTTCCGTTCCTATTTCCGTTCCAATTCCATGCAATATCATATTCTATCTCATTAACACGCCTTGTGATCCTATCCACACACACACACACACACATGGGAATATCCCTCCAAGTGTGAGTTGTTCCTTTTCATGTGCCTTAATTAATTCTCACCACCAATTCCCTCCTCCCTTAATTAAGTAGCTTCTTCTTTGCTTTGCTTTGCTTGTAATTAACTTAGCTTTCATTTATTATTATTCTTTCTCCAATAAAAAATTAAACAAAGCTGTAGTTGCATTGCATGCTAATGGTAATGGTATAGGTAGAAGAAATAAGAATATAAGATAGAAGGAACTTGGTCGATATCGGATATTATTAATTTAAAAAACACAAAAGGGGGGAAATGAGAGGAGGGAATGAGAGGGAGAGGGAGAGGGAGAGGGAGAGGGATGGCAATGGCGGGTGCGGCGGCGGCGGCATGATGATGATGATGATGGGGTGCGAGAGGCTGGACAGGGTGGCGAGCCGGGTGGGTGCCACCGTAGCCGCGGCCTTCTTCACCTCGCTCGAGCGCTGTGCCTGCATCAACATCTCCACCACAGACGACGACATTGACATTATTAATTACAGCTACAACGCAGACGAAGAGGCCGTCGATCGCCCCCTCATGCTCACCAAATTCTCATCTCTAACCGCTCATCATTCTCATTCTAATTCTAATTCTAATTCCCGTTATTGGCCGGCACCTACGGCACACTAACAAATTAAGAAAAAAAGAAGAAGAAGAAGAAGAAATAGTCATTATTATTATGAATAGATAGATCCATTGTCCATATATACGATTGTTAGGATAGGATATGTAGCTAGCTAGGTTATGTGTTGTACATATATATATATATTTATTGTTAGAAAATTTGTTTGATTAGATTTATGTTTAGTATTAATTCATTTAATTTGTTGGAGCATGCATGTATATAATATCTAGTTTGCATTGATCGACTTGTGTCCAATAATTATTACTAGACTAGCTAGTTAGGTTGATTTCATTCCCAACGTAACTACCTACCTAAGCTAGTTTAGGCATGCATTTTCAGCCTTTAATTATCTCAAAAGACATGCAATCTCAGCCTGATATGATATCCAACAGTCATGGATATATTAATTATATATAATTAATGCATGCATATCTTCGGTAGTATGTGTGTGTATTGACTTTGGTTGTCCTTGGGCTTATTTACAGACCAAGCATCATCCCCTTATATATGGCCCCTATCTATCATTGTAATATCTCATTCCGGTCCTGTCAAATCTAGCTATTACAATAGATTTCTTCATAATTCAAATCCAATATGTTAGTGTTTATAATGGACCCTTTAATTTTTAAATTTTTGGAATCTCCTCCCTGCTTTTATATTTTATCAAAACAATCATTGCAATGCAAGCTAATATTGTATCAAATAATATGTCAACAGGTATTAGGTAATTATGGCATACATACATATATATATTATAATGACAGAGACTTGCATGTTTAACGGCAGTTACGCTGTAGCTCTTATCCTATATATATATATATATATACATACATTACTGAAGAAATGAACATGCAAGACATCATACAAACTAATAAGCAATTATTTATAAATAAATAAATATATCAAGCTGTTGTTTATTTATTTTAATAATTGTTGTGCATAATTGTTTTTGAAATTATTCTAACTGCCCCATTTGCGTGAACACGGACAGAAATACCTACGACGCTCCGCATGGAAGATCAATTGTTCTAAGATTCTGATGAGACTTGTTTTAAAGCATGCATGTCTCGTCTCGTCTCGTCTCGGTTAGCTGGTCACGTCTCCTTATCTAAATTAAATCCTAATCTATATATATATATATATATATATATTATTATTATGTTCACTTACTCCTACAGTCCTGTCCAGGCGAGTCCATTACTGTATAATATATATAAAGACAATTAAGACAATAAAGAACCAACTACGCCCAACAACTTAAGTGTATTACTACTCTTACAGATTTTTATAATTATGGCATTCGCCTTAAAAGATTATTTACACAATTTAGATGCCACTATAAGTATATACAACACCATAAATACTAGTACGTTTCACCTGCTCGATCGGCTGCCATGCCATGCCATGAACAACAAATTGTATATAGTAATAAATATTTAACAAAGCATGGACTCAGTGGCACCATGCATATGTATATGTATATGTTTCAATTAATTGAGAAATGTATCTGTATCTACATATATATTATATAGGGTGGTTACTGCAGGTTGCATTATAAAGAAGCCTCCCTTCCCTTAATTACCTTGCAATCCAACTCCAACTCCAACTCCATCTCATATATATATCATATATGTATATAGCTTTAATTAGCTAATTCTCTCAGTCTCAGCACTACTACTGTACTGCACATACACACACCTAGCTATATAGATTATATGGCAGCAGCAGCAGCAGCAGCTGCTTCAAGAATCAGCAGTGGTGCAGCGGTACTACTAATTATTTGCAGGCTGTGGTTAGGTTTAGTAGCAATATTACTATTGTCGTTTCATCCTCAGCTTGTGCATGGAATCAAGAGATGGCCTCGCGGAAGTTCCACTAGATTCTATGACTTCAAGGTCGATCTCCTCCTCTAGATCTATCACCATCCGTCATTCATTCATTCATTACTCTCTCTTCTTCTATACGAATCACTAATATCAGTTGTTGGGTTTTACTTTTAATTAATGCTTCACCAACGTCTATCTGCCTTTGTGTATATATATATATATATATATATGTACGTAGGTGCAAATGAAGCGAGTGACGAAGCTATGCAACACCAAAAACATAGTCACCATTAATGGCATGTTCCCTGGACCTGTGGTGTATGCTCAAGAAGATGATCGGGTTATTGTTAAAGTCTCCAACCTCACACCTTATAACGCTACAATCCACTGGTACTTGTACTCTATTCCATCCTATACCATATAATTGATGCATGATCGATTTGTTGATATATCCATCATATCATCGATATAAATTAATTCGATCCATCCATCCATCAGGCACGGTGTCCGGCAGAGGCTAACGTGCTGGTCCGACGGGCCTTCCTACGTGACCCAGTGCCCAATCCAGAGCGGGCAGAGCTTCAGCTACGAGTTCACCCTAATTCAGCAGAAGGGCACCCTCTTCTGGCACGCTCACTTCTCATGGCTTCGAGCCACTGTTTATGGTGCTATGGTTGTCTACCCCAAACCCGCCGTTCCATACCCTTTTCCTTACCCCTATCAGGAGCACATTCTTATTCTAGGTCGTCTTCCTTCTTCCATCTCATTAATTATATATATATATATATATATATATTGCCCTAATTAGTTAAGTATAAACTCTCCATTAAAAACCTAATGTGTATGTATACATGCAGGGGAGTATTGGGTGAGAGACATAGCCCGACTAGAGCGAGCAGTTCTGGCGAGCGGAGGAGGGCCTCCTACTGCAGATGCTTTCACCATCAATGGCCATCCTGGTCCCAATTATAACTGCTCCTCCAATGGCAAGCACTACAAATCATTTCATTGTAATAACAATATATATATATATATATTAGATCTATCTGGGACTTACTGATCGATCATCGGTTAATATATTGATCAGATGTGTACAAGATTGATGTAGTTCCAGGGAAGACATACCTGCTTAGACTGATCAACGCAGGGATGAACACAGAAAACTTCTTTGCAATTGCTAGTCATAAACTGACAATTGTGGAAGCAGATGCAGAGTACACGAAGCCATACACCACAGACCAGGTCATGCTGGGGCCTGGCCAGACACTAAATGTTCTCGTCACTGCCAATCAACCCATAGCCAGATATTCCATGTCCTTGGGCCCTTACATGTCTGCACAAAATGTACCCTTCCAGAACATAACTTCCATAGCCTATTTCCACTACTTAGGCGCCACACCAAACAGCTTATCTTTACCAGCTTCTCTTCCAACCTTCAACGACAATTTCGCTGTTAAAACCGTGATGGATGGGCTTAGAGGGCTGGATACTTCTTCACAAGTTCCGAAAGAAATCGACAGAAACCTCTTTGTCACCATCGGCGTCAATGTCCAAAAGTGCAGCAGAAAGAACCCTAAGCAGAACTGCCAAGGGGTTAATGGTGGGGTTATGGCAGCTTCCATGAACAACATAAGTTTTATGAGGCCTACTACCATTTCGCTCTTAGAAGCTTACTACAAGGGCATCGATGGCTACTTTACAGACAACTTTCCCGAGTCACCCCTGAAGTTCTATGATTTTGTATTTGGGGCACCTAATAATGCTCCCAATGATACCAACTCCATGAATGGAACTAGGGTTTTTGTGGTGGAGTATGGAACTCGAATCCAGCTAATCTTGCAGGATACTGGGACTGTTTCGACTGAAAACCATCCTATTCATCTTCATGGATACAGCTTCTATGTTGTGGGCTATGGCAGCGGCAACTACAATCCCGATACGGCGAAACTCAATATAGTCGACCCGCCCTACATGAACACCATTGGAGTTCCTGTTGGTGGATGGGCTGCAATCAGATTCATCGCGGATAATCCAGGTACGTATTATGCCTAATTTTTTTATGTCTTTTTGTCTGCATGTTTGAAATTGGACAAAGTTCACACTGCTCATCTCTAAGTTAATCCAACATTTTTTGACCACGTGAAGATTTTGGTGTTTTGGGTTTATTTCTTTTATTAGGGCTTTAGGTTTTTCAAACTTATAAATATTTAGTTACTTCTCTTGGTATTCAATTTTGGCTTTTACTAAGAAAATTGCATTCGATCGTTAATTGACTGTTTCTCTTTGTTCGACTATCTCAACTAATGCAATGGGCATCACATACCAGTGCTTTACTTACTACTCAATATATAACAAAAGTCATTTATATATAATTCTACTATATATTTATGTGTGTATGCATGCAGGGGTTTGGTTTATGCACTGCCATTTGGACATACATTTATCGTGGGGATTGTCTGTGGTGTTCATCGTCAAAAATGGGGAAGGACCACTGGAAACCCTGCCCCATCCTCCCGCTGATTATCCTCGCTGCTAAGAGTCCAGTCCAGTCCAGTCCAGCCCAATCAATAACGATTTTAGTTAATGATGAGATAAATTATTTTAAGAAAAATGCAAGTGTGTATTAATTGGGAGTGATTCTTTTCACATGACATGATGAGTTGAGAAGAATCTTTATCATTAAGTTTGTAATTTCTACATTCATTTCTGTCTGTCTTTCCCCTAAATTGACAGCAATAATCATTGAAATATGTCTATATATCTGTATATGAGCCATGTTTAGTATTGTGAAGAAACAAATATATGTGAGGCACGCACAGCATGGCATATAGGAGTATATTACTATATTCTTCCTCTTGTGGGATGAAAATCCTTATTATTCTTGGCTTGATGATGCAGAACTATAGAATGAATCATGAAGATGAACAAACATTTTGATCAATAATGAAGATTAATGTGTTGTTAGGTATAAGCTAATGTGGTTAGGTGTTAGTCTTACTTTGACTTACAGCCTTTGGTTTAATCTAAGCAAGTAAGGTTCATCTTTCTTATGTATCCAAAGTAGTATGAATTTCAGATTAAGTTACAAGAAGAATATAATATTGATATCAACTTGATTGGTTATTGTGATAGGATCAGGCGATCGAATCCCTTGATAATTCAAAAAGCACATCTGGATATAGCTTTCATAATAGGATCGGATCAGCCCTATTTTCATAGCTTTAAAAAATAAACCACAATCATCTACCAAATTAAATATGTTCATTTGGCTAAGAAAAATCATGGTTGATGTGCGACACAAACAACAATAAGGAACTGTGTTGTATTGTGACAACAAATCAGATGGCAAAGAATCCGAGGCACCACACATTGCCCTCAAGCACCACTTCATTCAAGAGGCAATTAATTAAAGACAAAGCAATAAAGCTGAAATTTGTCAATCCGAAGACCACCTTTCCAAGATCCTAACTAAGGCACTACCTTGACAAAAAATCTAACACTTGGAGATGCTATGAAAATCGAGCCAACACATTAAATTCATTCATATATATAGAGAGAGAGAATAAATAATACATCCTACAATGAACTTGATTTAAGATAAATATGTGAACTCAGTTTCAATGTTAGAGTCTTGGAGCATACCATTATATAACTGCATCTTCACTCTATCCCATATCTGTATGCTATTTGTTATAATCACAAATTACATAAACTATAACTTTTGGATTTTAAAAATAAAGAAAACATATACCCCAGAAAATCCATATCTTTGGATTTTGGAAGTTCTTTAAAAAAAAAAAAAAAGAACTCCAAGAAACATGTCTATAATTAATATAGGATAACAACAAACTTGAAATGACACAAATAATTTATTTATTTATAGCGGAGTTAACCCACACGTCTTCTCACATACAAGGTAAATATACACTACTTAACGAATTTTGTACGTGAACGACGATAAATGAGGATGGTAAGATTGGACGCTTTGACTCTAATACTATATAAAATAATAGTCTCACTTAAAATTTAAAATCTAAAGAAATATAGATCATTTATTTATCTATCTATCTATAGGACACTATAATAGGAGACATCATTTATCAAAAAATATTGTTGGTATATTATTAACATAATTACGCAAGTTACGGGCAAAATTATTCTTGTCACTGTCAATGACATAGAGCTTTCTCTATTCAATAAAAATAGATATTTTTAGTTATTGTTAAAAGAATCCTAAGTAACATAAAAGATATTCGTTAATTTCTTTTTTATTATTTTTAAATTTATAATGCGATAACTCGCAACGGTTATTCTTATAATCTGATTTGGGTAAACTCCCGAACGAATCTAATAACATATAAATTATATTCGGAAAAATAAGTCACATTGGATATTAGATCCAATAAATCGAGTCACATGTTAAATTAAATCACACGTCCTATGTATGTTAAAAATTTCCTAACCACAGTCGATGTGATGTGATGATGTATTTATATATATATATATATGTATATATAGGTGCAGCCGAAACACATAAAGTAAAATTATATGATGGATGGATTATATATACAAAAAAACTAAAGTGGTGGATGTGGTTGGTACAAGAAATTAATCCCTGTCTTCCAATTTGATACGATCTACCCTCAAGATCGACTTAACCCTTAAAAATAATATAAAAAAAGAATATGGAGAAACGTTTTTTCAGTTAGGAAAGAATATGGAAGTTCATACATACATATATATAAAAGGCTTCTAATTAAGCAGTAGCCATGGTGTGATGTGATGTTAAGCATGCAGGCATGCATATATACAAGAATCACTTTTTCCCTTTGAAATGAAAAGGGAGCTCACATATATATATATATATATATATATATATGATGATGCCTTTGAAACATTACAGAAATTAACCTCCTCGAAAAGTCACAAGTAAATATCAAAAGCAGCAGCAGCTATATACCTACACACATCTCCCTCCATCATCATTTCTTTGTGAGTGATCATAACCTTTTCTTTAAATTTCAAAGTTTTAAATTAAAGTATATATATATATATATATATCCATATCCATTTTATCCTCAATTTCCCTTCGCTTTTCACCAACATTCTGCTAATGAATATTGGGTTTTAAAGGATCAAAAACAGGACACGCGTATATGTATTATATATATTTTTTTTCAGAAATCATCCGACGTCAGTTTATATATATATATATATATATATGACTTTATGAATGGAGGGTTGGCCTCACATTGACCCTAGAGAATATATATATATATATATATATGTATAAGAGGAGAATTGAAGGTATTGATAATATTAAATTGGCAGGTGAATAGGGAAAAATGTGAGTGGGAAATGGGAATGTTCCGAATGGGACATGAATTAAACCTGAAGAATATATATATATATATATATTATATATATAAAGTTAATGGAATGGAATGGATCATCGTTCAAGAGTCAAAAAAGGCAGAAACCCACCAAAGAAGGTACACACAGATAGATACATGCATTCACAACGCCCCCCACCACCACCACCACCACCACCACTGATAGAGGAGGAGGAAGAGGAAGAAGGTGAGAAGCATTACAAATCAAGAAAGTAAAAATTAAAAAACAGATTAGGTTGAGAGGGAGGGAGGGTTAGAGATGAAAATGATGATTGATTATTGACTCTCGATTGATAGATAGAATAGATTAGCTTGACACAAAACACTAATTTACTTACATTCACATCATGTGTATAATATATATATATATATATGTATGCAATTAATAATTAATTAAACTCTTTTGTTGAGAGTAATGAGTGCAGTCAAAACAAACAAGCTAATGAAGGCAGGACCATCTCCCCTTTTCCTGCCATAATCACATGATCTCATAAAGCATTTCTATTCTATTCTATTCTTTAATCTCTGCAGCCATCTCATAAGATCGATCAGAAGCCAAGCCCAAAGCACAGCACAATTCCTCAACGATTCGACCAAGACATTCCTCCTTTACCTATAATTTGCATATCAAACACGTACAAACAAGGAAAGGAAAAGTATTCTCCCTCACTTTTCTATGATCCATATTTTTCTCCCGGATAGGATTGATTAGCTTTTTGTGGATTGTTCAAATCACACGTCGGCCTGTCTTAATTATATTCATGGATAGTGCTCATCAATGGATGCACCAGCAGCAGCAGGTGAGTTCTTCTTTTTGCCAATTTTCCTGTTGAGATATGATCTTGCTCTTTAATTTCCTCTTGTATCATCCCTTAGTGGCTGTTAGTGAAGAAGCTAACCAGCTAGGTGCTTTTTCTGGCCCTCTTTCTTTCTTTCTTTCTGCTTAGCTTGCCATTTATATATATATATATATATATATGATAGCTAGCTGTATCTTCCTCAGAAGATAACTGCGCTTTCCTCTCTTCCATCTATATATATATATATATATATAGATATGTTAAAATTGAAGTGATGATGAAGGACTTCGTTAGAAAATGGAAACCTTTGCATCATTAATTTTCTTATTACTCAAGACTTATTTCTTCTCAAATAAATTCCCAATTAGCTAGGGGAGTAAAAGGGCTTGGCAAGCAAGTTTGATCCATATATATGTATATATCTTTTTAATTTCAGTACAGAATTAGCAGCTAATAAATATGTGTGTTTGTGTATATAATTCTTCTTTTGATGCATATTGATTTCTTCATGAATCCCCAAACGCATCAATCAAAACCAAATCCAAATCCAATAATGTTGATTGATTTCAGGAATTTGCAGTGGGATTCATATCAGAAACTGGTGGTGGTGGTGGTGGTGGCGGTGGTTCTGCAAATACTAATAATCCAAAGCCGCCGCCCCCGCCGCCTGCAACAGCAGCATCAGTGGAGAGAAAAGTGAGGCCGCCGCAAGCCCTAAACTGCCCAAGATGCCACTCCACCAACACCAAATTCTGCTACTACAACAATTACAGCCTCACCCAGCCAAGGTACTTCTGCAAGACTTGCAGGAGGTACTGGACCCAGGGTGGAACCCTAAGGAATGTCCCAGTTGGAGGGGGATCCAGGAAGAACAGGAAACCGACTTTCACATCACCTGTTTCCCTGTCTCACAAACTGATTCCAGATCTCAACCCTCCAACCATGCTAATGTCTCCTCATCACTTCTCCTCTCAAAACCCTAAAATCCACACTAGCCTAGGCCAAGGCCAAGATCTTAATCTTGGCTTCCAAGATCCAGACGACTATCACCATCATCATGGGATCTCTCAGTTTCTGGAGCTTCCCAAGATCGAGAATAGATCAGATGTCATTGCTTGTTCGTCATCTTCCGCCAGCAGCAGTACCCCCTCCACAGCTCTAAATTTTTTGAGTAATGGAATTGCTGCAGGTAGATCAGGAGGGTTGAACTCCTTCTTCCCCATGGGTATGGCCACTTGTGTTTTTGCATCAGGTAGTTTTCCGTTCCATGAATACAGCAATAAGCCAACACTTGCCTTTTCCATGGATGTCGGGGGGATCAATGGGAATAGACAACACGAGACGACTACGACTACCTCTAGTACTTGTGACGGCAACCCCCGGGAGAATAAGAATCGTAATAATAATAATAATAATAATAATAATATCAATGGAAATCTCATGTTTGCCTTTGGAGCAAAAAGACAATCATCATCAGGTACAGATGAAGATGAAGATGAAGGGGATCAAGGCCACAAGGGACACGACGAGAATATCAATGATAATAGTTCAAATGGATTTTGGAATGGAATGTTAGGTGGCGAGTCTTGGTGAAAAGAAGAGACAACTGCATCTGCATTTTTTTTTTTTTTAATATTTCTCTTTGTTTCAGCTTTAATATTCACTTTTATCTTCTTCCCTTTTGTGCATCTTTCTGTATGTGGTTGGATAGCTGCTTTATGTATGTATATATATATATGTGTTTAGAACTGACATACATACATACATACGAGCATCCTGCATAAAGGTATAATCAAATTAATTAATACTGTATTTCTAATTAATGAGTCATTAGTTAGATATATATATTAGCTACTTCACATTTTAGCTAGCTGTCTCTCTTTTTGTTTAGTTTTAAGAGCAAGTTTGGTTGATTATTGGTCACATTAATTCCAATATATATTAATTAATTTTAGTCATCAACATATTTGGAGTCATGTTTTTTGTCTTCATGTTGAAACCCTTAGGTTGTTGGTACTGGACGTGATGGCAGCTTACTTGGATCAAACGTCTTATGTCTATTGTACGGCGAGGCGATATTATTGTTAACAAAAATCTAAAAATATATTAATACATGCATGCATACTTTGTAAATCAATTCTTACTATTCAAAACTCAAATGACATGAGTCAAACAAACACACCCTGACCCTGCTGCAGGTTGGAGGATGCAAAAGACTATTATATATATATATATATATATCTGCATGTGTGTAAAATCATATTTAGAGCTATTATTTTCATCAGTACCTACCTGCTGCGTTTTGATGAATTAAATGTTGCTGTTATTGTTGTTTATTTAATTACTAGTATTAATTAATTAAGTCCGTATCTTGATCTGAGATTCTTCCAGGTCACAAAGCACTTGAGAGAGAGAGAGAGAGAGAGAGAGAGAGCGCAGGGGCTAAGGGTCATAATTAAAGCAAATTCAAACAAGTAATTAATTAATTAGTACTATTGTGTAGTGGTGGGTGGGTCCCTCGAAGAATCATGTTCTCTGACTGACTGACTGACTATAAGCATGCAAGGAATACTGCCCTGCCCTGCCATCAGTATATGTAATGTCGTATTTTATATATGTATGTATGTACACACACGTAGCAGCTATGTATTTTATAGTGTTTTTCATATCGAGGTTTGGATCGACTCGCGATAACTGAAAATGCATAATAGATCAGGTCACCAAATAACAAAAAAAAAACTCAACCCCAACTTGAATAGTGACGCGATGGCTATGAAATGAAATATATTGAATATATTGATATGACTGACGTGTTTAAGAAACTGAGATTGGATTACTACAAAAAAAAATATCAATTTTGTAACAAGTTAAATCCAATATTTCCGTTACTAATGATATTACAGACGGAATTTGAGATGAAATTACGTTAGCTACGTGAACTTTAGTAACGGAATTCGGTTACAAATATACTATTTTTTTTTTTTTTTTTTGTAGTGGATCGTTAGCTCCTCCTCTCGACACCCAAACTTCATCATCGTAGGGAAGATTTGATTCACATAAGCTAACATAAGCAGAGAGAGAGAGAGAGAGAAAGAGAGAGAGAGAGAGAGAGAGACATGGCAAAAACAATCAATCAATCAATCCTCAACATCCAATGCAGCAAATAATTAAGCTCAGATGTGCTGTACAGATGCAACTTGCTTACATAATTACTTTATTCACTTCACTTCCGGGCAGGGAAGAAGATGCTCGTACAAACTACAACTACAAATTCAGTATTCATGTGTATATATACTCCCAGTTTTCACTTCTATACAGGCAGGCAGGCAGGGAAGGGATGGGGTGGGGTGTAGCAAGCTCACTTTACAAGGCACCATACACACACACACACATGCTCCAGATCACTGATCGCCATTGATTCCGAAGATTCGGACCTTGTGCATATTTGGGAACTTTGCTATGACCAGCACAAGCACTGCAACCGTGTTGAAGAACAGCATTGGATTTTGGTAGTCGGTTGTATGTGAGGCCATCAAGTAGCTGTCACCACGGCATACAGATAACAGGTGAATGGATACCCATTAAACACTTGCAATGAAATGAAATGAAAGGAAGCGAATGTATGCAATGCAAAGATACAATTAAGATAGAGATAGACAAGAGCACAAAAAGGAAGAGAGCATGCTGATTACAATATACTAGTGAACCTGCACAACACGAGTCTCGAGTACTCTGTATACATACAATCGCTATACAACTTTCCCATCCCTGCTATTCGACTTCGAGCTACCAATTAAGACCTTACAAGTCCATTGTTGAATATCTTCTAAATAGCTCTGTCTCCCCTCTAACAATATACTCAATAGAAGCAGATGTATATATGTGCCTCAATATCCACATTTTTATGTACCAATGCAAAATCCTTTTAGCGACTCTTAACCAAGGAAAATGGTATTCACCCAGAAAACAAGTACTCCCAATACAACAAGATTTATTTTGAGTATGTGGGGTTTGTTACAGTGTCCCACTGAAATTGGAAAACCCACAATCTAGTTTGTCGACACAAATAGTTAAATGTTTTAATCTACTTGTAAACAAAAACAGTCAATGAAAATGCCTATATATTAGCAATATCATATGTTGTGGTAACTAGCACATGGACAGAACAACGAGCACTTCAAAAGATCACATAACACATCGCCCAAGTGAAGAGACAAAGATAAACATGCGAATGAGGAACTTACAGAACCACAGGAACAACGGTGAGGAATTTTCTATTGCGAGTGAGCTGCTTTCCATTGTCCATCTGCTCCCACCATGTCAACTGATTATAGATTCCCTGATCATCACCAAAAGGGGTCCCTTTTTTCCAATGAAAGAAGTGGTAAGTCACCTAAACATATGCATAAAATCATGTCAAACAAGATCTTGCACAGAGAGATTCAATGATGATCATAGCAATTCTGCCTAATGTAACAAGCTTTAGATGTAGATTACACCCCAAAGCAATGTGTTTCAAGAGGTAAAGGACCTAAACATGCTCAAACTACACAGTTTTCTCCAGCAGGTTTATTCTATCTATCTCAAAGCATCACAAAGACTTAGAAGACTGCATCAAAACAAATACTTGTTAAGAATTGTATTCAATCTTCTATCTTCTTAGAAGGAAGATAGGAGTTGAAAGCAACATCAATGGTTTATCAATCAAGCAACTAGCTTTTTAGTTATTAACTGAATTGTCCGACATAAAGAATACCAAGTAGCCAAGCAAACTACCAAGCTGTGCTTTCCACAATTAATTCATTTTTTCAACATATGGAAGCGATCATACATCCAGAAGCAAACAACCAACTCATCCAATATTATATTTTTGAATAAAAAAAGGTTTAAACAACCTAATCAACATATGAATTGAAAACAATAAGACTTCAAGTCAAAGATAAAATCCAATTGCTGGGGTTAATAGTGTAGACCCCCAAATAAACAGCAGATCTAAATACCCACCACCTACATACATACATACATACATATATATATAGCAACTAGAGGGGAGGGAGGGGAGTAATTGAGGCCATTTAACAGCTAGGACAGGACACACGGAATCTGATCAGATTCAGAACCACCAATCAATCAATCAATCAATCAATCAAAGTAATAATAACTAGGGAAATTGAGAGCGTACGACGAAGTGGCAAAGGTTGACGATTGTCCAGGCCATGCCGGGGGTGCAATTGGTGAGGGAGAGGACGACGAGCCAGGAGAAGAAAAGGAACAAAATATAACTAGTCCAAACGCCTGGGTAGGTGAACCACTCGGTGTTCCGGTTGAGATCGGGCGGCGGCACCATCTTCACATAGAGCTTGGCCATCGCTGCGCTACTGGATCGGAGGAGCAGATGGATGGAAGATAATAGATACGGAGGAGGAGGATTGTAAAACTTTCAGCAGCACAGCAGCGTAGCGTGTGCTCTTCTTCCTTCCTGTCCACCTCGCCTCTCTGCTGCTCTACTTCTTCTTCTTCTTCTTCTTCTTCTCCTAATTTCTTTCTTCTTCCTCCGTTCCGTGATCACAACACAGCACAACACAACACAAGAAGAAGACAACACAACACAAGAAGAAGACGCAATGTGGATAAGACTGTAACCGTTGGAGGTGCAATTATTACAAACTTATTAGCGAGCTTCCAGCCCATTAATCACTTTGCTTTTGCATTGCAGGCCCAAATTCATTCCATTCCATCCAACTCTGGCAACTCCGCTAACAAATAAATTAATTGATTGATTGATTATTATATTATATATATATATTTAACATCATAACATAACATGGGATCCACTGTCATTTGCCCCCCCCGGCTCGTATGATTCATTCCTACTTCTAATTTCAGTTCATGGTCGCCCAACGGAAATTACTCATCTTTTATCAAAGCCCAATTCGCTAACTATTCTTTAGGCCCTGGTTGTTTGTTTCTAAGTTTTGCTCCAAATTTATTATTTATGAAAATATTTTAAAAACATTAAATTTAATATAGTAGTATTTTTTTTTTTCTTTTATTTATACTAAAAACTAAATTATAATTCAAAATTTTACTATTCAAATCTCAAATATACAACTAACACTTAATTATGTTCTTCAACTCATACAAAATATAAAATAAAATGCTCAATAATTTTTGGGTTATTAGATTCCTTTGTTACTGATAAAATATATTCTCTCCGTCTATTTAAAAAGTATATATTTATTATTCTGTAAAGGATGATTTGGTGGTGTGGGTGTTGGACGTGACCGTAAGGCTATGGGTTCAACCCCAAGTCTCAGGTCACATGCCAGTCATGGTTCGCCTAGCGTGACTTGCGAGTCTAGTTTGCAGGGCATTAGATTCGGCAGAATTCTCCGGTGCACACTTTCAAATAGCGGCTACGAATTTCTACATCAAATATATATATATATATAATAGAATAAAATTGTGTATTTGAAATAAAAAACTAACTCACCTATTCCCAACTTAGATTTTGTACTATCGCACAAACACTCTAAAAACTTCCCATCACACCCAAAAACATACAGCCGTAAAGTCAGATAGCCTAACCCTAGGCCGTCTTGGTCCTAGCCCGGGCCAAAGAGTTCATTATTTATTTATATTATATATTATATATATCATTTGATATTAATAGAAGGACATGACTTGATAGTTAAGATTTATTTATATTATTTTTGAGGTTTTGGGTTCAAATCCAAATACTTTTAAAATTTAAAAATATCATTAAAAAGAAAATTAAACAAAGTTAATATTAATAATATTATTGATATTTTGCATATAAAAATATTAGAAAATTTATTTTATTTAATTATTTATATTTTATTATAGATAAAAAAAATATTATTTATACATATTTATGGGCTTCTAATTTTTGTTTTAACATTGTTAATATTAATAATATTATTGATATTTTATCTAAAAATTCTAAAAAAATTATTTTATTTGATATTTATATTCTATTATAGGTAAAAAAAAATCGGAGTAGATCATTTATATATATTTAGGGGTCTTTTATTTTTGTTTTAATTATTTTTTTACACTAAAAAGATAATAAATATTAGATAAAATTATTATTATTATTAGGCAAAATTATCAATAACTTCTTTATAATTTTGAAACTCATTGTAAATCTTCTATATATTTTAAAAATGACATGAACCCCTTTATACTTTAAAAAATATTCGATGAAACTTATTTTTATATTTTTTTTGTGATGAGAATATGACTTTTCATTTATATTTTTTACATGACGAGAGTTTTATATAGAGTTTGTTAAAATATAAGGGGGCGTTACACAATTTTTAAAAATTATACTAAAAAAATATATTTTTTATTTTTATTTTATAATAAGTAAAGAATATTATATATATATATATATATATATTTATGGCCGTAGCTTTTATTTCGCTCTGGGACTTCGAAAGTCAAGAATGGTGCTACTAACCCCAAATACATTAAAAATTTATCACACTACAACATAAGTAGTTCATATTTAGGAGACTTGTATAAGCGTTATTCTGTAGATTTGAATAATAATAATATAAGTATAGAACAAGATTAAGATTAAAGAAAGGGTTGATATGTTGTGTAGTGTATCTCTACGTGTAAGTTGTGTAATGCGTCACGCACCACTAGGCACTAGCTTGTAGTTGTAGTATAAGATCGATCTGCCTAATTAATTACCCAAAACCCATGGGGATGCGGTGGATTCCATACTGCACAAATTTTAAATTATTTTTGGATTTGTTTACTTATTTATAATACCTATTTTATTTTACTATTTTTTAAAAAACAAAATATGTATTTTTTTTATTTGAAATATTTTTTTATATAAAGTAAAAAAAACTGTGTTATTAATATATAAATAATACGTCTTTTGTCTCCAAATATATTTAGTTTGTCATTTTGATTTCTTCAAGTAAAAGATATATGTTTTCTTTAATAAAATAACCTCCAACTAAATATCAAAATACTATATTTACATGTCTATAAAATACTACTAATATACTTAAGTTCAAGTATAAAAGTCAAATAAGTATCTTTAATTGGGTTGAGATGGAGTATTATATTGAATTGTTAAACTTTCTTTTAAATAATAGAGTACATACATTATATATTGTATTTTTTATAATATTAATTGACAAGCATATAGAAAAAAAAAAAATTGCAATATAATTATTGTTTTAGAAAACATTAAAAATCAAACAATAATTAGAAAAATACAAATACAAGTAAATAAATTTTTGTGTTTGTTTAAGATGTGTAATTATATCAATAATATAAAATATTTTATATTGAATGTTTGATATCTATGAAATGATAAAATTGAAAATCGTATCAATAAAAAAATTGTAGTCAAACAAACTCAATAGGGTTAATAAAATTTGAAAAATTAAACCCAAAGAAGCACATTTATATATATATTTATATATATATATATTATTTTAGGTTTTTTAGTGGTGTGAGAAACTGTAAACATACTATAAGTTAATGATGTTTTCTATATATATACTGTACTTTTTATTATGTATATATATTATATTTTTTAAAAATATTTTAAAAAATTATGTATCATATAAACACTAAACAAATACTTATTTTTACCTTTAATATAAACTAGCATCATGTATACTTTTTATGTCTCATTAGTATTATCTTAAAAAAAAAAAAAAAAGAATTGTTAGAAAATATATTACTTCATCCGTCAGCTAAAATTATAATATTTCTCTAAATTTCTATATATTTTATTTATAGTAATAATTTTATTCATTTATAATTTTAGGTCTTATATTTTAGCAAATAATAATTATTTTTTTATTACTTGAATATCGTATTTTTATTAATTTTTAATAATACTTTGAATTTATTTTTCATATATCCTGTTTTAATATTAAAATAGTAGTATTTGTACGTGTCCAAGTAAAATTACAAAAGTTTAGGGCATGGATGGAGTATTATTATATTGGTATAAAATGATCTGTTCCGATCCCATGCTCATGCCCAAGAGCAAGAGCAAGCCAAAATCCGGTTCGGTGGGTCCAGCTCCAAATAATCTCAAAACTAATTAATACTAATTAACAATGATCGGATCGGAGAGTTGCCCTCCCTTCTTCACCTTGTAAACAAGACCCAACATACATATATATATATATATATATAGCCCAATCAATTCAATATTTGATTCACTCATTCATATAATTCAAATAATCAATTTATTACTATTTACATAACTAAATCAAATTTCTAACGTCGATCAAATTAGTAAATAGCTCAACTTGGATTGGACGTGGATAGAGGTTGCTATATATCCTGTGCAAATTAGAGATGCATGCATGCATGCATGCATTATATATATATATATATATATATATTAGATGCTGCAGAGAAATGAAATGTGCAAAAGTAGTGGACGGATGATGTATCATAAGCACACTGGCCTTTTAATTTAATTTAATTTAATTTAATGTAATTGATATATTTGGCTTCCTAGCTAGTTTACCTCTTTCTAATCTCGACTAATTAATAATTAATTCATGGTGATAGGTGCACTAGCTTTTCCAAATTCATAGTGCTCTTGATTAATTAATTATTATGGATTTAGTTAGAAGTAATTCTATATCTAAAACTAATTTGTTAATTAATTAATGTGTCTGTGTGCATGGTTACCTAATTAATTTCTTTATGCGTTGAATAAGGACAACATTTGAGTGTGACTCTGGCTACATGCGTTGATGAATGAAGGCCTCCCTCCTATTATCTGTTTATTATTATTATTATTATTATTATTATTATTATTATTATTATTATGTATGTGTATATATTACATGGAAATAAGCAATAGTAATAACAATAGCAGCAATATATGTATATATACATACTAGTAATTAATTAACTAATAGCAATCCCACTAAGTTTTATTATTTATTCAATATATGGCTCCTCGGTTACTTGAGGCTGTCTTCAACTAACTAACTAGTTAATAGAATTAGGTCTTTTGCTTTTAATTTCTCTTTTTCACAAAGATCAACCGAATTAATTTAGGTAGCTGTAGCTGGCTGGCTGTTTATTACATCGCTGTTTAGGTCATGCATATACATACACACACACACACAATGGTGGCCCTTTATGATTATTATTATTATTATCATTTCTTTCTTTCTTTCTCTTGCATGTTGGCAAGAGATATTATTAGTGGTGGTGATAGAAAAGAAGTGCAGAATTGGGGAATGAGGTAGCCAGATTAAAGAAATCAAATGGAGAGGTGAATTAATAATTAAGCTGACCTACCTTGCATTGCATATAGTTTTAGCAGCAGCATGTAGAATCTTCTTCCTTGCTCTTATTGGAGGAGGAGCAGCAGCAGCAGCAGCAGCAGCCATCTATATATAAATGTACGCCTGTGGCTGCGTGCTAGCCAACACACCACACCACACCACACCACACAATCTGTGTTTTTTGTCGACAGAAACACATGAGAAGAGAGAGAGAGAGAGAATCCTTGCCCTGCCGTAATTAGATTGGACAATCATAATTAAGCTAGCATAGCATATATAGCATTTCTTGAGTTGAGTTGACTGACAGTACGTAGCAGTACCTGAGAGTACTTGGGTGATCAGATCAAATCAAAATGAAAACGTCTTCCAAGGAACCTCAGGCGGCGGCGTTGGAATGGAGAGTGAGTATGCCGGGCGGTGCGAGTCGGGCTCTAGAACCAGCACCAGCAGCAGCTGGCGAGAGAAGAAGATGCAGCAGCAGAATGTGCATCTGCAGCCGGTTAGGGTTGGGAATGGGAATTGGGGGGTTCTTGGAGAGGGCGTGGAAGATGGCCAGGAACGAGCCTAAGAAGGTAATGCACTGCGTCAAAGTAGGGCTGGCGCTCTCGCTGGTGTCCTTGTTCTACTACATGCGGCCCCTCTACGACGGCGTCGGCGGAACCGCCATGTGGGCCGTCATGACCGTCGTCGTCGTGTTCGAGTACACTGTGGGTACGTATATACATGTACAGCCTGCAGGCATCGTCCACACCAACAATCAATCAATCAATCAATCCATCCTGTTCCTAGCTCATTATAATATATATATATATATATTGATTTTATTTTATTTGATTTGTTGGTTTGAATGTTTGCATGGACGGAGGAAGGCGCGACGCTTTGCAAGTCGGTGAACAGAGCGACGGGGACGTTCTTGGCAGGGGCGCTGGGGATGGGTGTTCACTGGGTGGCCAGCCACGCCGGCGACAACCTCCAGCCCGTTATTCTGCAAGCCTCCGTCTTCATTCTGGGTAACTTAATTACTTACTTAGTTAAGCCTTAATTTACTTGTCTTTGTGGGATTGGCCTGACCCTGACAGACTTAATTTAATTTGGTTTATAAATCTGTTTGTGGCATTGCATTGCATTGCAGCCACCGCAGCGACCTTCTCCAGGTTCATTCCGTCGGTGAAAGCCCGGTTCGACTACGGGGCCATGATCTTCATCCTCACCTTCAGCCTCGTCTCGGTTTCGGGCTACCGCGTCGACAAACTCTTCGAGATGGCTCATCACAGGCTCTCCACCATCGCAATCGGCACTTCGCTCTGTGTCATCACCACCATGGTCGTCTCCCCGGTCTGGGCTGGAACCGAGCTCCACAACATCATCAACACCAACATGGACAGGCTTTCCGATTCCCTAAATGGTAATGGTTTGTTTATTATAAGGAATACTCACGCACACAACACAGCTTAATCGAGGAGGTATCCATTGATTGATGCATTTGTTCTTCAACTCACTCTGCAGCATGCGTTGCCGAATATTTCAAAGATGGTGATGACGATGATGCCAAGGCCAGTGATGGTGGTAAAAATGAAGCTGCTGCCACCACCAAAGCCTTACATGGCTACAAATGTGCTCTCAATTCTAAAACTACTGAAGAATCCATGGTAGGCTCTCAGTTCACTGTGTTGTCTTGTCCTTCATTCCTTTCTTTGATTTACCCAAACTCTGTTCGAATAATACCAAATATTCTCCTCCCTCTCCCTGCAGGCAAACTTTGCCAGATGGGAGCCTGCCCATGGGAGCTTCAACTTCGGGCATCCATGGAAGGAATACCTCAAGGTTGGGGCGTCCCTGAGGAGCTGTGCCTACTGCATCGAAGCACTTAATGCCAGCATCGCCTCGGATGCTAAGGTACTCGTCATTCATCCATCATTTGATATGGATATGGACATCTTATGCTGTATCACCCATCATTCGTCTTCTTTTCTTTTCTCAAACGCACGTATTTTCCAACTCGACAGGCCCCTGATTTTCTCAAGAAGCATTTCAGCAAGTTTTGCGTGAGATTAAGCGGCTCATCCTCTGCACTGCTTAAAGAATTGGCGATTTCCATCGCTGCAATGAAGAAATCATCTAGAACAGATCTCATGGTCGAGGAGATGAGAAACGCAGTTCGGGAATTGCAGAATGCACTGAAATCCCTCTCCACACAATGGATGGCATCAACAGGAGAAATGGCTAGTGATACAGGGGAGGAGAAAGCCAGTCCTCGGGTTGTTACTCTCACCAAAATTGTTCCATTGGTCACCGTGGCATCGCTACTTATAGAGATCGCTGCAAGAACAGAGACTGTTGCACAGACAGTAACTGGGCTTGCGGATAAAGCTGAATTCAAAGTTGAAAGCGCAGAGGAGACGAAGAAATTCCAAAGCCAGAAAGTTTAAGATACGAGTCATACGATGATCTACATAGCCACAACATGACTGTTTAACAGGACATTGTAATACCTTTGTTACTGTACAGCGGAGGCAAACTGGTGTCGATCGTAATAATAAACATGATCTCGACAGAATTAATCGAGTTCGAGTATCAATCTTTAGTCAGGACTGGAGGGAGAGGAGTTTTTCAGAGTGATTCAATACCATGCTGTAGTTTTGTCTGTATATATGGCAGAAATAATAACAGAAGATGGCAAAACGATTTCACAATGTTAAATCAATGAAGGAGAGAGACATCACACATTACCTAATAAGTTGGCTGTTAGAATTTGCAGCTCCTGAAGCTGGGTCTTCAGTGTTATTCCCGAGCCAGCCAAGGTTGACAGCAAGGTCCTCTACGTCTATCTTGATGACATCCGTTCGGACTCCTATATCCGTTGCGTATCTGCTCATGCAGTACATTCCAGCAGTCAGTGTAGCCACGCCAACTGGACTGGGCATCAGCAGCTTCAATGGTGTGGAAAGAAGAGCAGCCAGTGGCGCACCAATGACCGACGAAGCTTGTCCACTTCTTCCAACTCCCAGACGATCGATTGTGAGGAGTCCAGTTTTGCAGTACAGCGCAAAATCCTCGCAGTTGTTTTGAAACACATCGTAGTTCCCAAATCCATTTTGGAGCAGGTACATTGCACGATGAACAACGGCCTCAGCTAGGTCGGAGGCAGCAGTTGTGCAGGTGCCTCCACGCACCTTAGCGATAAAAAGAGACGGGCTGACTCCATACTCGAAGGAATACAGGGAACCGTTTCGAAGGAAGCAATCAAGACAGGAGAGAACGACCCCACTGTTTGGCTGCCTAAAGCCACAGTCTGGAAACGTTCGGCATTGCGCATCCGGGCTGTATGCTTCGCGATCTGATGTGGACGAGCCTTCAACACGGGTGAAATGAACCACTTTGCTACCCCCAACAAAGATACCTACACAAACAATGCCACACTGAAAGTGGTTAATGCAGGTAGGTATTCGAAACCAACACATTCTAATTCAATTCAATTCACTTCATTTCACACAGATTTCTTGATTGTATGAACAAAAATGGTTCAGCTCCACGTATATGAAAGAAGCCGGCTTATACATGTCAAGACAAGACAAGATTGACCTCTAAGTAACTAGCCATATGAATTGCCCATCATAAAACTCAGTGACAGCAGAAAAGCCACATAGCTTCGAATCTAAGAATGAGCAATTGTAAAATGGTGAAAATGTTCACCTTTCAGCATAGTTATTTCAATCGATGAGCACAAGGAAGGAAGATTGACAGTTGACAAGCAAATTATTAGTACAACATGGAAGGCAACGAGTCTCTCAGTGACTAAGGATCAGATCTCATCATCCAGAACCACAAGTTAATGAGATTTTAAGAAAAGTATATATATATTTTCGGTTCCAGAGAAAACCAAGGAGATAAAATAGCCTGGGCGGGCGGGCAGGGCAATCAAAATTCCAAAGCACAATCAAGCTAGCTAACCCAATTGGATAAGAAATCAATCCTAAACTAGTAAATGCAGCATTGCCTCTTTCCTCAATGTACACAAACAGCCTCAGACAAGCACCATAACAGAAACTAGAAACAAATTAGAAAATACTAGGAAATCGCTAGCAACCATGGTGAGAGTAGGCAAACACTGCTCTGTAAGTATAGATATGATCCCCAGGCTTGATCTCATTCCTCTCCACTCTATTCGTGAGCAAACCCATCTCTTCTAAGGTGGGTTAAATTTAGAATGAGACCCCCGCTGCGAAAAACAAGCAAAAATTTCAGCAATTCCTTTCCCTTTCCCTTTCCCTTTCACAAAATTTAACAAATGGACGCAAACATCTCTATACCAGAAACCCGAAAATGAATATCCAACACCGGGCAGCGGCAGGCAGAAACACAAGTCGGAGATTATAGGTAGAGGACACAATTGATTAGTTTGCGAAACTAATCTAGTACTGATTATTGAACCACCTCAACCATTATAAAAATAAAAATAAAAATGAAGATGAAAATAGGGATGCAGCAAGGCAGTGCATCGCACTCACTCACTACACTAGCAATAGCATATAATTAATGGATCCCACCCACCCAACACGTACGCCGGGGGTGTTGTGGCTTCTTTGTTTGCCTTTTATGGAGCTCGTGGAATATGGACGGGCGACGGGCATGGTATCATCCAGGGATTGTTCCTTACTATTTGAATTTATATATGTTTCAAAAAAAATTAATAGTTATATTATCAAATATTATTTTAATTAAAAAAAAAAAGAAACTAGGGATGATTTTACTTTTCCCTGCTAGGGTGGAAGGGAGGACCCATCGATAAAGGGAAGAAATTCCACAGATTCTTGCGTTGGCTTTGGGCATCCAATCCAAGGAAAAATGCAGTGGTGCTTGCAATGCTATGCAAATATGCAAATACCATGTCCATCCGTAGATGATTGATTGATGCCTCGCCTCGCCTCAGAGGAGGAAGTCATTCTTTGCTTCTCTGTGCCGTATTCTCTCTCTCGCTCGCTCGCTCGCTCTTAATTTGCAGTTGAGCTGCTTTCCGGATAAATTATTTTTCAAAGTACCTTCTGAATTCCCTCACAGGGTAAATTGAAGAAAACTTTTAGTCACGAAGATTATGCGGAATGCTCAAACTACAATTTTGTTTCTACTTATCTCACGTTTTTAAGGGATTGTTTGTCCAATTCAAAATTTATTCACGATTTCAATGTATATGATACATATTATATTGTTATACAAAAAATGAATAGATGAAAATGTGTTAAAGAAGTTTTGATTAGGTAAAAATTAAGACTAATTTAATATAAATATATAATTACTTTTTATTCAATAAAAAAATACTAAAAATAGTACTTTAAATCTTGGCACCCAAAACAGTGTTATCTTGGCTCACTCATAAGAAAAAAGAAAGATAGAATATACATATATATATATATACTGTGAAATGATTGAGTTGTAGAAGAAAAGGGATGCTGCTGCATACTGAGGAGAGGAGTGATGAATTGAAGGATGATGGTAGATGAGAAAAGAAGTGGTTGGGGTGGGGCATGCAGCCTAACCTAAGCTAAGCTCAATTATATATATATATATATATATATATATGGTGAATCGATGGAACATGGAAATCCACACACCACACCACACCAAACCAAATCAACCGATACAATTATATAACAAGAGGAATGATGAGGATGAGGCGTTGAGCCTGAGCCCACTTTGGGTGTCTATATAAATATTATATTATTAATAATAATAATAATAATAATAATAATAATGATGATGAAGTGATCGATCGATCGATGGAGAGTAATATAATGGACAAAACTTAAGGCGAGAGGAGAGGAGAGTCGGACAAGACAAGAGAAGAATGGAGGATGAGATCTGCTGCTGCTGCAGCAGGATTATTTACAGCTGCTACAAATGCAGAAACTTCACGATGACATCGATCGTCTCCAAGGGATTCCAGGTGCGGTCAATTCATTCATTCAGGAGTAGCTAGATCGATCGAGTATCCTCAATTCCTCATCATATATAAATGCTGTAGTACATTATGTACTTATTTAATTAACTTGCTTCAACAATACAATTAATTCAATTTGTGGCATCCAATGCAAATAACAAGTTACTACCGTTGGCATTGTACAATGTATTGCTCCAATCAATTCAATAGAGGATTTTAATGTGAAAAAACAAAGTGTAATAATTTTATTAAAAAATAAATAAAAAAATAGGCGAGTATTTGAATGAGAAAAGAAGTATTATAATTGGTTTTAACGGGACGCGAAGCAGGAGACTGGACTAGACGGCATTCAATTCATTGCTTCCACACTTTTAACCGTCAGTTAGTCCCGTTTACTTTTTCATTTCAAGGCTAGTCAATTGAATTGAAGTTTGTCTGTTTGATTGTTTGTTTTTCTAATAATACTAGCATTTAAACCCATGTATATATAATTAAAATATGTTTAAAATAATATTGTAATATAATTATATATTTGATAAATTTTACATATATGATTTATTTATAATTTATAAAATAAATATATATAATATGTTTTTCAAATTAACTTTATTAATACAAAAATGTTAATTAGCAAACGACAAAAAAAAAAAAAATTGAAATTATAATAAAATATAGAAGACAATTTAGAAATAAATGTAATTAAAATAAACTGTTGTGAATTTCATGCTTCTGCATAAATAAAAAACTAACAAAAAAATCTCAAAACATCTTTTAATCATAAATAAGTAAGTTCTTACCAAGATTTTGCCTCTTCAAAAAAATCTCAAATGATAGAATAGAGAGTCACCAAATCCTTGCCAAATTAACTTCATCAATACAAAAATGTTAATTAGCAAACGAAAAAAAATAAAATTGAAATTATAATAAAAGATATAAGACAATGTAGAAATAAATGTAATTAAAATAAACTGCTCTGAATTTCATGTTTCTATGTAAAAAATATAAATAACAAAAAAAATCTCAAAACATCCTTTGATTAGAAAGAAATAAGTAATTTTATTATGTAAAAATAAGAAAACGGTGGGTCTACTATTGTGAAAGGTTTTTGCCTCTTCAAAGAAATTTTAAATGGTTTTTGCCTCTTCAAAGAAATTTTAAATGGCAGAAGGGAGAGTCCTTGTCGAGTTTTTGTCTCTTATGTTGAGGACTCCCGTTTGCGGGATATGTAACTAGTGGCTTAGTTTCCCTAACAAGTTCGAGCTTTTAGGTGAGACGGTCGAAATCTCAAATGGCAAAAGAGAGAGTTTTGTCTCTTTAAAAAAATCTCAAATGGTTGAAGAGATAGTTAGCAAATCCTTTCGAAAATGCAACGAAGGCTAATTGCAAATATTCTCCAAAATTATTGAGAGAATTAAAATAAATAAATAAATAAATAAACTACTCTGGTATTCCATTATACCCCGCTATCTCATTATTTAGTAAATGATATATATTAAAAAAATTGCATTAAAAAATTGTAAAAATCTAAAATAAAAAAATAAAAATAAAAGAAGCCATAAATTTGAGGGATGAGGTCACACCATTTGCTATAATTATATATATATATATATGATGAGAAAATATTTTCTATATAAAGAATTAAGACTTGACGAGTGGTTCAGAAGTTGAATTTGTAACGTGAGATTATGTTTACCCAGTGAGCCGAATTCCCACGTCATTAAAAAAAAAAAAAAATATATATATATATATATATATATATCAACAACTGCTAAGGATCGTGACCTTATTTATAGCAGAGTCCACGGCAGCACGTTCTTTCACGGCACCACGTTGTTTTCTTTTTGAATAGAGGTACAAGTTGAAGGGAGGGGTCCGATAGCGATACCAATTTTGACCAATTCATTCCCGTCACCACATCTCCTCTTCTCCCCATTTCCCATTTCCCACCCAAACAGCGAGTGAACACACACCAACAATAGACCGCAGCACGTCACTGCCACTGCCACTCCCACTGCCACCTACCTCTCTCTTTAATTTGCGGCTCGGAATCTGCGATATTTCTTTCGATCGCAGAGGTCGAAGTCGAAGCTAGGGTTTAATTATCTGTGGTTTTAGCGGCGATCGATCAGGCGAGTTTGTTTGTTTGTTTGACTGTCTGGGGTTCCTACGCATTTCAATCCTTCCGAGTGCTGCTGCGCATTGCTTGCTTGCTTGCTCGCTCGCTCGCTTACACTTTCGACTTCCTTCCTTCCAAACACCCTCCCACCCTATGAAATTTCTTAAAGAAACTGCAATTATAGATGAGATGAGATGAGGTGAGGTTCGCAGATCCACAATTTTCCTTTCTCTGACGATGACGATGACGATGATGATGATGATTGCTTCCAATTCCGGGTAACCCTTAATTTGTTCTTTCAGATTTATTAATTAAACACCAATCCTTCCATGTGATGTAATCCACGTACCCTATGCACTGCTAGAAGCTCTCCAGTTAGATTGTTTGTTTGTTTGTTTGTTTGTTCGTTCGTTCGTAGGAGGAAATTAGACAAATTAATGTGTTGATTATGAAGAAAACAGATCGATAGGGACGACGACAAAACACAATAGATCTAGGTAGGTAGTTAGGTAGGTAGGTGCTAGCTACAGAGTATGGCTCCGGTTATCAGCTATTTTTAAAGATCAATAAATAAATAAAATATTTGTTAATGAGATTCGTTAAAAAAAATGTTAAAAATTTAATTAAATTAAAATGGTTTGTATTTGTTAATTGTTTTTAAACTTAATCATTTTTGGCTGGACGATATTTTAACTCTGTTTTTCAAATAACATTAAATTAAATATTATTTTTTTATTATTACTTTTCACAAACTTCCAAAAACTGTCTCCATCTAACCGGAGCTTTTCTATATCCGATATGATCTCCAAGAGTCAACCATATTGCGGTAACGAGTTGAGTGTGCGTAGTATATTTATTAGCTGTGCTTGGTTACCAGTTACCAATTACCATCCATCCGAGTGTTGCCAATATGCTCTCAATATTTTTAACTATTTATTTTTTCAATTTTATATACACCCCCCTATGTCAAAATTAGGTAGATTTGATTGACAAAGAACACTAAAAATAATAATAATATTAAAATAAGTTATTATTAAATAATTATTAAATAATTGATAAAAATATTAAAATATTTAAAAAATAATAATAAATTGTTTATATTATTGTTAAAATAAAGATATATTCTATTTATATTAAATTTATTTTTATTTTACTTTCCAGTCTGTTTGTAGTTCGTCCTGTGTTTGTTTGAAGGATTTGTGAAAATTTCCACTATTCATCCTATTCCTCCAAAACATCGAATCAAACGCCTATTTTTTATTTTTTATATTATACTAAAAAAATCAATTTTATATATCACATCGTACAACTATTCAAATTCAAAATTTTTACTATTCAAATCTCAACTCAAAATTCAAACCCCCAAACAAACACACCCTAAATTTACTCTATTACTAATTTGCTAATTTTGACCAAGTAAACGAATTAATATTTTTTTCATTCAATAGTTATTTACAACAGATATTATTAATTTTATTACATTCTTTTTAATTACCTTTATTTTTAACTAAATTTTTAAAATACACTAAATTATGTTCTTTATTTTTTATTTTTTTTTTTATAAAATATTTATTTTTCTTGATATCTTGATCCAAGTGGACTAATTTCACTGTAAGTAAGGAGTACTTAAAATCCAACTATGTTTTCACCATCTTATTTTGACTATGTATTTGCAGTTATTTATTTATTTATCCTAAAAACACATCATGCTTGTTTGTTCAGGGAATGATAAAAATTTTGAATTTTGAACATAAAATTGATAGTATAATATGAAAAATAAATGTTTGATTTGCTATTTTTAAAATAAAAACTTTATAAATAGTAGAAATTCTGGAAATTTTGCTAAAAGAATACATCCATCATATATATATATATATTTTTATTTAATATTACATCTGAATTTTTATTTTCATTCTATTCGAAAGAGCATGTTAAATATTTATTACTCCCTTCGTCTTATAATAAAATATCCATTTTTTTTATTTTAGTTCGTCTCGTAACAAATATTCATTTCCTTTTTAGTAACTATATTATTTACATAACAAGTACTTTTACAATTTACAATATATTACACAAATGTCATTACCTTTATATCAAAACTACTAATAAAGTTATTTTAGTCATTTCTACTTTATTCCTGCTACATCCAAATATAATACTAATATTTCTAAAATTACGTGCAAAAAGTAAATGAATATTTAGTTATGAAACAGAATGAATATATCATATCAGATAAATTTTAATTTATTGTTTTAGGGCGTGTTTGGCAATAGCTGTTAGTTGATTCAATTAGCTGTTAGCTGTTAGCTGATTCAATTAGCTGGTTTGACTAGCTGATTCGATTAGCTGTTTGTATTAAAATGTTTGGTAAAACAACTATTTGATATTAGCTGTTTATACGTAAAATGACGATTGAGGACATTTCTATTTTATTCTTGTTTTTAATATATTCAATTATGTTTTTTTAGTTTGGAATATTTAAAATTTTTTGTTATTAATTATTGAAAATTGTAAAAGTGTTATAAAAGTATTTATTTTTATTACAGTTAGATTTAAAAAATAATACATTTTTATTAAAATATATAAATAGTTTTTTTTTTTATTGAAAATGATGTAAAATATAAAATAATAAATTTTTCGTATATATTTATTATTTTAGTTATCTATTAGTTCGTTATATTTATAATTTTCAATAAATTTAATTTATTTTTAGTATAAAATTTATATAATGGAATTTTAATAAAAAAATAAATTATAAATATTTATATTTTTATTTTATGTTGATTTTAATAAATTTATATATTTTACGATTAAAATAATTTTTATATAAAAATTAATTATTTTAAATTTATAAAAGTAAAACTATAATATAATAAAATATTCTAGTATAATTAATAAATAATCAAAATATATTTATTTGTGTAAAATTTATAATAAATTTTTAAGGGCATATAAGGAATAAAAAATTTTTTATAGAAAAAACTATTTTAAAACGCTGGGTAAGTTAGCTTTTCATAAATTAGTTTTTTTGGTCCAAACACCTAAATTAGCTTTTTGACTGGTCAAACAGCTAAAAACTATTCAATAAATTGAAAACTCTTAAAAAAGCTATTCGCCAAACACCCCTTACTAATTCTGAAACATACCAAACACCAACAGACCTTTATTGAACTTTCTAGGTGGCCAAGTTGGTATATCAGTAGACTTGTAACACAGTGAAGTCATGAGTTTATTTTCGCGCCTCACGATTGATTGTTGATTAATACAAGAAAAGGAGTCTGGGCGCATGAGAAACAAGTGCAAAAAAACTAAGAACAATGTCTGAGGCTGGGACACACACTGTAAGAAAACAACATTGATGATTGGTAAAGTTGGCTGGTTAGACCTAACATTCTCATTACTATCTATCTACCAAATTATGAAAGATACGTAATGTTTTTCACAATTATTGGATCTCCATTTACTACTACATTTTCTCAGTTGTTTTCTACTGCACCTGTAATTCAGTTATTGTTTCGTATTTTAGGAGCTTGAAGTGAGGTAATGTACTGGAGACTTATCTTGGGGACTCAGTGAGTGGGTTTATTTCTTGATGGGGGAAGTAGCAGACAGAAAGCCATTCAAGGCATGGTCGTGGTCAGTTGAGCAGTGCTTGAAGGAGTACAAAGTGAAGTTAGACAAAGGTGTGAGCACTTACGATGTTGAGAAGAGGAGAGAGATTTATGGATGGAACGAACTCAAGAAACACGAGGGTAAGCCCCTTTGGAGACTTTTCTTGGAACAATTTGATGATATGCTTGTCAAAATCCTTCTAGTTGCAGCTTTCATTTCATTTGTACTGGCCTACTTGCAACGGAATGAAACTGAAGAATCAGGGTTGGAATCCTACATGGAACCTTTTGTCATAGTTTCAATATTAATCCTTAACGCTGTGGTTGGAGTTTGGCAAGAAGGCAATGCTGAGAAAGCCCTCGAAGCATTGAAGAATATGCAATGCGACTCTTGCAAGGTGATTAGGGATGGGTATGTTGTCCCAGATCTGCCTTCGTGTGAGCTTGTCCCTGGGGATATTGTGGACTTACGGGCTGGGGACAAAGTACCGGCTGATATGAGAGTGGCAGTCTTGAAGACCTCAACTTTAAGAGTGGAGCAGAGTTCACTGACGGGAGAGGCCATGCCTGTCATGAAAGGAACTGACCCCATTTTCTTGGATGACTGCGAGCTGCAGGCCAAGGAAAACATGGTCTTTGCTGGAACGACCATCGCTAATGGCAGCTGTGTTTGCATTGTTGTGAGCATTGGGATGTGCACTGAAATGGGAAAGATACAATCACAGATAGATGAGGCATCACATGAAGAAAACGAAACTCCTTTGCAGAAGAAGCTCGATGAATTTGGTAATAGGCTTACTACTGCTATTGGCATTGTTTGCCTCATGGTGTGGATTATCAACTACAAATACTTTCTCACATGGGAGCTTTCAAATGGATGGCCTTCCAATTTCCGTTTCTCTTTTGACAAATGCACATACTATTTTAAGATAGCAATTGCCCTTGCTGTGGCTGCAATCCCTGAAGGCCTTCCTGCTGTGATTACAACCTGCTTAGCTCTCGGTACTAGAAAAATGGCTCAAAAGAATGCAATAGTACGAAAGCTTCCGAGTGTGGAGACCTTAGGGTGTACAACTGTTATCTGTTCCGATAAAACAGGAACCTTGACAACAAATCAAATGTCAGTCACAGAATTTTTTACCTTAGGTGCTAAGACAACAGATTCAAGAATTTTCTGGGTTGAAGGCACAACTTATGATCCTCAGGATGGGAGGATCGTCGACTGGAATTGCAATAATATGGATGCCAGCTTGTTAGCTGTGGCTCAGATTTGTGCTGTTTGTAATGATGCCGGGGTATATTGTGATGGCCTTTTATATAGAGCAACTGGATTGCCGACTGAAGCTGCTCTCAAGGTTTTAGTTGAAAAGATGGGTGTTCCAGACATCAAGGTCAAGAACAGTATCCGTTGTTCAAAGATTTTGTCCAATTATTTGATCGACCACAAAACTGCTAAATTATGTGAGTAACAGCATGCAGTCATTTTATCTTTGCTGATATTCTGTCTAAAATTTGTAACACCCAGTGTTCATTTCAGCATGCTGCGAATGGTGGATAAAACGATTGAAAAGAGTTGCGACACTGGAATTTGATCGTGTCCGTAAGTCAATGAGTGTTCTTGTTCGCAAGCCAGATGGGTGCAACCGACTTCTTGTCAAGGTATAGCTGCTAGATTTATTTAATCTAAATTTCCTTGTGTGCCTATAGAAGAGATGACTTGTTATTCATGTCATGCAAAGACTAAACTGTAGTTGTTTGTGGTTTGTGATGTTTTAGGTTGTTATAAAATTAAAATGTTTCTGAATATAATATAGGTTTTGGATGTAATTTTTCATTTTGTACTATTTATTATTATTATCTTTGTGTTTTGTATGGAATAAATGTGTTATTTTGAATAGAAAATAGGTTTTGGATATAATAGTTTTAGATGAAAGTAAGTGTTGGATTTGATGACTTTTAGAGTGAACAAACACTTTTCTGTAAAATAAATAGTGTAAAAATTGGTGTGTAAACACAATCAGACACCCTTAGGCAATCTACTGTAAATAGAAAATAGGTTTGAGAAGCTGTCATGGTGAACATGAGATATGTTTGTTTTTTATCTTATGCAATTTATTGTGTAGTTCTACTTAAAGCATAGAATGCACCATCTAACATTCGTTCAACATCCGAAACACTTTAAAATGCAAAGAAGCACATCTCATTCCTCATTAGCAATGGAAGTATCCAGCCTGAAATTTCGAATACTTAAAATAGGTTCAGTGTGTATTAGTTCGTGAAACTAGAAGAACACTCACTGTGAAGGTTTGAATCTACATTCTGTCTATTGTTCTGCTGGAATGGCTCTTTTCTTCTGCAGGGTGCAGTTGAAAGCTTATTGGAGCGTAGTTCCTATGTGCTACTCCCTGTAGGATCAATTATCCCAATGGATGAACAATGTAGGCAACAGTTGCAATTAAGGCTGCTGGACATGAGTTCAAAGGGGCTTCGATGCTTAGGCTTAGCCTACAAAGATGATCTGGAAGAGCTTTCAGACTACTACACTGAAGGTCATGCAGCCCACAAGAAGTTGCTTGATCATTCATGCTATTCCTTAATAGAAAGCAGTCTAGTTTTTGTAGGAGTGATTGGTATACAGGTGAGTGAGTGTGTTTCTGTTTGTGATTATTAGTTACAAGGTAGGCCTGGTCTTTTTCTGAACAATTCAGATTGCAGGATCCTCCGCGTGAGGAAGTCCGCAAAGCGATTGAGGACTGCAGGGGTGCAGGAATAAAGGTCATGGTGATAACTGGGGACAATAAGTCGACTGCGGAGGCCATATGTAAGGAAATTGGTCTGTTCTCTGAAGGTGAGGATCTTCGAGGAGCAAGTTTCACCAGTAAGGAGTTCATGGCACTTCCATCTTCACAACAATTGGATATTTTGTCGAAACCCGGAGGGCGTGTCTTCTCTAGATCCGAACCTAGACACAAGCAAGACATCGTGAGGATGCTCAAGGGCATGGGAGAGATTGTTGCCATGACAGGAGACGGGGTCAATGATGCACCCGCCTTAAAACTTGCTGATATCGGAATAGCCATGGGCCTTACTGGGACTGAGGTAATCCATGGAGGCACACCACCTTACATGAAGAAAACTGAAGAACTTGACATTGTGATTCTGTTCCTTAATCTCCTTGACAAACTAAGCTTGTGTTGCTCAAATTCTCTTCAACACGGTTGATGTTAGGTAGCGAAGGAGGCATCGGATATGGTGTTGGCAGATGATAATTTCAGCACAATAGTGTCCGCTGTTGCGGAAGGGCGCTCCATCTATAACAACATGAAGGCTTTTATCAGGTAAGAAGTGAATTTGGCAGATGGGGTGAGGTGTGTGTAGTAGAAGGGGCAGGCCACAGCTGAGTAGCTGCTCGTCCCTGATTCTGTAAAATATGAGGGATTGATTCCCCTCCTCCACTGCAGGTACATGATTTCATCAAATATTGGAGAGGTTATATCCATATTCGTGGCTGCTGCTATGGGGCTGCCGGAGTGCATGATACCTGTGCAGCTTCTGTGGGTGAATTTGGTGACGGACGGCCCCCCAGCGACTGCGCTTGGGTTCAACCCTCCGGATGTGGGTATCATGCAGAAGCCCCCCCGGAAGAGCAGTGATGCTCTCATTGATTCTTGGGTTCTGTTCCGCTACATGGTTGGGTTTGGTTTGGTTTGATTTGCTGCTATACCTTTTCTTTTCACTTAATTCGAATCTGTTCTGATGCAGTGCTGCACCCTTTCTTCTCTTCTCTGCCATCTGTTTCTTGCAGGTGATTGGATCCTACGTCGGAGTTGCAACTGTTGGAGTGTTTGTGTTGTGGTACACACAGGCTTCATTCATCGGCATCGACCTGGCGAACGACGGACACACACTCGTTACATTGTCTCAGCTTCAGCGCTGGGGGGAGTGCCCGTCCTGGCCGGAGTTCACGGCATCTCCATTCACCGTTGGCAGTGGCCTCCGCCGCCACACAATCGCTTTCTCCGACCCCTGTGAGTATTTCTCCCCCTCCGGCAAGATCAAGGCGACGACGCTGTCGCTCTCCGTGCTGGTGGCGATAGAGCTATTCAACTCTCTCAATGCGCTGTCGGAGGACAACAGCCTGATGAGCATGCCGCCGTGGAGGAATCCTTGGCTTCTCGGGGCGATGTCAGCCTCCCTCGTGCTCCACTGCCTGATCCTCTACGTGCCCTTCCTGGCCAACGTGTTTGGCGTCGTCCCGCTTGGCTTGAACGAGTGGCTGCTTGTGCTGGCCTTCTCTGCCCCCGTCGTCCTCATAGACGAAGCTCTGAAGTTTGTGGGGAGGAGGAGGAGGAAGAGATTGCGGCAGGCAAAAGTGAAACTGGCTTGATGTGGATCTGTTTGTCTGCATGTTCCGTCTGTCTGAACTGAAATGAATGGAGCAGCATTACATACTACTAAGTCCCTCCCTCCCTCCCTCTCTCTAAATGTAATGTAATTGAATATATATATATATATATGTTTTGGCAATGTTAGAAATGCCTCTCTCTCTGCCTGCCTGCCTGCCTGCCTTTGCTTTTGTCTTTGCACATGAGATGAATCATGAATGTAACAACTCCACACCACAGCAATAGCACAGCGCAGGTAGGAATGACCATAAGTTAACATCATCATTGGATTCGACCTAGGTCACTCACTCACTCACTGCTCCATCATCCATCAAGCTGGGGAGCGATTGGTTGTGCTCAGAAAGATAAATAAACATTACATCTATCCGGTCTGGACAAAGATTGATTTAAGACATGGGTGTTTTATATATATATGTATACAACGACACATGGGATGGGATGCCATCTATAAAAGAATATGTGGTAAATAGTCGTAGCAGTAAGTGATACTATTTGTAATCCCAGCTCTCCCTCCCTCCCTCCCTACATACATATCTTGTGCTGCTACTACTACTGCTAACTACTTATTATTTACTTAGGCACGGTACCATACAATACAATACAATACAATACCAAAAAGAATCTCCGAACCGAATCGAACCTGAGTCCCTAGAAAAAACTCGACTGCTCGTGAAGCATGCTGAGTCGGGCAAGTGCCCTGGCAGCTAACGACCTCACCCTGGCGTTTCCTCTCTGGGTCAAGTCCACCAGCGGCATGTTTGCTAAGGCTCCGTACCTCTGCTTGTACTCCACCTGCCGGAAAATCCTCTCCACGCAGTTCAGAACCTTCTCCTGCAGACCCGGGGATGGGCTGCTCAGCAAGCTTATGATAGCCGGCACCGCCCCGGCCTCGCCCAGCACCTTGCAACCCCTCTGCAGCCGTTCCTCGCTCATCAAAGTCAGGAGGGCATCCAGCGCAGACTCACACACCGTGGGATCAGCATTCCCGAGGGCCTCGACCAGAGGCCCGACGGCTGCTGCCTCCAGTAGGCAGAATGACGACGCAACTGTACACACTCCCATGTGTACGGGGCAGGCGGCCTCTGGTATGGCTGAGAAACACCACAACTTTGGACGCCTTGACATTTGCCTGCTCAGCTGCGGAGAGCTCTCCGAGAGCTGAGCAAGGCAAGTGGCGGCTCGTTTTATTGTTAGGCGGCTCCTTGTCTGTAGCAAGTTCACCAACAAAGGGATGACGCCGGCATCCGCTACTTTCTTCTGCAGCTCCAGGCTCGTTTTAATGGTTAGCCGACAAATAGCTCCCACGGCATCCTCTATGAACTTATGGCTAGGGCGGCCACTAATACTACCGTTGCTATCGAGAAAGTTAAAAACTGTTTGGAGATCTCCGGACTCCAGCAGCCACCGAGAGATTTCAGCAGACTTTGGAAGGTTAGCAATTATACCCAATGTAGAGGAGATTTCGTCGTCATCACCAGATGTCGTAAGGATCTTGAGCAAGGTTTCAACCGAACTCTTCGTCACATGTTCGGACACAGCGGCCTCATCACCTTCTTCAGTCAAGCAACCTAACAACTTAACAGCACTTGCTCGTAAATTGGCATCATCACCCTCGACCAATCGAAACAGCATCTGGACAGCTGCACACTGTAAAAGTAATAAATCAGGCATCCGTGAGCATCAATGTAATAATAAAGCAAAGTAGTATACTTGTAAGAAAACTGCAGCATCTTTCATCTCTTTCTTGATGTGCCATTGTGTTTAGGGGATTTGACGTGCATTAAACAACATTAACAACACTACTTGGAGTTCCTTTTATTTCACATGTTTAGTTTATTAGACAGAGAATAAAAACAGCCATATCCTCTGCTGAAATCCTGATGACAGTGCAACCACGAAACGAGCAGAGGCATTTGTGTGATGAAAAATATAAGCAGCGTGTTTCTACTTGGGACAAAACTAGTTACCTCCTTTAGTTTAGACTTGACCATATCAGCAGATGGAGATAGACTCAAGGCATGAAGAGCCCGGAGGATCTTTTGCTGCAGATCAGGGCCTGTTAGACTAATTAGGGAGAAGAGCTTGGCAATATCCTCATCAGAGTCCAACATTGGAACAGGTGTTAAATCAGAATCTTCAGGTATAGTTGATAAAGCAAGATGCATTATGGTGGCAGCAGCTAGTTCACGCAGACTCTGCGACGATGTTTGGCGGTAGAGAATGTCCAACAAAGTATGGACTGCACCTTTCTTTATTATCTGCTGGCCGTTCCTTTTCAACTTGGAAAGATTCAAAAGTGCTCGAATGGCTACTTGCTTCATTTCTAGCTCATTATGCGAGACTAAGACAAGTAGTAAATCCAGGACACCGCTTTCAACTAGGAGAGATTTGTTGTGATCAGTCAATTCCATATCGCCCAAGGTTTTTGCCATTCTCTTCTTAACATGATCAGATTCTGAGCCTGCCATGAATAGAACAGAATAAAGTTTACAGCTGCAAAGACATGTCATGAACCAGATAGTAGCACAGGGAAGTTAAACTATAATGTCAGTTTCTTTTCTGTTTCTTGCATAACCAGCCTTTAACCAAATAATACTATTGAGTTCAAACAGCAGTTCCTTATTCCTTAAGAGTTGCAAAACTTCATGGGACAAAATTCAGGGCAGAAACACATCTGTCAATTTTGTAGCAAGTGCATTACAAATTATTCCAGTTACAAATAAGACAAGTCCACACCAATTATTATATTTCAGGACTTCTCAATCTTCATGTGTTATTGAATCTGCTGAGGCGAATAGCTTATAATTATAAAGAACAGCCATCAATTAGTAATTCAGTTGACAAGATCTCAAATTTGCATCATGCCCTGTCTCGATCATCAAACTCTAAGGGCTGCACTGATTAAAGTTATTGTGATTACCAAAAGAATTCCACCGATCAAAATGATCCCATAAGCAGTGTGAATCTGTTAATCAGCGAGTCAGTCACTCACTCTACTTAAACATTGGATACAGTCTAGTACTGATGAAAAGTTGGGATTGTTTATGCATCTCAAAACAAAACAGCTTCCTCTAGAAAATGTGATTTAAGTTTTAACACAGAAAAGGAAAGCAAAACATACCAGAAGCTAGACGTTCAAGAAGATATTTAAAATAGTTATTGTTGGCCATCAGGATAACATTGTCATCAGAGTATGAAAGATTTTCCAACACTTTCTGAGCATCTGTGGCAGCTTGATCGTCGGTACTATTCAACATTGTGACAAGAAGAAGAATGCAGCCCTGGAACTTGCCAATGCACTCGCGGATCAGTTCAGATTTTGAAAGTTCCAGAAGTAATGCCACAGCCAATTTTCTTTCCCCAGGGCTACGTGCAAGAAGCTGAACAATTAGTTGGATGGAATTCTCAACCTTAGAAATTCTTCCCTGGAAAATGAATCACAATGTAAAGGTGCATTTATATCAGGACACGTAATCATTGAGACAACAGACAACTTGTCTACAGTATAGTATGCTGCCCTATAGATGAGCTATTCTATGATGGGAGGAGCAGGCAGATGGATTGGATATTTAACCAAACAGTTGAAAAAACTCAAGTACCTTGGCATCTTCATTTTCTTTTGTTAGCAAGCAAAGGACTCGAAGTGCTCCAGCTCTAACATCCCGATTTCTCACACGAAGAAGCTCAACAAGGCTCAGGAGGTAGTTATCCAAAACTAGCCATTCTCTGTGTATTTCCCGTTGTTCACAGAGATCCCTCAGCTGCTCCAAGCAATGAAGCACCTCATCCTCTTCTCCAGATGACAATTTTGATTTCAGTGCAGCAATGGAGATCATGGCATTTCTCTCCTTCCATTCCTCAATAGACTGTCTCAGAGTTTTGTTAGGTCTTAGCATTGAAGTGTCCAATGGATTTGAAGTAAACGGACACAAGGGTTCTTTTGACTCTGATAGCCACTTCTCTATAGCACTTCTCTCGAATGTATGCCCTGATGGTGTCTCTACGGGATCAACCATAACTTCATTAGTAATCGGGCAATAAAATGATACAAGTGGCTCCAATGGCTGTGTACCCAAAGCTTCTCTCTTGGTTAAGTATTTTTTTTCTCGATCTTCAATAGACAGAGCAACATCAGCCCTTTCCAGCAGGGCAATAATTTGGTCCATTTGAATGGTTTCAGCCTTGTCTTTCCTCAGTCGCAAGCTATCTATTTCACTCTTGAAATCATCAAATTCCCTTCTTAATGCTGAACGATCAGTTGAAACTCCAATAGCCTTGGCAATCGACACCAACAAATTATTGGCATAGCTACAATCAACATTCCTTTTCTGTATGCCTGACTCTATTTTTTGCAGAATCTCTTCTTCAGCCACCGCAGTCTGGAACTCAGCAGCCTGCATGCTACTAATGAGATGGCCAATGTCTTCCCTGATTTTCAATGAAATATCTAAGGAGGCAAAAGGAATGCAGTTTATCGCACGAATAATCTCTTTCGTAATATGGCCAATCTGCTTTGCAATTGATCGAGAATTGACAAAGAGATAAAACCTGTTCCTTTCACTGCAGTCCTTGACCAGTTTATTTGCTTCCTTAAGTGCATGGTCTAGAATCTCCATGAAATTAGTCAAGCCTTCAGAATCAGTCATGCCTTTCTTATTCAGCTCATTCAAGAGCGGAACAATCCTATGCAAGTAAGACGAGAGTTCCGAGAAGCTCTTCTTCTCAACAAGGACATTTTCTGAGGCTAATATGAGCTCAATGATAGCTTGAACAATCTGAGAGAGACAGTCCATTAATGGATCAAGAGAAGAGTTTGTTATCACATCCATTACCATTCCCTCTAGTCAATCCGCTTGCAGAAGGAACCGGCCGACTCAACAGCCCGCATGCACATATTAGGTTGAGTTGAACAATGGTTCAGAGGTCTCTAATACATCTTATCTTGTCAAGTATCTCTGATACCACCTATACATATATACACATTCATAGGAATCCGCCTACCAGTCAATCGATCAATAAATCAAATTTTCCAGCTATAATAACGACACACGCGCGCGCGCGCACGCATACTGAAATCATCAATCAATCCATGCAACAAACGAACAGAATAAGAAAGTTGGAGCAGGAAAATTGTGTACTTTACTCGAAGTCAATGCGATTGAACTATATGAAGCTTAGCAGTTTGGGATTGAAAAGCTCCAACCAGTGGTTAAATTCACAGAAAAACTTTAAACAAGCGTGTCTCGATATGAAATCATTCAATAAATGCTCTCTACTAAGCACAGATTAGATTCTCAAGACTAAAATCCGGAGACAGGCCTAAAAATCATTGGTAAATGTTTAGGGGTAAAGCAATATTTTCTGCGCACGAAGACCATAAAAGTCAACAAGATAAAGCTAGCGCATTAGAACCATGGAAATAAGGAAAGAAAGAAGAAAGCTGATCCGACCTGACCAGACCTCGGTTACCAAACAAAGACTCGAGAATCGTTGGTACAGGAAGAAAGTCATTGATCAGTAGCAGCAGCAGCAGCAGCGGGAGGGAAGATGAATGGAGGTAGCCGGGAACATACCTTGCAAGGGTCTGCCTCTCGGGATTTAATATATATATATGTATAATAATATTATAATATAAAATAGAATTGAAATGATTCTATACTAATTAGATGGATGGAAATTGGAAAGAAAGGCAAGGGAAGGGAAGGGGCATTAAGTATTTATGGGTGGGGTCAGCAAGCGAAATAATAAGTGCAATCCAATGTAGGCCCGGAGGGGTAGGAAAAAAACCGAACCGAATTTTTGAACTGCGAACAGAATCGAATCGAATTTTTGGTAATCGAGTAAATTCAGTTCAAATACAGCATATTTGATATTTATTTAGTTAGGTTCAGTTTTGATTTTTGATATTTTTTTCGATTCGATTAACAGAACCGAATATATTTATATATTTATTTTATTATATTTTAAAATTTATATTAATAATTATATTAGGTTCGGTTTCAGTTCGGTTACGGTTCGGTTTCAATTCGAATATTTGAAATATTTTGATTTAATTATAATTTTAATTAATTTTTTAATATATTATTTTTTAATTTCGGTTCGATTCGAATTATTTGCAAATATTGCAAATATTTTCGATTAATCGAAAATTCGATTACCCGAAATTTTCGGTTTGAATACGATTTGCGATTTCGGGTATTTATTCGGTTCAGTTCGGATATCAAATATGTACGTATTTGCAAAAGGCAGTAATTAACTACTAGTAGTATTACACATATATGAAATTAAAAAAGGCAGTAACTAACTACTAGTAGTATTACACATATATGAAATTATAAAAGGCAGTAATTATAAAATTTTGTTATTATTCTCATTAATGTGACATATATGCTTGATCTACATACCCTAAGATAGAATGTACTTGTAAAAGATATGGCAGAAATGTTGAATCATATTGATTATTGCATAGGGAATGCTTAATTTATTGAACCACTAACTGTTGTCCGACAAAATGCTAAATTTTCCGGGCTTATATAGCATTCCTCGAGCAATATTTATTTCCGACACCAAATATATCTTACATATTATATTAATATTATGATTATTTTTTTATATAAATATGTAATAATTAGATCAAATCAACCATGTGACATATTAGTATATAATATGCTCTAAAATATGTGATATATATTACTCTCTCTTTCCAGATATTTACACATTTAATCTATAAAAAAAACAATTATTTTATCAACTCACCTATGTACTTACCAAAATATTTTTATATTATATTACAATTAATTAATATAATATTATATTCATTAAAACTCATACCCAGTTTATATGAATATATATTTCATGGATTGAATGAGTATTATTATATTACTATTAGAATTGTTAACTATACCAGCTGAGTCAAATTTTAAGTATTTGTTAACGTTCGTGAACAAGACTCGTGTTCGTTTGTTAAGCTTTCGAGGTCGTTTATAGTGATCGATTTTATGTTCGTGTTCGGCTTGTTTAGACTCGATTAAGCTCGTTTGAGTTCGTTCGAACTTGTTTGTCTTATTTTTTAAATTTTATATATAAATTATAAAGAAAATTTTAAATTATTTTATTTATATATCATAAATTAATATTTCATTTATTTATAAATTATAATTATATATATAATATTTATAATAAATATATTATTTAAACAAACTTTTGCAAACAAAGTTCGGACTCGTTTGTTAACTAAACGAGTCTGTTTATGTTGCTCGGTTCAACTTGTTAACGTTCGTGAATGAGCTTTAATCGAACTAAATCTAGTCGAATTCACGAACGGCTCGATTCGTATAACAGTTCTAAATACTATATGTTACTTTATTTATGTATAAAAAGTAGAATTTTAATTCTTAAAAGGTAAATCGTCAAGAATCTCCAAACAAGTTCAATACATGAAGATTAAAAAAATGGAGAAAAGTCCAACCAAACCCACAAGGTCGGGTTTAGTCCATTGCCCGAAGATAGCTTAGACCTGTGGGCCAAATTAGAAACATTAAAACAGCCCATCAACCCAAATGGTACAAACTATCCTTAGTTCAATTCGGCCCATTTACTTGGTCCAATTCAGTACAAAATAGGTCTTGCATATCGAAACAGTAACCTAGTTAAAATTTCTTCAAATACTTTACCTTAAACAAAAAAAAAAAAAAAAGAATAAAAATACTATCTAAATTGGATGTATTTCACAACTTAAATAATTCAATAATTTTGTCCAAAAATTAATAATAAAACAAATCATTCTCAATCTCAAATATATAGATGGAACCGACCGAGGCTAATATATTTGTCAAAGTAAAGTACACACGCATAGATTAATTAAAACATTCATTAGTACGGAGTATCTAGTTGTCATGCTGTAAATGCCCCTCGGGTAAATTTTTGTTTTTATTATTATTATTATTTATTATTATTATTATTTTTTTTATGGGAATTTGATAGATAGATCGATCGTAGGTTGGTCCAACAATTTTACATATATATATATATATATAGAGAGAGAGACTTGATTTGAATGAAAGAAAGCAAGCAAGCAAGTAGACAATAATTAAGGGTGGATGAGAGTGGATATTATGAAATGGTCAATTAATAGAGTAATTATACATTTGAAGGATGGAAGGAAATATGAATGGACGACATTTTCGTTTGCGGATATATGATTAATGACTGCGTTTTCGTAAGAGTTAAACAAATTCATAAGGCGATCGAACCTTTTTCCTGGTCGCCATCACCCACCCACCTACCCCTGCCCTGCCTACAATAATATAGTTGATAATTACTGCTCTTAGTAATTAATTTGAGCACACCCCGGCCAGCCGGCAGGTCCACTTGTTTGTTTAAAAAGATCTCCATTTTCCTCTCCTCTCCTTTCCTTTCCCCCTCTAGGTGTATATATATATATATATATATATATATAAAATATAAATGATCCATCCATACATGGGCATATAATTATATATGATTGAATGAATCGATTGGGCGGCAGCGAGCTTGTGGTCGATTTTCATCATGGTCGGGTCTACCAAGCCAATTAGCCAATTAGCCAAGCCAAGCCAATCCAAGCCACAGAGCTAGTCCAACACATGATATCCTCAAGGCCCATTCATATACCATCCATGTATCTATACATGTGATCGTCGATGAATTGGGTTTTGTGGGAATCCAAAGCTCATGTCAATGTCACCACTACCTACCTACCTACCTACCTACTACCATTACCATTACCATGTATATGCATGCATGCATGCATTATGCACACACACACACACACTAACATGATACATCTCCGGCTGGCCTTCATTAGCTAGAGCTAGCTTTGCTTAGCTTCTTCCTCTTGGGTCTTTCCATATACTTCTCATCGACAATATTCATGACAATACAACAATTACTATACATTGTCCCGGAGAGAGATGCACTATCCCTCAAACAAACACTACGACGTCCCTACCCCTCTTCCAAACAGCTCCTCCTCCTCCTCTCCCTTTTCCTTATTTGTAGCACCTTTATTTATATATATGGCTATTTCCTTATATCCTTTCTCAAGTACATATATATTATAGTTTAAGAACAATGGCTACAGTTTCGACATCTAACAGACCAGCAACAAAAAGGATGAGATTAAGCATCTTCATCCTCCCGTAGCAGCAGCTGTGCTCGTTGTTGAGATATTTTAGTTATTGAATTTTCAAATTAAATTAAGTTAGTTATTTTAGAGTTGATTTTATTCTAGATTATGTTGGGACTGGGTCAACTCAGCTGAGCTCGCACTGATTTGTTTTTGGATATTTTTCAAAATGCCTCGTACTAGTGGAGTTCATTGAGACTTACAAGGTGTGTAATTTTCTTCACAATTTTCAATGTGGAACTTGGGTTTGCACCCCAATAATCCTCCCCTCAAACCAAGGACCAACCAATGGACTTTCTCTGCCCACCTTTTACCGTCTATTACAAAGGGATCCACTGTCTGACCACCTCAATCGGAACCGACCCAGCATTGTCAGGAGACTTTCAACACAAGGCACATCCGCAGTTAACAAGGGCGAGCCCACTATCACAGCCAATGTCCAATGCCACCTAGTCCACTTCACTATACTCTAATGCCACTTTTATATATAATTTGAATTTATTACATCTGTTATATATAGATTCCTATTTTGATTATAAATAACAATGTAAATTTTTTATTTTTATAAAATAATTTTACACGTGATTAAGGTGTTCTAAGCCCCTTTGATTGAATATGTGTATTAAGAGAGAGAAGATAAATGGGAAATGAAAGCTCAACTATATATATGTATGTATATAGATCAAAAATCTAGCATGCGGTCGGACAGCCCAAAAATTTCTAGTTTTAACTTGGCAGGGCTCACAGTAGAAGATATTCTCAATGGAATTACATAAAAGTGTGCGTACGTGAGTGAGTGAGTGAGTAGATCGAGGTTTGCTAGGGGCAGATGTGTCTATCCACTTCAACTCCAAGAATCTAATTTTTCCAAGGAGAGCGGGACGAAGGAGGCGGGCCACGTGGCAATCTATGTCAGGATTACAGATTAGTGTTCATTTGGCCCCTCTTCCTTTTTCACTACATGCATCATCATCTCTACTTGGACTCCATTAATAATTTTCATATCTCTGCACTTAACCAACTATCTCGATCGAGGGAGGATAAACAAGAGAGGGAAACACAGTATGAAGGCAAGCTTGCTCACATTGATTGTATCATTAAGAATGTGCCCTCCCCCTCCGATCCCCATGCACACGCCTCTTTCTTGATTAATTATCTAACCACATATATATATATATATATATCATACATATATATTATATGCATACTTGATCCGCTGCTTATTGATTTTTTATGTCTTTTTGGTGATGGGTTGCTCTTGTAGATTTTCAACTGGGTACATCGAAGGTTCTATCATAAAGATAGTAAGTAACCCCGAGTGGTTGGTTCTCTTGCAAGTATCGTACAACCGTTATTTGAGTGATTTAAACTATTAATTAGTTAATTAATGTCTGCCTGTCTTGTATGCAATTGTGTTGCGGCGGCAGGTGGATTAGCACAAAATGGGAAGAAATGTGAAGAGGATGAAAAGCAGTTTCTGCTGCAGGTGCAGGAGAAGAAAGGGCTTCCTTCCAACGTGTTTGATGAGTGGAAGGGAGGGATTCTGGCCATAGGGACGTTCGGCTATGATCGGCTCAAGGTCGACCACCATAGTGATGATGATGATGAAGAATATCGTCACGATGTGATGTCACTAATTTCTTATGAGGAAGAGGAGGAGGAAGAAGAGCAGGTAGTGCAGCAGCAGGCGGCAATGAGCGAATGTGAGGAGGATGCGAATCCATTAATGTATGCTGCGTATGCGCACAACTACGCGGGGTTGCTGGAGATGAAGCGCGGTCCTTGTAGCTGCCGGAAGGAGGAGGAGGAGGAGGAGGAGGCACAATTTGAGTATGCGGCAATGATGAAGATGAAGAGGGAGAGGACCACGCTTGCGGAGCTGTTCTCGGCTGATTCTGACGAGGAGGAGGGCGATGCTGACGACGATCATGATGATGATGATGACCAGAGGAGGGTGCAGAAAAACTTGAAAGCTGCAGGGATGCAGCAGGTGAAATCGAAGAAGAATCATAGCATTGGTAATAGTACTAGTAATGGAAATGGAGGAGGGCTGTCATTCGCCAAGAAGATCATTGGGGAGGATCATGCTCGCCCCGCCATGCACAAGCTCAATCGAGTGAGTCCCTCCCTCCCTCCCTCCCTCCCTGGCTATATATCATTGATTGAATGGGTGTATTGAATTGTATTCATGGTATTGAATGGATGGGTGGGTGCAGCTGATGAGGAGAATGCTGAAGAGGAAGATCCATCCTTCTACTGACGTGGCGGCAGCGGCACACCAGCCTCACAAACAGCCACCTCTCCTCCTAGATCTAACCAACTAGCTATCTGAAGCCTTCCTTCTTCATGGTGCACATGCATATACATATATTTCTACTCTGCAATTATCTTTTCTTCTACTACTTGGCAATTACTATATGTTAATGCTTAACCCCAATTCGTTAATAGATATACATACATACCACATTTGCATCAATTAATTAGTTGATAGGTAAAACAAATTTATCGTTTGTAGATGATCTGTCTGGCTGCCTGCCTGCCTGCCTCGATCGACCCAAGCAAGCATAGCATATTAGTAATTAAGTTTTATAAGAAAATTCTGAATTTGGATATTGTTACATTTTTAACATCATCCCTCCTGATATCTATCTGATGCAAGCTGAGGTGGAGAGAATTAAGAGGCAAGGATAACAAACATCACATGCTTCATGTCATGTCCCTTACTTATTCACTTTGTAATATAGACATACATATTCATTCTTGTAGTTGTCCCAAACATGTTCATACACTTTTGTGGTCCCTTCTGTCTCCCCCTTTCAATTTTTAATCACTCCTTATATATATATATATATATATTTGTGCGTGTATTTGAGTGATGTAATTAATGATATAATTACTCTCCTGATGTTCGTTGCTGCTGCAGGAGCTACGGCAAACATAAGATTGATCTATGAGGCACAGACCGGCTGATGATGATGACGATGATGATTCGACTGCATCATCATCTACTTGTGTAATTGGGTCGTCAGAATGAATATATATATTTATATATCTGGACAAGCTATTTGTGTGAGTGTGTGTGTGTGTCTTTTACATGTGATGTGTTTACTTGTTATTGCGATCGAGTGGTGGCAGTGCGTGGTGCTTATTTACGTGTTGTTACTTACTGCGCGTGAATGCAGTGCAGCATTAATTACTTCTATTGGCTGCTTGCTGTCCTAGTGTGTGTGTGTCTGCTGTTTCTTTGTTTCTTTCTCTGTTTGTGTTAAATCCATTGATTTTCCGTTGCGTGTCACTGTGAAGGTGTTTGTTCATTTGAACAAATATATGACTAATGCTGAAAGATTGAACTGAACCGCTTATGTATGCATACAAACAATCGAACACAATTCATCCAAAAAAGGAAACTAGTCATCGGACTCATCGCACACAAGAAGATAGAACAGAGAAAGTTTCCACACACCCATAAAATAAAATTTAATGGCTGCTCCATGAGCCTTTACTACCGGTAAAGATCGAGCCCATGAAGGAAGCTATGGACATGGACATGGACATGGACTCCGCAAGAAGATCGATCAATACACACTCCTTCATTAAAGATCGGAGCCATATATAGTAAGAACTTCAATAGCCGGACTGACTAGGTAGGTAGTTGAGATCGGATATCCAAACTAACAGTGATTCTAGTGCAGGATGATACATGATATTAGTGTTGGAGAGCGAGCACTAGCTCAAAATGATTGGATTGGATTGGATTGAGGCTCCTCCCTTGGCCTCCCCTCCCTCCCTCACCATTGATCATCATCTTCTTTCTTAATTTGTGTTTGATTAATTTGATACTAAAAGTCACTCCCCCAATTCCTCCTCCTTATTTCATTATTAATTATATATTATATAATATAATGATCAATCATGTCCAAACGAAATGAAAAGAAAAGAAAAGAAAAGCAGCCCAGCCCTTTCTTTTCTCAGATTTTTTGGCCTTCAAAGGAAAAATACAAGCAAGTTCATAACAGAAGAATGAGCAAATACGTTTTCATATATAATTAAATACATGTGTGTTGCTTAGCTTGTAGTGTTTCAATAGCAACCCCGACTTCGTGCTAAAATCTTGACCCCCTTTTCACCTAATACACCATTATTTTGATGCCAATTAATAATTTGATGGTTATATATCCAAGCAAATTACGACTTATCAGGACAACTCAATCGGCATACAGTATGCTGTCACAGGCACAGCACCATTGTCGGAAGCTACAGACAGTACTATGGCACATCATCACGATTAGGACTATACAGTATGTATAGCTCAACCAATTTTAGCGAAACAAAGAAAATGGTATGCAATGCAGTACTAAAGCCCAAAAATGGCACGACCATGAAAGAAATTTCTCAACAGAGATATTCAAAGAACCTTAACTAACAGAAAGGCTGCCGAGCACGCCATTACAAGGATGAAAATTATAGCGCCAAGCCAGCTTCAACAGCTCTCTTTTCTTTTCAAGTGTCTTGCTAATGCTTTATATAAGTAGAGCATTATGCATCACTCCATCCTACAGAGTAGTGTCTTGCTAATTTTCAAAACAACTCAACCTTGGAATCTCATTGGATACAAATAATAACTCTTACAAGTCGGATAGAATTGACGGTCTAATTTCTTATCAACAGCAATAAATGTAATTTACGTGTGTGTATATATATATATATATAGTTTAACAGCCAGCATGTAAATATGTAGATCCTACCGCGTTCAGCTAACAGTGTATACTCGGGTGACAATTGAATCCATCGAACAACTGACAGATTGATGCGGGCGGCGAATGGAGGGAGGGATTCGGAGAAAGAGGATACAACACAACACAAGGAATGGGATGTATCAATTTGCACAGTACTTGCTGCGTATAAAAATAATCATAATACTAATATAAATTGATCCACACGGCCGTACCAACACTTTGGGATGTTGAAGTTTTGCGGGACTTCCAATTTATATGCGTGTGTATATATTAATGTATGTCCCACGTATAAATGTAATCCGTATGTATATATTTTAAGGAATCGGGAGGGAGGAATGAATACTCCCCCCAATAGATAGATAGATAGATGGATAGATGGATAGAGATAGATGATCGGAAGGGGTAAGGGGTAGGGCGTACTTTTAAGAAGATCCTTTGAAGGAGGAGGGCGCGAGAATTTCTTCTGTAGCATGGGGGGGCTCCAGTTGCACCGGGTATTTCCGAATGCAATCGAGCCAGGGGTTGCAGGAGGAGGAGGAGGGGATGTGCCTCAGCGCCCTCCAGACGGCGCTGTTGCACTTGAACCCCGACCCGAAGGCGATCTGCCAGACCCGGTTCCCCCTGGCGAGGCGGCCCTTGGCCTCCATGTAGGCCAGCTCGTACCAGAGCGAGCTGCTGGAGGTGTTCCCGAAGCGGTGCAGGGTCATCCGGGAGGGCTCCATGTGCCACTCGCTCAGCCCCAGGTTCTTCTGCACCGCGTCCAGCACCGCCCTCCCCCCCGCGTGGATGCACAAGTGCTCGAACGCCCGCTTGAAGTCCGGGATGTACGGCCTCACCCGGGCCCCCGCCACCTTCCTCCTCACCAGCGTCATCAGAAACCTCAGCTGCTCCGACAGCGGCAGCACCAGGGGCCCCAGCGTCGTTATGTTCGTCTTCAGGGCGTCGCCGGCCACCGCCATCAGCTCCCGGGCCAGCGACACCCCCACCACCCCCTTCTCGTCCTCGCGCTGGTACACGCACCCGTAGCTGCTGTCGTCCGCCCCCTTGTGGGTGCGGATCGTGTGCACCAGCTCGTACTTGGACCGCTGCCTGTCCCCGCGCCTGTTGGACAGGAGGATGGCGGCGCCGCCCATGCGGAAGATGCAGTTGCAGAGCAGCATGGAGCGGTCGTTGCCCATGTACCAGTTGAGGGTTATGTTCTCCGTGCTCACCACCAGCGCGTAGGTGTTGGGGTTGGCCTGAAGCAGCCGGTCCGCGAGGTCGATCGAGATGAGGCCGGCGCTGCACCCCATCCCGCCCAGGTTGAAGCTCTTGATGTCGGCCCGGAGCTTGAAGCGGTTGACGATCATGGAAGAGAGGGACGGCGTGGGGTTGAACAGGCTGCAGTTGACGATGAGGATCCCGACCTCCTGGGGCTTGACGCCGGTGCTGCCGAGGAGGGAGTCCAGCGCGCCGAACATAACGGCCTCCGCCTCCCGGCGAGCTTCCTCCATGGACAGGCAAGGCGGGGTGGAGGTGATGCCCCGGGCGAAGTAGGTCTGGTCGCCCAGGCCGGAGCGGCGGGATATCTTCCTCTGGAAGTCGACGGCGTCCTGCCCGAAGGCGCCGGTGTCCTGGGTCATCTTGAGGAACGCGTCCACCGACAGCTTCCTCTCATCGTGGGGCTTGTAGCACGCGAAATCTACCAGGTAGACGGAGCGCCGGCGTCTTGCCCAGGCGATGCCTAGCAGGGCGGCGAGGGCTGCGCATCCCACCAATACCGATGATGGTGACGCCTCCGCCAGCAAAGACGTCGTGGTGAATGCAGTCGCACCCAAAAGGTGTGTGGCGAAGGCCACGGCTATGGCTATGGCTATGGCTGTAAAGAACACAAACACTGCAGCAGGAGGAGGATTGCTGCTGCTGCTGCTGCAGCAGGAGTAACCGAACCCAAGCTTCACGTATTTGAGCTTGACGGAGTGCAGGAAGTCGGGCAGCTTCCGACGGATCTTGATGACGACGGAGGAGGGGGAGTCCTCCTTGAAAGCCACCTCCGCCAGGAGCCGCTCCTCATTCATATCTATGCTGCTGCTGCTGCTGCTATTATCATCATTGTTAGTAGTATCATTCATTTTCCAATATTGATCGGATCGATCGACCGTGTTGACGAAGATGTTCCCCTGCCCCTCCGGTGGGTGTAAACAGATAAGATAGATAACAACAAGAAAGAAAGGAAGGAAGGTACCCAACCAACCAAAAAGTTTGGAGGCGGGAGCAGTGGGCATAAGTTGAGCGAGCAACCTTGCTGCTCTAATTAATCAATCAATTAAAACTAATTAACCAATCAATAGGAAAGCATGAAAAGCCTAGCTAGCTAGCGGTTTATTGTGGAGGGTATGTACCGCGCGTGTGTGTGTGTGTGTATATATAGCCTGGAATTGGAATGGGAATGGGAATGGTATAGGTGGAATGAGGAAAGGAAGGTGATACTAACTGGGCTGATGATGGGCATCATGCAATGCAATGCAATGCAGTGCGGTGCAGTATGGATAAAAAACATAGATAAAGGTGCAGGAAAACAAACTGGGATTGGGTTATAACACCCCACGAGCGAGTAATGGAAGAAAGTGACGACTCACCAACCAACCAACCAGATCAGCTCCATGCCCCTCTCTCTCTACGCGTAGCATAGCATAGCATAGCAGAATGGGAATGCCAAAGGAAGAAAAGGGCAGCCGAGAAATTAATGACAAGGGTCGTTGGTTGTTACGTCTTCAGACAGAGAAAGAGAAGCAGATATCAAACACCACCCATCATCTCATCTAACACATGCATGAACTATTATTAGTAAATAAATATTATCTGTGCCTATGAAGATGTTACCTATGTATATATTACATACCTTTACCTATATATATAGTATTGTTTTCTTTTCATTTCTCCGTGCTGCAGGTAGCCAAACTCCTCCTATCTCTCTCTGTCTCTCTGTCTGTCTCTCTCTCTCTCTCTCTCTCTCTATATATATATATATATATATAATGTACGCGTGTATAAAGTGACGGGTAAAATATTGAATCGGTGATCAATGCGCAGGCTAGCAAGCAAAGTGACAAATGATAATGTGATATTCAGACTTTCACTCAGGCTTTCCTTCTAGTGCAGATCTATTGAGTCTATAATATTTTTTTTTTTTTTTTTTTTTTGATGATGTGAAAATCCGTGGCAGGTGATCTGAGGCGTCGGTGACCTGAGACGTCGGGGTTTGAACCCAGGACGACAATAAGACTATTGTTTTGTAAAAAGTAGAAGGTTGATTAGTAAAAATAAAAATAGGACTATTGTTTTTTTTAATGGAGAGAGTATATAATTACAAGATTTTGACTCGGATCAAATTTTGAGCATGACATTGTTAAAATTATATTTTAAAAAATTGAATTGAATAATTTGAAAAGTATTTCAAATAATATCATTTAAATTTTAAAAAGAATTGAATAGCAAATAATATATATTTGCTTCGGTTCTATATATTCATATATAACCACAATGTCTGAGACTGAGATCAAAACACTAGGCTGCATTCACGATGAAGTAATATATACATAGGGATTTTAAAATTAAATAAATGTTGGTGATGTTTCCGATATCATATACTTAATTCAACGTTAGAATAAATGAGCAATATATATAATGAGGAGGAGTTTTAAATTAAGGCCGACTGCAGGCCAGGCAGATAGCTAGCTAAGGTTAACGTTAATCATAAATACGTACGTACGTGTGGGGCGGCGGGCTACTTGGATTTGATTGTTCGTTCATTAATGAGGGAGGAGGGAGGCATGCAGCATGCATGCATGTTTGGTGATGGACATGGCATGGCATGAATGAATGAAGACTGGTTGTAGTTGGCTGGCTGCAGTTGGAAATATATATATATATATATGTGTGTGAGTGTGTTCCCCACAAACAGGGAGATTGGAAAATGATGCATGTCTATTCGGTTAGTTGCATAATCATTGCATAATATTCTTAGCATACAGTCAATATATATATATATATAACACATTGTGCATGCGTCCAATTGGATACATATATAGATATCAAGTTCACGGTCGGAGACGACCTTGGATTTAAACGAGTCGGACAATCTTAATAAAAGAAGCAAAGAAAGAGGGGGAGCAGTAGTTGTATCTATTACTATTACTATTACTATTACTATTACTACTGCCACCCAATCCCCCCATGGAAAGAAAGTTACACTGATTGGCCGACCACACAAAGAGGGATTCACACGAGCAGTTCTTACAAGATTTTCGACGCCTTTTTTAAGCTAAGAACGAAAACACACACACACAGTGGCTTATTTTTAGAATCTTCTCACTCTTTCAACGGCGTCGCCTCCCTCCCTCGAAAACAATCATTCGCAATAGCCTTAAAATCAAAGGCAAAGTATCGAGTTGGAATCGCTCAGGCTAGACCAGTTGTGAACTCAATTACTTCTGTTGAGATTTTTAAGTGTATTTTTATTTTTGGTATAACTTATGATGTATTTGTGTCTTTAAATATAATATATTATGTGGGTCTAAAGTGAAATAACAATCGGATATAACATATATGGGGAGGAAAGTGTCTAGTTGCGAATAGACACAAATTTGAATCCTCAACTTTTTTTTTTTTTTTTTATTAATCAATTCTAATGAAAAATTCAGCATAATTTCTCTCCATATTCCTTCCACCTTATTTCTTTTCTTGTAATTTGGCAACTTTGACAACGATACCAACGGTAGATGCAACAACAATAACGAATTATTTCATCGAACAATTTTTAACGTCCAAACAGAAATTTTTTGCTAGTGCTGTGAATATAATTTCATGAAAAGAAAAAAATTTAGGCAGTAAAAATAAATCAATAAACCTAAACAAAATTTAGAAATAAGAGCGACTGATTCATCAGCAAACAATTTCAAAAGGCAGTTTCTTCGGGTCTTAACTTTACGTGTAGAAAAATATATATCAAAAATAAAATATAATTAATAAGAAAGAGTAGCAAAAAAATACTAAGAAATTGACATAATATGAGGAAAAAAAAAAAAGAAAATTTATTTGATAGAACTGATATTTTACAAAACTATGGTTAGTGAACACATTTAAAAATATTATGAATGTAAAAATTAATTTTCTCCACCAACACTCAATTAAAAATTCATTTAAAAACATATTCTAAAAAACAGTAAACCATCTTATTTATAAAAGTTATCTGCAAAATCACATCATCTATAAATATTAAATATAATATATATTGTAACATCCCCGCAAGAGAAGCGTATTAGGACGGTTGACCATACAAATTAAATTAACAAGAGTCTTAGTTCTTTTAGTATTGCTCCGAAAAAGAATGTTCACATTATTGACTCAAGCAACGGCCAACTCCGGGGTCTCACATCCTTCTTTACTTTCCATGTTGCACCGGGATCATAAAATTGGCTTACAGATCACTACGAGTCCTTATGTCGCACTCACACGCACTTGGAAGACTTCTCAGGTCCCAATTTTTAAATTACTACAAGACAAACACCCTTTAAACTTCTGAAAAATGAATATATACAATAATCTATTCAATTTATTTAATCTCTAATTTCAAATAATCTAATACCAGATCATCCGCTACAGTTGAACTCCAGGGTATCATATATATATATATATATACAAGTTAATATATCAGTTTGAGTATAAATATATATATACATATGATATATCAAGTTTATATAATTAATATTAAAAAAATAAATATATTTAATTTTAGTTTCATATTTATTAAAGTAAGTCACAAATAAAAAAATAAAATTTTAGTAACAAACCTTTCATATTTATAAGTATAAATATTACAAGCTATAATAATCTAAATTCAAAAAAATAATAATTAATTAGATAAAAAAATTATAAAAACAGTATGTATAATAAAAATAGTTATTTATAAAATTAATACGTAAAAATAATAATAAATTGTAACTTCATTAATTAAAAAATAAAAAATTGTAAAAATAAAAATAAAATTTAAATCTAAAATAATAAATTAAATAAAAATATATTAAAATAATCATCTTATCATATTATATTATTATATATATAAGAGAGCAAAATTGCAAAAATTTATAAAATATGGAATCCACTTAAGCTCTTATATATATATATTGTTGATATATATTATTGTATATATTTACATATATATATATATATATCCTTCCTAATATATCTCTGGTATAAATATAACATTGTACCCTAATTGTGATTTAATGAAAATAAAATTTATTCCATTAATCGTAACATGGTATCAGAGCCATGCCTTTTCCCGACCAAATCGAAACAATCCACGCATTTCAAATAGCATATTTCCGACCACCTCCGACCGTCACCGCCACCACCATCGTCTTCGCCGCCACGAGACCAGCCGGACACCGGAACAGTTCGGCGAACGGCGGCGCGTGAGCCTCACACGCGCCTGACGCGTTTTTCGGCCGGACGCCTCGCCGGCGCGTGCGGCGGCCGTTGGCGGCGATCTTTTCACCGTCATGTTCGGAATTTGATTTCCTCCGCAATTGTATCTTCACTTCTTCCGTTTGAGTAGTTTTTTGCATCCGGTTGACTTTTCGAGTTTCGGGTTCGATTCGATTTTCTTGTGTTTCTGTCGTTTCGGCTTTCGGGTTGAAGTTTGAGATATTGTCTTCTCTTGAATTTCTATGGAAAATATGGATGTCCATATTCCGATCAATGTTGTTCTGTCCGGAGATAATTACAGTTTGTGGGCACAATCGATGAAAAGTTTTTTGATAGGTCGGAAATTGTGGCGAATTGTTACGGGAGATATAGTTGCTCCAATTGCTCCGGTTTCTATAGGAGAAGTTACGTCTACCGCCACAGTTGTTGAATCCTATATTGAAAAATTGGAGGATTGGGATAGTAAGAACCATCAAATTCTCACTTGGTTGCGCAATACTTCCACTCCGGCGATCCATGTTCAGCTTGCTCAATTTGATACTGCAAAGGCAGCGTGGGATTTCTTGGCAGTCCGCTTCCGTGCTACTGGTTTGGCACACTATTATCAGTTATGGAGCACTCTCCATGATTTAAAACAGGAACCAGGGCAATCTATCAACGATTTCCTTGCCCAAGTGCAACCCCTTTGGCATCGGTTAGATCAAGCAGAGATCAGTCCTGATCATCTTCGCCTCATTCAGGTCTTGATGGCTTTGCATCCAGAGTATGAGGCAGTTCCTGCCTCTTTGTTACATCGGCATCCACTTCCTATATTGGATGCAGCTATTAAGGAGATTTTGTTTGAGGAAACTCGTATCCACCTAGCTAAGGCTCCTCAGCTTGATTCTGCTCTTGCGGTCACCGCCCGAACTCCTACTCAGAATCGTTCTCATCGCTGCATAAGATGTCAGTCTTCTGATCATAACTTCGGTCATTGCCCAAAGGTGGAGTGTCACTACTGTCATGTTTTAGGTCATACCATACAGTACTGCCCCATTAGGCCGTCTCGCTCTAGCAGTAGTAACTACAAACCTCGGCATTCTCATGGACCTCAGTCTGGTACCTCCTTTGCCACAGCCTCTGCCACGCCTGCGCCTGCGCAACAGGTTCTATCTTCAATACCGCCATGTCTACCACATCAGGTAACTCTCCTTGGTATTTTGATTCTGCTTGCAGTAATCATATGACCTCTGATATACGCCTTATGACCTCCACATCCACCGCACCATCCTTACCTCCTATCCTTACTGCAAATGGTACCCATATGCGCATCACCTATACCGGACATACATCCACCTCATCCTTATCCCTCCCCGACACATACTGTATCCCTCAATTAACCTTAAATCTGATCTCCGTTGGTAAATTAGTTGATCAAGGTCTAACAAATGATTTTTTCTTCTACTGGTGTGCAGGTTCAGGACGCGCAAACTAGCGGACTCTTGGGAAGGGCCGGAAGATGGGCTGCTTATTTGAACTTACGTCACTCCAGGTCCCTCGTCCCTCTATCTCGGCTGCCACCACCTCTACACCATCCTGCCTTCAATGGCATCATCGTCTCAGTCATGCGTCCTCCAATAAAGTCAGGTATTTGATTAGTCAGGGTAGTTTAGGTTCTGTCAAGTTTGAGTCTTTTCATTGTGTGGATTGTTCGTTGGGAAAACAACCTGCCTTGTCATTTCCTCATAGTACTTCCATTGCGGATACACCGTTTTCCTTAGTTCACTCAGATATTTGGGGACCTTCGCCCGCTGTGTCTATGAATGATTCTCGTTATTTTGTGATTTTTATTGATGACTATTCTCGCTTTACGTGGATTTACTTTCTGAGGCATCGTTCTGAACTTCCATCTATTTATATGACATTTGCTAAAATGATACATACCCAATTTTCCTCTATCATAAAAACTCTCCGCACAGATAATGCTCTTGAGTATACTGATTCATCATTTCTTCGTTTCTTATCTGATCAAGGTACTGTTGTCAAACGCTCCTGCCCATACACCTCTCCACAAAATGGTCGCGCCGAACGTAAACACCGACATATCCTCGATACAGTCCGCACCCTTCTCTTATCTGCCTCTTGTCCGGATCGCTTTTGGGGGGAAGCCGCACTTACCGCTGTCCACACTATAAATCGTGTCCCTCCCTCTGTCTTGGGTAATATCAGTCCCTTTGAAAAACTATTTAATCGTACCCCTGATTATAGTTTTCTCCGCCCTTTCGGTTTTGTCAGTTTTGTCCTCCTCCCTCCTCATGAGCGCACTAAGTTAGAACCTCGCGCGCGTCTGTGTTGCTTCCTGGGATACGGGTTAGAGCATAAGGGTTATCGTTGTTGGGATCCCATTTCCAATAAGCTACGTATTTCTCGTCATGTCACATTTTGGGAGGATACCAAATTCGCTTCCTTGTCCCACTTTCGAGTCCCCTTTGATCGTTCGTCTCCGTTCTTTACCTTGTCCTCTCCACCTCTATTCCCCTCCGGTGACACGGCTCTGTCTCCCGTCCCTGACGCTGTCCCGGTTGTGCCTCCTGAACCGACGATGATCCCCGAGCCTACTCCTACTCTCGACTCCGATACATCACCATCACCAGAGCCCGACACGACTTCAATCTCAGCCCCTGATCCTGGCCCTCGTCGTTCCACTCGGGTTAGTCACCTTCCTACTCACTTACTTGATTATCACTGTTTCTCCGCCACCTTGTCCCATCATGAGCCCAGGTCCTTTCGTGAGGCGTATGCGAATCCGTTGTGGCGGCAGGCTATGTCTGAGGAGTTGCAGGCTTTGGAGAAAATTCATACGTGGGATATGGTTGATCTTCCCTCTGGCAAGAAACCTATTGGCTGCAAGTGGGTATTCAGAATCAAAACTCACTCTGATGGATCCATCGAGCGCTACAAGGCGCGTTTGGTAGCCAAAGGCTACACCCAGCAGTATGGTATCGACTATGAGGAGACATTTGCCCCGGTTGTTCGTCTTACCTCTGTCCGTTGTCTTATCGCCATCGCTGCCGCTCGTCAGTGGCCCTTGCATCAGCTTGATGTCAAGAATGCGTTCTTGCATGGTGATTTATCCAAGGACATCTACATGTCTCATCCTCCTGGTTTTCCTACCTCTTCCAAGGTATGCAAACTTCGCCGTGCCCTATATGGTTTGAAACAGGCACCTCAAGCTTGGTTTTCGAAATTTAGCTTTGCTCTACTCCAGCTTGGCTTTACCTCTAACGATCATGATTCGGCTCTCTTTATTCGACGTGGGTCAACTGGAATTACTGTTTTATTGCTTTATGTGGATTACATGATCATTACGGGAGATGATGCATCAGGTATCTCTGAGTTGCAGGCTCATCTACACCGCCACTTTGAGATGAAGAGTTTAGGGCCTCTTCGGTACTTCCTAGGACTTGAGATCTCCGACACCTCCGACGGATATATATCTCTCAAGCCAAGAATGCCTCCGATCTCCTATCTAGTGCCGGTCTCACTGACTTCAAGACTGCTCCTACACCTCTTAATTCTGATTGTCGTCTTACTCCGATGGATGGCGTTCCCCTTGATGATCCGACTTTGTATCGTCAGCTGGTGGGAAGTCTCATCTACCTGACTGTCACTCGACCGGATATTGCTTATGCCGTCCATACCGTCAGTCAATTTATGTCTGCTCCTCGGACGACTCATCATTCTGCTGTCCTACGGATTCTCCGGTACGTCAAAGACACTCTTCTTTATGGGCTTCATTATTCCGCTCGTTCTTCCTTAGTTTTGACCGGGTATTCTGACGCTGATTGGGCGGGAGATCCCTCTGATCGCCGCTCGACCACCGGGTTTTGCTTCTTCCTTGGCGACTCGCTTATTTCGTGGTGCAGCAAGAAACAGACAATTGTCTCCCGGTCCAGCGCAGAGTCCGAATATAGAGCCCTTGCCGATACCACTGCCGAGCTTCTATGGCTTCGCTGGCTGCTGGCTGATCTCGGAGTGCCTCAGCCCTCTGCCACTATTATCCATTGCGACAGTCAGAGCGCCATGAAGATTTCGACGAATGATGTCTTCCACGAGCGTACGAAGCACATCGAGATCGACTGTCACCTTGTACATCATCACGTTGCTCATGGAAGCATCTCATTGTCTCCCATTTCCTTTGTTGGTCAGACGGCCGACGGATTCACCAAACCTCACCATCCCGGCCGTTTTTAGTCTTTTTTGAGCAAACTCAAGTTGGGTTTCACCGTTCCGAGTTTGAAGGGATGTTGATATATATTCTATATATATTGTATATATTTATATATATATATCCTATCTAATATATCTCTTGTATAAATATAACATTGTACCATAATTGTGATTTAACGAAAATAAAGTAATATATATATATATATATGTGATATATGATATAATATAATTATAATTCAAATAATTATATAATTATTATCCATCCTAAACAATTTATTTATTTTTTAAGAAAAAATAAATATTACGTCAAATGCTTACCCATTTGCGGTACTCCCTAGCGTCCCACATAACATTTACCTTAGCATTAAAATTGATCCGTCTTCTCCCTTTCTGTCGGCGAATTGGAATCGGCATGGAAACCCGATCTCGATCTCGGTCTCGGCGGCGATCCAAGGCCGACCTCTCGACGTTGCTTCGGCGGGCTTGGTACCATCTACGCCTCTCCGTTCGCCATCCCACCCGGGTCCCTACCTGGGATGCTATCGTACTCACCGCCGCCAGCCCTGAGCAGGCCGACCTCTACAACTGGCAGCTCACCCGTGCCAAGCGAATGGGTCGCATCGCCACCTCCACCGTCACCCTGGCTGTGCCCGACCCTCTTGGTCACCGCATCGGCTCCGGTGCTGCTACACTCAATGCCATTTCTGCCCTCGCCAATCACCTCCGCCATCTCTCTCTTTTTGATTCACCGGAGGTATGTTCTACAGCCCGGACACCAGATTATTATCCTTCACTTCCTTCTGCTCTCTCTATTATAGAATAGAGTGCCGCTATACGTTGACTGCTGATTGACTTTGAGGAATGGCCACATTGCCGCATTGAAACCTACGGAATTCGATCATTTTGCTGTTGTCCTGACGCTTTATTAAGATCTCATATCCATATTTGATCATAAGACTACGTGCGTGTCATTTGTTTGTTCTGGTGTGCTCTCTCGTAATTTCTTGTTAGGTAGAAGATCCCGAGTTTTTTTTAACTGCTTGCTTTAGCGACAAGTTGCGGGCGCATTAAACTGTAGCTGCTTAATTGATAACTACTGAGTGTTCATGAAAAATCACAAGCAGGTATCAGGTTCAAGCGACTGTTGTACTCCCACCTCTGTTTCGCAATCCCCTCCTGACTCCTCGAATCAAGAAATCCCCCTTCGGGAGCTTGTTGGGTTTGTAAGCAAAAAGAATACCTTATTACTTCATGCTGGAGGAGACTCTAAGAGGGTTCCGTGGGCTAATCCAATGGGAAAAGTTTTCCTTCCACTTCCATATATGGCAGCAGATGATCCTGATGGCCCAGTACCCTTGCTCTTTGATCATATACTTGCAATTGCTTCTTGTGCGAGACAAGCTTTTAAGAATGAAGGTTACTTGTTCTGACCTGTTAGCTGTAGTAAATGTTATCAGGAATGAAGATTGGCTTCACATTGTATGTCGAACAATCACCTGTTGTTTATATATTTGGTTCTCATTATAAGACTACTGATCTTGTGCTTGGCAATCAATTAGCTATCTAGCTTTCACTACTTATCTAACAATTATTTTTCAGGTGGGTTGTTCATCATGACTGGGGATGTTCTTCCTTGTTTTGATGCTTTCAGCATGGTTCTTCCGGAGGATACGGCTTCCATTGTAACTGTTCCTATAACCCTTGACATTGCTTCTAATCATGGGGTCATTGTGGCATCTAAAATTGAGTGTCATATGGATCATCGCTCAATTTTTTCAGTGGAGAATTTGCTCCAGAAACCTAGTGTAGAGGATCTTGTTGTCCATAGCGCAATCCTAGATGATGGGAGAACATTGCTTGACACTGGAATTATTGCAGTTAGAGGCAAGGCTTGGGTGGATCTTGTCACCCTTTCCTGTTCCAGCCAACCACTGATTTCAGGACTTCTGAAGAGCAGGAAAGAGGCAAGTCAAGGAAGCTTGGGTGGATCTTGTCTTTGTTATAAATTATACTCCATATCTGCATTCCTGCTACATCATTTGTACTGTAAATTCAGTCTTTGTGTATTAGGTTCTCGTGCTTTAGAAGCATCTCTGAAAATTTTTATCTTCATATATTTCACCATTTGTAGATGAGCTTGTATGAAGATCTGGTAGCAGCATGGGTGCCTGCCAAGCATGAATGGTTGAAGTCACGCCCTTTAGGGAAAGAACTTATAGAGTCATTGGGGAGACAAAAGATGTTCTCCTTTTGTGCAAGTATGTTGAGTGATGTTGGGCTATTCTGCTTGTATGTATGTTGCAAGGTCAATGCTAGTTGATGCTTAGTTTATGTATCATTTATTCTTTTTAGTTTTGTTTTATATATTTTAGTTCTCAATTTAATTTACTTGTCAAGTATTCACAATATGTATTCTTTTCCTGTGCAGATGATCTATTGTTCTTGCACTTTGGAACCTCAAGTGAAGTTTTGGATCATCTTAATGGTACTGGCTCTGATCTTGTTGGCAGGAGGCACCTCTGTTCAATTCCAGCAACAACGGCATCTGATATTGCTGCCTCAGCTATAATTGTGTCTAGCAAAATAGCTGAAGGTGTCTCTATTGGTGAAGAGTCACTTGTATATGATTCCTCAATTTTGACTGGAGTCCAGATTGGTTCTCAGTCAATAGTTGTTGGCATAAATATGCCTGAAACTGATAGTATGGTATTTGGAAGTTCTTTCAGGTTCATTCTTCCAGATCGCCATTGTCTATGGGAGGTTCCCTTGGTAGAATACACAGAAAGAATTATAGTATATTGTGGTCTTCATGACAACCCTAAAATCTCACATTCAAATGATGGGACCTTTTGTGGGAAACCCTGGAAGAAAGTTATTGGGGATTTAGGAATCCATGATGCTGATCTATGGGGTACCAAGGAAAGCAAGGATAAGTGTTTGTGGAATGCTAAGATATTTCCTGTTCTTCCCTATTCGAAGATGCTACAGGTGGCAACATGGGTTATGGGGTTGTGTAAACAAGATGAAAACCTCCTGCATTTGTGGAAAGAGTCAGATCGTATGAGTCTGGAGGAGTTGCATAAATCTATTGACTTCTCGAAGATGTGGTCGGGCTCCACGAATCACCAAGCTGACCTTGCTGCAGGGATTGTTTCAGCTTGCCTTAATTTTGGTTTACTGGGCCGTAATCTATCTCAATTATGCCAAGAAATTTTGCAGAAAGAAACCAATGGGATTGAAATATGTAAAGGATTTTTACCCCTTTGCACTAAACATCAAACCCAAAATCCACATATTCTTCCAAAAAGCAGGGCACACCAGGTTCACCTTGATCTGCTAAGATTGTGCGACCAGGAACATGTGAATTCTGAAATTGAACTCAAAGTATGGAATGCTGTTGCAGATGAAACTGCTACGGCAGTGAGATATGGCTTTAAAGGTAAGATCACTCTTTCAATGCAGATTTATTCATGAAACTGTGAGTACTCTTAAATGTCATTAACTTGTCATTTGGGAAGTGTGATCCAAATAGAATGATCCCAGATACTTTCCTAAATGCCTGATGTCATAAGTTTATTTTTTAACAAAGCTTTTATGTCATTGACATTATTATTCTTTTTTTTTTTTTACCTGCTCTAATTGGTCCTCCACAGTAGCACATAAATATAATCCAGCACATGGTAATCTTGAGCAACATTTTCACACAAGGAAGGTGAAGGTGGAGTTACCTGTCCGGGTTGATTTTGTCGGGGGTTGGAGTGATACTCCTCCTTGGAGCTTGGAACGATCTGGCTGCGTTCTGAACATGGCAATAAAATTGGGCGGTTCTCTTCCCATCGGTGCAACCATAGAAACAACCAAAGAGACTGGGCTGTTGATTTATGATGATGCTGGAAATAGATTGTATATTGGTGATGCTTCCTCCATCGCACCTCCTTTTGACAGCAACGATCCGTTTCGACTAGTCAAGTCTGCATTATTTGTGACTGATGTTATGAATGAGACTGAGTTTCAATCTAATGGCTTGGAGATATTCACGTGGGCGCATGTACCTCGAGGTAGTGGCCTGGGGACTTCGAGCATCTTAGCTGCAGCTGTTGTGAAAGCGCTTCTTCAAATAACAGGTGGAGATGATAGTAATGAAAATATCACGCAGCTTGTTTTGGTGTTGGAACAGGTGATGGGCACTGGTGGGGGCTGGCAGGATCAGGTTGGCGGACTCTATCCTGGCATTAAATTTACTTCAAGTTTTCCTGGAGTCCCATTGCGCCTTCAAGTCAATCCCCTGCTTGCATCGCCTCAACTGATCACAGAACTGCAGCAGCGGCTTCTTGTTGTATTTACTGGCCAGGTAAAACCAAGCATTATTATTAAGACACTGTTCCGCCTTTGCCATTATCCCTATGACCGGGGAAAGATATAACGGTACTTAGTGTTTCTGTGTTGGTGTGCATGTCCAGGTTCGACTTGCTCACCAGGTCCTACAAAAAGTGGTGGTACGATATCTCCAACGGGACAATCTACTTGTTTCCAGCATCAGACGGCTTGTGGAGCTCGCAAAGGTGGGTAGGGAAGCAATGATGAATGGTGATATAGATGAGGTAGGGGATATAATGGTGGAGGCCTGGAGGCTGCATCAGGAGCTGGATCCCTACTGCAGCAATGAGTTTGTGGACAAGCTGTTTGCATTTTCGAGTCCATATTGCTGTGGGTACAAACTGGTGGGCGCCGGGGGAGGGGGCTTTGCACTGCTGCTGGCTAAAACTGCTGAATCAGCCAAGGAGCTGAGGCATTTAGTCACTGGAAATCCCGAGTTTGATGTTGTAATCTATGATTGGGAAGTATTTCTATAACCTGAGTTGAGCTGAGCTGAGCACATGTTTAACATTTACAGTTTCTCAAAATGGGTGGTGGTGGTGGTATATGTTAATGTTGTTATATATATGCAATTGAATTGAATAAAAGATTGGATGGATATGGTTATTCTACGTATGTATGTATGTATGTATGTGTGCATTTACTCAGAATTGGGCCGGGGCACTTTGTTGCTGGTCTGAATTGAACAAACCCATTGGATGGGCCATCTTCATCCTATCCTGGGTTTAGGATTTATGCTGCCTTTTAGTGAAAGTATGCAGCGGCGATCATATGGTTATCACCTGATAAGAACCGTATATAGTCATAAATCGTTCGCACAAAGAGGTCGGCTTCGTAATGAAACAACTCTTTTGAGTGCAACTGCATTACTTGAACGATCAATCCACAGTTAGGATGCTATTCTGAAATTATAGAATGTGGATGTGCAGGGCTCTTTTCTTCCGGCGGTTGTAAGGCCTGTGCTGGGCTCGTATGTAGCATCCAGGCATGTCCCCCAGTCTGCATTGAATGATGTAAGCTGCCATTGCTTTAGGGTCACTCCTCTGCATTCACATAATAAACATTTGCTGTTTTTGAGATGACTCTACTTCTATTCTATTCTTGTTTCTTTTTGTGCATTGGGATATTGCTGTAGGTGCTGAATTGAATAGCAGGGCGAGTCGACTATTGTAACATGTATTGCTGCTGCTGTCTGTCTGTCTAAATTTATGTAAAACTAGCTTTCCTCTCGTTCTTGCATCCTGTTAATTGATTCTGAAATTCATGGCTTGAAATATGGAGCCAAATTGCTACCGATGGCACGGTGCTGCTGAGTGCTGGCACTCCTGTAGAACGCACGCATCTTTTTGTCCAAGCCAGGAGAGAAGAATAATAGGAACAAGCGTAACAAAAATCCAACGTGGTAAACATAACATCTACTACTACTCCATTATCAATCTTTATGAACTCTTCTTCATGGATCTTTGTGGCAGCGCCTTCTCAATTTTCACCAAGCTTTGCTGTTGCATTTTATGTATGTTGGTGAGATTCTCGTTTACCACTTAGGATAGGCACCAGGCCTCCTCTTAGTTGGTTGCACGAGAAAATACTCCTAAACCCCTAGCAACATCATCAGCATCATCATATTTGTTTGAATATACAATATTGGCTTTCGATTGCTGAGGGCTTTGTCAATTCTGTTTAAAGCCTACACCAAACAATTTAGGGCGACTAAATAGCCTTGCCAAATGATATGCCCAGCTTACATACCTGCCTTGCATGTTCTTAACCTCTTGTTGCTTTAACGGATCAACACTTTTTATCCTTTTTGCAGGTGGTTTCTGATACTACTGGTAAATAAACAAGCTTGAGGGGAGGGGACTGGAATGGCAGAAATATACTTGACCCGTGCAGGTCAGACATGGGAATAAATTTAATGAAATATTTTTTAACTTCTCTCGAAGGCAGCTGGAGTGATGTGTCTTTAAAACTAACCAAGTGAAAAAGCATACAAGAATATATATGATATATATATATATATATAGAACTCTTTATATGTAACCCATTTGTCTAATTTTCACATTGTTCTTCAGATGGATCGTTTGTAGTTTGTGCGAAGTTTGTGTGATTTTTACAACAATAAGCTTGATTAGGATGTTGACAACGATCAGGCTCATAGTTACAGTTGAAGAGAAGAAACACGAAATATGATTGATATATATATATATAGTCATTATCACAAACCACCTCAGAGTTAACGGATAAAGGCGCACACCAGATTCACAATATATATATATATATATATATATATAAGCGGCAAAGTATATTTTTTATTATGCTTCAATAATCTTGCCCTTCTTTGCTGGACTTTCGGCCACTCTTCCGCTGTATAACTTGTTTCAAACCCTGGTAGATAGATGCCTGAAATTACCATAAACAAACAAAGAAGTGTCTCATGTTACCTACCATCTTTTATTGAAGATCCTGGAAGTAGCTGTCTATTGAATAGGCGAAACTGATTAGTGATTGTAGCAGTCTTATCAGACCAGACCAGACCAGACCCCACTTGTTTCTCTTCTTCAAAGTTGAGTTGATAGCTGGGAAATCAGTACCTCCAACTACCTTCGGTTAATGGTTGGGCCGACTAGCCAGCAGTGTGTGCTGTGCTTTCTGTTATTATTATTATTACTATTTAAGAGCCAGGACATTCATTATTGTAATCAATCAAGACCCCAACAATGCTCTGTCATGTGTTTGTTAGTATCACTTCCCTGCTGCTGCTGCAGCACTAGTAGTCACCAAGATTAATGATCACATGTCTACATTAATTAGTTCATTTGGGCACACAACTATGACGAAGACAATGCCAGACTGAAATGTAGCTTGCCTTGTCTTTTATTGCTCCTTATCCTTTTTGGGGGGGAAAAGTATAATACTACGCTCTACCCGATTCATCATCCCTAGCTAGAACCGGAGAAAAGGTAGAATATTTTCAAGAAGAAGAGTAGTATTCCTTATTTCTATTGTATAGAAACAGAAAGAGCCAAGGATATGTAGCCCGGCTGACTCAACAACTTAGAAAGAAGGGTTAATCTCGAAAAGATACAAGAAATACTTCCCAGCACCTAGTCACAGTTGTAGATAAGGTCCAGTTCAGAGGTTTACACTTGTCTCATTAATTAGGACTTGATGATGTCATCTCATCTCATCAATCAATCGGTGGAACTTGTTAGTATTCTAAATCAAATTTACTACAAAAACAGTTGACGCACGAACTGGCAGAAGCATGGAGGTGAGATTGGGATACCAACCCAGCCAGAATACGAGCACTATATATGCACTCATGGGCTGCCTGGCCTGCTGCTGCTGCATTAGGCCAGCTCAGTTCTATGGACGCCTAGTTAATTAGTGTCGCTGTTCCAAATAACTATTCACTGAACTTACTAACTCACTCATTGCCTTAACATCTATACTCTACTTATTACTATGCATATATACATTCTTACTTACTTAGAGAAACAACAAGAATACGCATGCATCCTGTTTGTTGTTAGTAGGACCTAAAAAACCAGGCCTGTTAATGAAGAGTGAATGAAAAGGTAAGGTGCACAAGTAAGAAAAGCTCACCAAGAAGTGAGAAGGCTTAGAAGCTGGAACACTGGAAAAGCTCCCGTTTGTTGTCATGCTAGTATCTGCTGCCAGTGCCAGTCCACTGCTCTTTGCATTATTAGCCTTGTTGCTGCTACCACTACAATCACTGTCAAAAGTTGCAGTTGTTGTTGTTGTTGATGATGATGCTGATGATGGTGATGATATTGAGGAAGGCGAAAATCTGCAGCTGCTCCCTCCATCTACTACCCTCTTACCATTCTTGATTCTACCAAAGAAGCCTCCTCGTCTCTTCTTCTGCTTGCTGCTCCCAAGCAGTTCCTCCACACCAATAATGCTGTTGCTGCTGCTGCCGCTGCTACTCCCGTGAGGGCTTCCATAGAAATCCCGCTCCCTAAACCATCTGAAGGAAGAGAACTTAGGTCTGCCCACATGAGCTGGCCCATCAAGAACCGTGGCGGGGGAGGGTGTCCTGGTAAATTTAAATTTGTTGGCGGGTGGAAGCTCCAACTTGAAGGGTGGTGGTGGTTGAGGTGGGGTGTTGGTGTTGCAGCAGCAGGAGGAGGAGGAGGATCTGGGCTTTCCAGGTAGTTCCTCCCACCTGAATGGGACTGAGACGGGGGCTTGCAGGGGTGGTGTGGATGGATGGTCTGGGGAGTGTATCGTGGCTGTTGATGGTATTGGTATGTGTAGTGGTAGTGGCGGAAGACTAGTTGTAGTTGTTAGTGGTGGGAGAGTTGGATCTCTTCTTACATCATCTTCCTCCTCGTGCCCCAGTCCCATCTTTGCTTTGCTTGGGGGAGCGCTGCCGATGATGCTTTCCTTGAGAGGGAGGAAGGAGATGGGAGAGGAGAGGAGAGGATAACAATGTGTGGATAGGTCAGGTCAGGTCACCTATATAGGGTACTGTATTAGGCTTTTATTTCCTCTGCCTGCTCAAGGCCAGGGACAGGGAGGGACTTTACTGATTACTTACTTACGGCTGGCTATCGGGAAGAATACGAATACGAATGCGAATACTAATACTAATACTAATACTAATACTAATGTGGTTGGTCATGGCGTGTTAATCTTTTTGCATTCATCTGTCTGTCTGTCTGTCTTGAGTTTATTAGCTTTAATTTGTGCAAGGCAAGGAAAGGAAGGTTATTTATGTGAATCGAATCAATTAAGTTTGTTTTGTGTTGTTTTCATAAAACACATCCCATCACTAACCTACCCTACCCTACCCCACTCTACTCCGCTCTTAACTCTATTACTACTATTATTACTACATTATCGTTGTTGTCGTCGTCACTTGTAGACAATTGCTGCTGTGGTTAGTTTTTTCTGTCTTGGGCGGGATGGATGTATCATGTCGTACTACATACATACATACAGCAGCTCTTTTGAAAATTCCCATGGTTGACTGCTAAAAGGTGCTCTGATTATTTTATTGTGGCTGACTAGGAATAGTGTGCGATAAAGAAGAGAATTATCGCTTCTTTTTCTTTTTTGAAACTAAATGGTCGTTGGAAGTGCATTTTGTATGAAAATTTTCAAGTGTTAGCTGGCATTGGCATGCATATAGGAGTAATACTCCATTCTTAAGAATATTGGATAATAATAGTTTCGAGAAAATCTACCGAGTAAAATAAAAAATAACTACATCTAGATATATACCGGCCATAATCATCATCCATTTGACTGACTGTCTATCTTCCCTAATTGCATTAGTCTCAACCAATCCTTTATTTAATCAACTCCTTGACATACTTTTCATTCATGGCGATTGCGCAGTGGCCGCTGTAGTTTTCTGTCTGTTGGAAATACACTAGTTACAGAGAGACACACAGACAGTACTGCTGTAGTTTTTTGTCTGTTTGCCCATATCCTTGTGAGTTTAATTTATTTATCGTTTCAAAAATCTCACTAGTCAGTCACTAATGGAGTATTATTTCACTTGGTGCGTATTCATTCGTTCCATACACATGCCTCTCTTTATTGTACTGTCAGGTTCAAACACTCTAGTTTAGTAGGAGATTTAGAAACAAGACGAGACAAGACTACAGTACTCGATCTTGTCTCTGCTGCTAGCTTACACAGTCGTCGCAGGGGAACCAATAAAAAACACAGGAGAAGCCTTCTTCTTTTCACACTATTATATCATCATCATCATCATCATGGCCAATCTGAAATCAAAATAAAGGGAGAGAAACGGGAAATGAAATGGTCCCTTTATTTCATATTCAAATTAAAGATAGGGAACATATCATAAAGCACAAGACCAACAGCAACACCTGCAAAGGGATGATATGATGGCTCGGTAAAAGTGATGCATATTGGTTGTCTTATCTTTGTGGTTTTTTCTTTCTTTAACTCTTTGGTTTTCCCATTTGGAATTTCTTCTCTGCTTCATCTTGTCTCCTCTTAAAGCTTTACCTTTAGCAGCATTATTATTTATTATTATTATTATTACTATCATTATTTGGTGAAGATTCTCCTTTTTTGATCAATCACACAACACAACACAAGCATGAGGGTCTATGATGATATGCAATAATCAGTGGAATCGAGTGAGTATTAACTGTGATGAAGCAGCATCCTATATTTTCTATTTTCTTGTGTAGGTTGAACCGTCATCATAACAATGTTGAAATCTTTTATTTCATAAACCAGGTTAGCATTACACCTGGACTTACAGAATGATAAATTGCTAGTATATAGTAATATATAGACAAATGATAAATTAAATAAATTAAAATCTAATATTTTAAAATTTATTTTTATGGTAAGTAGCACAATGATAAATTGCTAGCATATAGTAATATATAGACAAATGGTTTTAAACTACAACTTCACTGGCAATTAAGTATATATATTTAATTCAAATATTTAAATATATTTTTTTGTGGATTTTTTGACAGGATTTTTATTATTCATGAACTTTTTATTTTTTTATATTATATTAAAAAATAATTTATATTTTTTTTATTCAAAAAATATTTTAAATTTTTTTATTTTCAATTCAGAATATATTTTTTTATTATTTTCTCTTTCCGATTCAAAATATGACTTTTAAAAATAATTCTACACTACTCATCAAAAAAAAAAATAATTATAATTATTATACACTTGCTATCAATATTTCTTTAAATATGTTTTAATTTTTACTTAAATTAAACATATTGTAACACATATATAGTTAAGTTACGAAATTTTGAATCCGTACATTTTGATTTTAACCAGGGGTTCACTTCTCTTGACACGCACTTGGATCATTCATTAATTCAGTCTCAGTCACCGTGGTTGGATGGATTTTGCCACACATCCAAATTTGAGATCCCCATCAAGAACTCAACTAAGGACTGCTTATTAAATATTCCCCCTTCCCACATCCCCACTTTTAATATTCTAATTTTCTAACAAGAAGAAAGAAGAATGTTTAACATTCAGCAGCATGTACGCATATGGTTTGGCTTGGCAGCTTAGATACATTGATTGCTGATTAGAAGGACAGACTACACAGTGGCTTGCTCACTCATCTTTTCTTATAACCATATCCACAACCCCAACCGCAACCCTAACCCTAACCCTAACCCTAAACCCTAACCCCGGCAGAAGGAATTTTTAACACACAAGTTCAACTAAATCACACACGCACACGCACATACGTATTCTGACCGACCTGACTGATATGCACCGTCACAACACAAATAGAACAACAACGTTAGTAACCATACCCTTCCATCACAAAGATATCTCCAGTAAGATCAATGTGACCCCAACCAAAACAAAAATCGAATGAGTGAATGGTGTTTGTAAATTATGGCCTCCCAAAAAAGAAAGTCATTCCTGGCCTCAATCACTTGACAACAAACACACAAACACAACTGACCCTTCATTGTTTCCCAAATCAAATTCTCCTCAAACAGCAACTCTATTTCCACCAACATAACCTCACAACAAATCGGTGGACCTGAACTGAACTGACCCGAAACTTATCAAGTATCCATCCATTGATTTCCTTAATCTGACCATTCACCACATCACAACGCAAGAATAGCAGGCAGTTGTCAAACGACCAGATGCTGGGAACTACATCTAGAGACCATCAGGCTTCCCATAATTTCCACATCACTCCTGAAAGCAAACCAAAGGCAGAACTCAGAAAAGCGTGTGTTTATTTGGGGGTTTGGATTTCGAGTTGGAATTTAAATAGTAAAAATTTTGAATTTGAATACTTGTATGGACGTGATATAAATAAGTGTTGATATGATGTTTTGAATGTAAAATTGATTTTTAGTATAATATAAAAAATAAAAAATAGATGTTTGATTTGATATTTTTTGAAAAAAAAAATAAGATGAATAGCGTATTTAAAATTCAATCCCATGTTATAATCATCAACTCTCTGTCATCAATCAAGAGAATGCAAATAACCACACCTAAACCAACAAGCAGGCTCCAAAAATAAGCTTGCATTGCATGGGAGATACCCAGGAACTATAGAAAAGGACCAGTTAATGACAATTAAGATCTGACACAAAAGTAATGACCATCATCAATCAATCAATCAATCAATCGACCAAAAACATCTAGAGAAAGACCTCAGGTGATAGGCCTATTATTTCCACCAATTCCTTGATTCCATAACATGGTGTGACAGAACACAAATAACTTCACTGTGAGCTTCAAAACTTCAGATAAAGACCGATAAAAGTTTAAGGGCAGAGAAAAACAATTTGGATGGAAGTAAATTGGTCTAGCCAGCATTTATATATTTCATTGTGGCTTTCTAGAGCTTTTTAACTCGAATTGACTTCATAGAATTTTTTGTTTCTTTCAAGAATTTGGGGAGAGAGTATATTGTCAAGAAAAGATATATAGGAAAAGAAAGGAACATAATTACATAAAGATCCACATTAGCCATTTACTACAAATCAATTAACCTGAACAAAACAAATTATCATCGACATTCCATGTGAACTACAACATACCAATAATGATGATGCAGGGTAGCTATTCATTTGAGGAAAATCTTCACTATTGGACCAGACAGTAGTTTTTCAGGTTTTCCAAAACCGGTACTTCACTAAGGAGTGGGTAGCTATCTGTTAAAGGATCCTCCTTCCATATTATGATAATATAATCCTTTCTGAACCTTCAGTTATTAAAGCATACACATAATATCATTATTCATTAGGGCAACATAGAACAAAGGTACATTGGTATCTGGAGAGTATGAACCCACAAAATAAAGAAAATCAGTGGAAATTAATAGATTTTATAACTTTCACATGTCAGTGCATTATTTATTACCAGAGGTGTCAAGATAAAGAGAATCAGTGGAAATTAATTGATTTCATAACTCTCATATGTCACTGCATTCTTTATTACCAGAAACATCTGTTGGAATCCAAACCTGACGGGAGACACAACACTTAGACTCCTTTCTTTGATCACATAAGCGGACGAAAGAACAACTCAAAATATCATGTTGCAATCCTAGCACAAGCACTAACATGATTCACACCCCACATCAGCACACGAGAAGATAAACTTACTAGGTTAGTATCTGCCTCAAACAATTGTGACGTTGTGCAAGTTGCAAAGCTGCAATAACGCAGCTTGATTTGCCGCATCAAGATTTTCATTAATGATTGATGGATATGTTCCAGGTGAACAAGCAGAAAGATTTGCCGAGGATGCAACCAGGTATTGCTTGGGATCTTTAATATCTGGTAGGGGGTCTTCCTCTTTCCTTCCAGCATTGTATAGATGAACAAATGTGGCATTGTAACCAACAGTTTCACCGAAATCAGGAATCTCAGGCTCTCCTTCCACTCTGTCCTCCTGTAGTTGAAGCCACAGCTGCTAACTTGAGCTCCATTGAGCCAACAATCAGCTTAAGATGAGGAATCCAAAACTGCTCTAATATTGCCCGAAATACATCAAGCTGAACGGCATTCATGGAGCCAAGAAGTTTTTCAGGGCCATGCTTCACCAGAAAAAAGTGACATAAATATAACAAGAGATTTGATAAATTTCACAGTTCGGTTGACCTGCTGCAGTCGGTTAAATAATGCAACCCAAATATGGCTAATGTAGGGAGTGAGTACATCATAACC